CCCACACAGGCGTCGCATGGCTCGACAACCAAGTAGACGTCGCCGCCCGACAGCACGACCAGCGCCTCTGCTACCGGGTCGCTCCGAGGAGACGCGGGGGCGGGGCGTGTGCACGCCCAGCCGATTGAGGAGACGAGCGCGCCGTCCACAGAGACCTCCAAGTCGAGTGGCAACAAGGGTAGCAAGAGCAGCTCCAGTGCGACCGGCGGTGATAGCAAGAAGAGTTCGGATGGCAACACCAACAGCGGCAACGATAACAAGGACACTCAGTAGGGTGAAGGTGACAAGAACAAAGACAAAGGTGGCGACAACAAAGACCAGAACGGTGACAACTCAGTGCGTCTGGCGCACCCACCAAGGATCGCGTCTTGGCCCAAGACGCGCATCACCCAAGACTCTTGTGTGATGCAGCTGTAGTTTGTACATTAGTATGTGTGCATGAGTTAGAGCCGCGGTGTGGATAGTAGTCACCGTTCTGGTCTTTGTTGTCGCCACCTTTGTCTTTGTTCTTGTCACCTTCACCCTACTGAGTGTCCTTGTTATCGTTGCCGCTGTTGGTCTTGCCATCCGAACTCTTCTTGCTATCACCGCCGGTCGCACTGGAGCTGCTCTTGCTACCCTTGTTGCCACTCGACTTGGAGGTCTCTGTGGACGGCGCGCTCGTCTCCTCAATCGGCTGGGCGTGCACACGCCCCGCCCCCGCGTCTCCTCGGAGCGACCCGGTAGCAGAGGCGCTGGTCGTGCTGTCGGGCGGCGATGTAACGGGCTAACAGCAGCCCGTTACGTGCTTCCACAAGCAGAGGAAGTAGTAGGCAAATTGAACTCTGATATTAAGTGCCGAGACGGTCTCGGCACTCGAGACCGTCCCAGCCATTAAACCTATAGTGGGCTCTGATTGGCCACCGCGCACACGGGGTGGCGCCTGTGTGACAGTGGCCTGTCACACTACCCCCTACTCAAGATGGGAACATACACATATCTAAACTCTAGAAAGGAACTGCAGAGCTTCGCGAGGCGGACGTGACGCTACTTGGCAGGCGCGGGCCGACAGCGCGCGCGAAGTGAGTGAAGCAGCGCAGCAGTGTCTCGGACGTCATCAAGGGCCAGCTGCTGCGCGACCGCAGCAGCAGCGTGGGCTTCAACGGAGCGATCTTGGTGCAGCTGGTCCGGCGCTGGTATGGCATGAAGCGAGTTCGTCGCACCGTGACTCCACCGTGGGTCAGGTCGCCGCGAATCCTGGAACACCGAAGGTCGTCCGTCGACTGAAGTCGAGTATCACCGCTGGGCTGTCCGCTCTTGCGAGGCTCTCGTTGAGTTAGGCACGGCTCGCCGCCGCGACCTCTGCAAGCGACTTCTCGTACGCTGCCACGCAGTCGGGGACATCTGCGAGTAGGACCTCGCGTGGCTCCCAGCTGTCGTCCATCGGGCCAAGCCATCGAACCAGATACCGGCGGTGCGAAGGTATCTCTCTATCGCGGCGACGAGTGCCGCGATCCATGCGTGCGCGCTGCGGTGAATCTCGGTGGTCGTCGTGGTTGAGAATGGTTTCGACAATGTGACGCTGGTTCCCAGCAGCGTCCACTAGGGGAGCAGGACCGTCGCGCTGGAATACAGATGCGCGAACCTCGGGCTGACGCTGCGATGGCGCAGCGACTTGATCGACTTGGGCATGATCATCGGCGCCACCGGGAATGGCGGCGGGATGGTATCGTCGCAGTCGGCCAACGTAGAACGTAGGGTGCAGCCGGAGTGCCGTAGAGAGCTGCAGCGTGTAGGCGTCGCCGAGTACCTTCGTCACTTTAAAAGGTCCAATAAATCGGGGCGCGAGCTTGTTCGCGCCCAAGTTCGTCACCAAACTTGGCGACATGCCCGTCGTAGAGAGCAGTACCCGATCATCCACGGCGAACGTCTCCAGATGTCGTCGCCCTCGTCGATCGGCATATTCCTTTTGCCGGTCCACCGCCGCCGCGATGGTGTCGCGCACATAACGCACAACCGACTCAGGTTTCTGCAGGAAGTCGCGGACAGCCGCAGTGTCTTGGGGCTGCGGCGCTGGGAGCGGGTCGAAGTTGGCAGGAACCGGCGCGGTAGGTGTCGCCGCCTTATTGCGCGCCTTGATACTCGACGGCCCGACGTGGCATCGGGTCAATCAGCGTGCGCGAAGTCCAAGCTGCGATGTCCGAAGGTGCCGCCCTCCTAGCGGCACGTGTGCGCGAAGCTCGTTCGGGGTTGGCGCGTGGTCTCTCGTGTGCCGCCCGCGTGGCGGCACGTGTGCGCACTCCGACTACTGGAGCGTTAGAGCCTCGACGAGTGGTGACGATATGTAACAACGCGGAGACAGCGTCGGGTACGGGGCCACGACGCTCAGCTTGGCCTGGGTCGGGGTCTACAGCAACGTCTTCATCCGGAACGAGTGACGCGGGATCGCCCGCGTCTTCAGCAGCGCGACCAGCCGGAGTCTCAGAGCACTCCACACCAAGGAGCGCTGGAACGCGAGGATGGCGGCCGAAGTTGACGAAGATCGGAGACAGACCGGTCGATGCGTGGACAGCGTTGTTGAGGGCGAATTCGACCAGGGACAGGAAGGTGCTCCACGACTTGAACGACGTAGCGAAGCTGCGTAGTACGTCTTCAACAACACGGTTGGCGCGCTCAGTTTGGCCGTCTGTCTCCGGATGCGACGCGGTGGACATACACAACCGCGTCCCCAGCAACTGGAAAAGCTCTCGCCAGAAAGAAGACGTAAAGCGAGGGTCGCGATCCGATACGATGGAGGACGGAAGCCCGTGGTGGCGGTACACCACGTCACATCTTCTTCTTCAGGGAGCTCCCGCTCGACCACTCGCGGGAACCCAGGCTCGACCGCGTGTGGGAGGCCACGCTCAACCACATATTCTCGCTCTTCAATGTTGGAGAGCCGCTGCTCGTCCTGACGTGGCTCGACCACGTCATTGTCTGCTTCCGAGAACCGCTGCTCATCGGGACGTGGGAACCCATGCTCGACCACGTCAGACACGTCCTGAGGCTCCTGCTCGGGACCGGCGCAGGTTGCGAGTTCGCACACCGCACGAAGGGTCATCGCTCGCTTCGTGCGCAGCATGGGTCATGGAGTGGGGGTCCATGACGGCAACATGCGGCCACTGGTTAGGCGTTCCGCACAGGAACGCCAATACTGCATTCACAGGGGCGGACTGTGCCAGTCAGCCAGTTGATCTCAGGCTGGTAGCGGGCGAGCCACGGGCTGCCGAAGACACAGTCGAACGAGCCGCTCAGCTCGATCACCAAGAACTCCTCGGAACTGCGGAACCCGTCGAACTCGTACGCGAAGGTCGCCTAGCGCCGCGGCTTCCCATCAGCGTACTTCACGATCATGTCGCCAGGCCCGTCGCGAATGTTCATGTCCGCCGGTAACACCGACAAGCTCTCGGCGCGAACGAAGTTGTTCATCGCGCCCGAGTCCAGCAGCGCGCGAAGAGGGCGCGTCGCGCCGTCCACGTGGAGGCTGAGCACAATTAGCCTCGTGTCACTGCCGGAGGTGGTGGTAAAGAGTTGTGCATGAAGCGCGGGAGGGCTTGGAGGAGGTTATGGCACCAGAGAACCATCGCTCCTTCCACGACCAGTAGGGTGCCCCGCACCTACTGGTTGTTGCCGTTTATTGGAGCTGCGACGTCGTTCGTGACCGTGACGTTCGCCTGCATCGGCGCCGGAGCGCGGCAAATAGCCGCGCGATGTCCAGGTTTCCCACAGCGGTAGCAGCGCATCGGGCGGGGACTGCGCGTTGACGAGGCCGTTGGCGGCCTTGCTGATGACGGCGGCACCCGACGTCCACCGGCTGTTGAATCGCATCCCCCTCCATCGGCTCCGGCTCGGGCACCAGAGCCCGAGAGACATCGAAAGCCTGCGACGCCGTCACACTGTAGTCTTCACGGAGCGCAACGGCGAAGGCCTCTTCGAGTGTCGGTGGGGTCTTCCGGGTCAGGTAGAAGCGCTGGTAGCCAGCGCTCATGCCGGAGATGAAGACGTGGACTTGGGTCGCCATGTCTACGGGATGCGTCGTGATGCACGACACAAGGTGTCGTGCGCGCTGGATGTACTCAAGCATGGACATTCAACGCCAGCAAGGCGGAGCGCTGAACGCTTTCATCTTGGGGCGGCTCGGACGCGAGCCGCAAGTCCGCCTTCATCGATACCATGGTCGGGAAGCAGGAAGCGTCGGCCACGAGCTTGCCGAGCGCCCACTCCTTCGCCTTCCCCGCCAGCTTGGACAGGAGAAAGCGCGTGCGCGCGAGCTCGGTAGACAGCTGCCGAACTTCGATCGCGATGTCCACCTCGCAGAACCAGCGGTTCAGGTGAAGGCGGCCCTCGCCTTCAGCGCTGTACGTGGAGACATCGAGCTTCACGATGTCGGACTTGTTCTTGGTCTGCGTGGGAGTCGACACTCGCTGACGGAGGTCAGCGAGTTCACGCGCCATGAACTCCTGGACGGCCAGGCGTTGTTGCTCCTCGGTTCCCGCCGTCAGTAGTGTCTTGATCACAGCGTCACCAGACACCGCTGCGAGGCGGTGTAGCGCCTCCCACTCGATTGCCGACAGGTGAGGAAAGCTGGCGTGCTCCAGTGAAGTGGCAGTCGTCCGGGGCGCGTCAGGCATCGACGTGTCGTTCATGTTCATCGCGATCTTGGGTGTTGGACGGATTAGCGAAGTGCTACCAGGTGTAACGGGCTAACTGCAGCCCGTTACGAGTAGGCAAATTGAACTCTGATATTAAGTGCCGAGACGGTCTCGGCACTCGAGACCGTCCCAGCCATTGAACCTATAGTGGGCTCTGATTGGTCACCGCGCACACGCGGTGGCGCCTGTGTGACAGTGGCCTGTCACAGGCGACGTCTTCTTGGTTGTCGAGCCATTCGACGCCTGTGTGGGACTGGAACCGCTGCCATCGCCTGTGGCTGGGGTAGGGGTAATAGTGGCGCCGGACGAGGTCGAGTTGGACGTCGCCGTCTAGTTGGACGCCGCTCCCTTGACCGACGACACGGCTCCGTTCACGTGGAAGTCGCTCTTCGAGTACTGGCAGAGAGGGGCCTTCGGGCCGTTGCCCAGCTCTGTCGGCTCGCCGTTCGCGTTGCCCTGCGACCACGCGCAGACAGTGTAGCTGCTACCGCTCGACTTGATGTAGATGTTGCTGAGCGTGGCCTCGTCGCCGTAGTTCTCGTTCACCGTAACGAGGCTCACGCTCGGGTTGACCGCCAGCACGTTGGAGACGGACACCTTGCGAGGGACGTTGTCGCACGTGCCGCACGACCGGTACAACTTGCCGAACGTGTCGGCGTAGAACCCGTCGACCTTCACCGTGCCGAGGCCGTTGTGCTGGATGACCTTGTCGTCCGCGTTGCGAGCGCCGCCGCCCGTAACCGTCGACACGCTCGACGCAGAGCCGCCCTTAATGCTCAGCGCGTCCTCGCACACGTCGTCCCACCACACGTTCTCAATGGTGCAGTCGTGGTCGTCGCAGTGGACGCCCTCCATTTGGTCGGCGCCGATGATGACGTTCTTGAGGGTACCGCCGGCTTCGACGAGGAACACGGCGGTCGACGAGCCGCTCTCGTCCTGGCCTTCACACGTGATATCGGAGCGCTGGTAGGTCTTGAGGCCGCCGTCGAAGGTTTCTCCGGCAGCGACGGTGTAGGGCTCCGTGCAGTAGACGTCGCCCTGGCTGGTGGGCCACGTGCCGTCGGGGACGGAGGCAGCCGAAGCGGTAGCGACGGCAAACACAGCGGCGGAAGCGGCGACGGAGAAGACCTTGATCATTGTTGGAGTGGAGGCTGGTTGGATGTTGGGAGGAGGCTGTAGAATTGGAAATGAGGCTAGAGAACCCGCTCGAAAACACGCTGAAGGTTATGCGAGGGCACCCTTCTCGGTGTGCCTGCACCACCGAAAGACCACCAGAGCGTCCACCTTTAATCTTCCGGGATCGGTGGATCGGTCATGATCCTAGTCACCCAGTCTGGTGTCATTTCAGCTCCGAGTCGCCCGCAGCTGGTGAACACTCAGCGCACGCGACTCTGCTCGAGACGCAGATGCTATCCGCCGGTGCCGGTGCCATCTCAATTAACCTTTAGTCAGCTTTAGGACGGCGCTAGTCGACGCGGATAGCTCAAGCATGGCACAGTACCAAGTGTTGGTGGAGCTCCTGAGCGGTTCTTGAACGGATGGAAGCACGCGAGATCAAGGTGCACCGAATTGAAAGGCGGGTAAAGTCCCGCGGTGAGCAAGAATACTTCGCTAATCGCAAATACGACTACAGTAGTGGTTCTCGACTAAAGTGCGCTGCACTGCTTGCACCGGACGACCTCTACGACCGAGGCTAGTGTGGGCACACAACAATGGTGGCCTGCATCCAACAACACTTGGTGTGCTTTCAGTGTGTAACTTGCAGTTGTATCCTGCACAACATTTTCTTCGACAATCTCGTTCAGGCGCAAGTGAAGCGAAGTCGACAAGGGTCTACCACAACGTTTAACGCATGGCAGGCGATACTGCTAACCAAGAGGGCCCACACGTGCATCTACAGTACTTAGGTATCCATCGGAACTCATATCCATTTGACCCCTTTCAGTAAGCGACATAATAGACGGATCACTTCCACCTTCCTAAATTAAACTCGGGCAGTTTTAGTCTCCTGCGTCACGGCCGTCCTCAAAAAGCTTCAGTCAACCAAGAATGTTCCAAAGCGCAGTGATCCGAGACGAGTTCGAGTTCACAGGCCACAACTCGGCTCTGGGCGCAGTGTGCTACAACCGGCATCAGGACACGTTCGTGTCGGTGGACGAATCATGCATGCGGCTTTGGCGAGCCCCCGGGGGCCAGCTACGCCAAGTGAATCTGCCGGTTCGGACGTCGCGCTTCATCCAGGCCATCGCCTACATCGACGCTCGCCAGCTCTTCGCGGCCTCCGCCCTTGACGGGGCACTTCGGCTGTACGACCCGAACCTGAACGAGCTCGCGGCGCTGTTCACGGGGAGAGGCACAGTCCTCAGCATGGTCTTCGACGGCCAGCACAACCGACTGCTCACCGGCGGCGTTGACGGCTGCGCAGCGTGGCAGATCAAGCCGAAGCCCTCGGGCATGCCGGAAGGAGCGCTCAACGCCCACTACGAGTTCACTTCGCTGCCCAAGTTCTTTCACGGCGCTGTCGTCTCCAGCTCCAGACAGAATAAGCCGCAAAAGTCTTCAAGGACTTCAGTCGAGCGCGCGGGCTGGGTCGAGAGCATGCAGCTAGGTCCGGAGAGCACGCGGCTGTACGCGCAGACCCGGCAGTGGATCGACGTCTTCAGTACGGCGGACGGGGCGCATCTTGAGCGCTGGGATGACCTGTTCCCCGGAGAACACGGCACCATGACCGCCTTCGTGGTTCAAGAGCGCGCCAAGTACCTCGTGTGCGGCACCAGCAGCGGTGTCATCGTCGTGCTCTCTCACCACCCGATCTCGATCGTCCACACTTTCAAGGACCACACCCAGGCAATCACAAGTCTCACCGAGCACGCGACGTCACGCCTGGTGATCTCGAGCTCGCTTGACGGGTCTGTACGGCTGTGGGATCTTGAGGCGCGTCGTCAAGCTCACCGTCTCAACGTCGGCCACGGAGTGCACGCGTTGCAGTTGCTCCCTCCACCAAGCTTACCCCAAGCGGTGGGCTCAGCACCCCGCACGACGGACGTCGAGCTGGCTGGTCGATTCTGCTGTCAGCTGCGCAACACCATCAAGATCTACGACATCCAGTCCATTCTGAAGGAGCACCAGCCTTGCCATGTACCCGTGAGCATCTTGCAGCGCGTAGTCTTCCCCATCAAGAGCGCACAAAGTCCACGAACTGCGAAGAAATCCCTGACAGCGAGTCCAAGTGGAGAGCGGGTCGGAGACGAGTCGAATGAAGACAATGACGACGAAAGCTCCGGCTCCGAAGACGAGAAAGAGGAGAGCGAAGACGCGCGTTCACCCGTTGCAGCGAAGACGCAGCAGCTCGTAGTGGTGGTTTGCATGGACAAAACACTGCGCGTGTTCGCAGGCCGCATGGCGAGCGAAGCTCCGAGTTTCTCCTGGATCCCGGACGAGCAAGCGCTGGACCTCGTGGCGTTCGCTCTTCACCCGGTATCTCAGCACTTGTTCCTGCTACTCAGCAACCAGAAGTTGCTCATCGTGAACGCAGCTCCGCGTCGGCGGAAGCGAAGTACGATACAGGAGGGAGAGTCAGCAGAACCGGACACTGAAATCGACACGCACGAAGCAGCCGAAGCAACAACGAGCAGCATCGAGCGCGTGATTGATCTCAGCCCGACGTCGGCACTGCAAAAGGCAGCGGGTGCAGGTGAACTAGACGGAAACAAGTCCCGAAGTCTTCTCAAAGGGAACAACAACGCCAGCACTGACACAATTTCTTCGGACGAGAACGTCGCGACCTCAGCAGCAAGTACACGGGGTGGCAGCAATAGCAAAACAGCCCTGCGATGTATCTGCGTGTGCCCCTTTCCACCACTTTTCAACGCAGCGCCATCGACATGGCTCAATCGTCCAACGCCACGACAACGGCGCCAGTCGCAGTTCGGTCCTGGTGGCGCCGCCGCTGCTGCTGCTCCTCCACCCCCGGTGCCTCCTCTTCGGAGACGCAACGCACTGGCTCAATCCGAGTGGGAATGGGTGGCGTGCGGCAACGATCTGGGTCAGCTCCTCTTCTGGCACACAGGCCTGCGCGGGGGGCGTGAGGGGACGTTGACTATCGATGCACACGACGCTCCTATCGTGGACATCAGCGCAAGTGTGTCATCCCCATTATTGGTAAGTCTGGATGGTGCTGGTCGGGTTCATCTGTGGAGCCTTCAACCGCAGTTTGCATTGCGTCACGTGCTGGAGCTGGGCCAGTCGCCGACCGTCTTCGCTCTGTCGCCGCTGTCCGAGATCATTCTCAGTGGCTACGACGATGGCCGCATCACTTTGCACGCCGTGGGGTACCAGGCAGCCAGTGTCGAAGCCTTCACTGGAGTAGACGACCACCACAGCACAACCGTCAGTGCCGGTGACTTTCTTGACGAAAAATATCTGGTCCTGACCGCGAGTGTCGACGCCATCGTCAAAGTCTGGGACCAGCAGCGAGTTCTCCTCCGCCAAGTGACGCTGGCGACTGCGGTCACGAGCCTCTGCTTTCTCAACGCGGATGGTGACTTGCTCGCTGGGCTGTCGAAAGGAACGTTCTTAATTTCAAGGCGCGACGTGCTGCCCGACAAGATGCCAAAGCCTGCGCCACGGCACCGGATTCGTGCGAACCCACACGACACGAAGACTGAAGTTCTGGAAATGTTGTCTCAAGGCTCTCTAAGCGTACCATCCTCGCTCAAAGCGGCATCTTCAGGGCAGGACACTCCACCAGCTGAAGATGCGGTAAGTGAAAGCTCGGCTTTGCCGCCTCAGCAGAATCTCTGCGTGTCATCGAGGCCTCCAGATCCCGAGTCATCGGCGAAGCAGCTCCTGGCTCACGTCATCCAACGACCGATCGAGGCTGCAAGTCACTTGCGCCCACCGGTGCTGCGTACCTACAGCTCGTCGGGGACGATTCCTTCCAGTCGGGTTGGCAGCTTCAGCAGCAACAACAGCTCTGAACGCCAGGTAAGACCCGAGATATCCTTTCTTTCTCGCTGCATTCACCATAACCTCATATCTTGGTGGTGTTTCATCCAATTGACTTCCAAGCCAGCGGATCTCCACAAGCTGAGCGACCCAGCCACCGACCAACTGGAGGAAGATTGGCGAGATAAAATTCTGTACGTGCTGCGCTTGATCACGGATTGCTGCTGTAGGGCCTTGGAATTGACGTGTTGCTTGCCATCCCCAGGCCGTTGCCTGCGTACCAGAAGCTGATGCGCACTTCCCAACGCGGGGCTTCGTACCGGAGGAAGAGATCTCAGTTGCCTTCGTCCCCGTTGGTGCTCCAAACTCTCGGTCCAAGCCCCCGAAATCCGCTCACTAAACGTCGTTCGTCTCGTGAAATCCACGCCAACACCTCGGACGAACGTCAGAAATCTCCAGACAACCCACCGACGCTCGGTCTTGGCGTCGGGGCTGCAGACGCGCCGTTGCTGTATTGCAAGCACCAAGCACCAGTGCCACCCAAGGACAAAACGCCGCGCAAACTTTGGAACGCCATCGGAGGCGAAGACCGACGACTGATCGTCTTGCAACGCAACCACCTCCCCCCTTGCTAGTAAACATTCGAGTTTGGATAACATTATTAGTGAGAAATCTACGCGTGCATCACTACTTACGGGCTGCTGCTACTCCTGAGCGGGATGAGCCCTTCGCTCTCGAGGTCCTCGAGCATGGCCTCTCTGCAGAAATCTTCGTCCACGATGGTGATGTCCTCTCCGTCTTCGGCCTTGATGAGGCACTGATTGTACAGGAACCGATTCATGTTGAGGTACTTCTTGCCGTTCGAGGCGCACACGGGCTCCTGGTCGCGCGTGCCGTCGTCCACGCAGTGTCCGTGCCGCTTCTCGCGCTGCTCCTGGCCGCTCACCAGCACGCGCTCGTTGGCGTGCACGGGGCTCACCACGCGCAGCCTCTTCTCGCGGTCCAGCGCGTCAACGGACGAACACGCCAACAGCAACGCAGTCGCCACCAGAGCCACAACGGTCTTCATGACAGCGGTGAGGTAACTCTAACTGACTTGGCTGCAAGGGAGTTTTGGTTGTGGGCTGATCCTCGTACGTGTGTGTGTGCCCACCGAATAGAGAGGGACATGAAAGCCATTGGGATCTGCTCCCGGTAGGCTAGACGGATGGATTCAAGGAAGACATGCTGCCTCATCGGGGACGGTGGAGTACTGTACCCCCAAGCTGACATTCAGTCATGTTTAAGTTGTTTTATCCTATCGATACAGGGGCGCGCACTTCGCCAGCGCCCGCTTGGCTGGAGCTGGCTTCCATCTCTCTAAGTCGACTCGCAGCTCCCCAGTCCAAGCCTCATTAACAAAACACAGTCTATACCTTCTCGCCACCACGCGCGCATTAACGACAACTTCCCGTGTTGCCGGTCGACCTTCAACCGTGGGTGGCTCACTCGGCGGCCCGGCTCAAGGTGCTGCGCGCGCGGCGTCGGCGAATCTCCCTTCAGTCCTACCTCTATGTAGATAGAGTCCTAGTTTACTGCATGTAGTCGATGTCGGGGACGTCCGGGTGCTCGTTGTCCTCCTTCTTGGCGTTGTCGCAGGTCTCCATGTCCACGATCTCGATGATCTCGCCGAACTCGGCGATGATGAGGCACTTGTGGAACTCGAAGACGTCCTCGTTCAGGTACTGCTTGCCGTTGGACGCGCACACGGGGTCCTCTGTCGTGTCGCCCGAGTCAATGCAGTGGCCATGTCGCTTTGCTCGCTTCTCCTCGCCTGTCACGAACACGTCCGGGTGCGCGTGCACTTGGCTCACCACCCGCAGTCGCTTCTCCTCTGGCGTCGCCCGTACCGGACCTGAACACGCCGCCACCAATATCGTCGCCACTGTCATCACTACAACGCTCGTCTTCTTCATCTTGGTCCTCCTGCGCCGCGCGTCGAGATAACAGTTATGTGGAGCGTCCAAGCTCAGCTGTACTGTAGCCACCGCTACGTCTTGCAGTGCTGTGATCCAACTGGCCCAACTATCGTATGGCGAGCATTGTCGCGTCGTTACTGCGGGCAAAGCTGGGAGACAGCGCATTTCATGGGATCTGCTCCGCGATACCGGTAATGATCCGCTCGCTCCTGCTGGCGCTCGCTCGGCCACCTCACGCTCACGTACACGCTCCTTCCAGGGGGGAACGAAGGAAGGAAGGACGACGCCCAAAGCCAACACCAAACGAATAGACTAATTTCATGTTGCTGCATAATCATACACGGACGAGTGTCTACGCTAAAGCCTGCCGCCACCTACCTAATGCGCAGGCGGCCGACTCCACAGCGCCCTCAGAGCCTCAGTCAACCGAGGACTTGCCACGCACTTCAACTTAGGTGGACGGCGCCGGCCACGGTCTCTCTTAACCGCGTCGGTCTCCACTGCATTTAGGGTCGAAACTGCATTGACAGACACACAACGCCGGACAAGTCCCTCCTCCTCCTTCCTCCCTTCTCCTCCCCGACCAGGCGCCTGCCTACTCGTCGATGTGCTCCATGTCCTCCATGTCGGCGTCCTTGCAGAACTCCATGTCCACGACCTGGATCTCGGTGCCCTCCTGGATCCGCATCATGCACTTGCGGTAGTTGAACATGCTCAGGTTCGTGTACTTCTTGCCGTTCGAGCCGCAGACCGGGTCGATGTCGCGCGTGAACTCGCCGTAGCACTTGCGCTCCTCGCGGTCCTCCTCCAGGTCGTCGTACTTGACGACGATGTGGCGGTTGCCGTGCACGGTGCCCACGACGTCCAGCATCTTGTCGCGGTCCAGCGCCTCCACGGCCGCGAGACTGCAGGCCAGAGCCGCCACCACTGCGCTGGTCGCTACGAGCAGGAACTTGGTCATCGTCGCCACGGGTCAAAGGGAGAGAAATCGCTTGTGCGCCGCGTACGTGGCAGCGGATGGAGCGGACTGACTACCCCGGCACTGCAGCGAGCGAGTCCGAGTCCCATCACGTAGCCTTTTCCGCCTGATGGTACAGCTGGTACCCCCGCCGGGATGTTCACTTTCGTGCCTGCCGTGTGGTTGTGGGCCACAACAAGCGCTGCGACTTGAGCCGCTGGCCGGTTGCCAGTTGCACCGAGATCAACATGCCCCGCGGCAGATGCGAGGAGACATGGCGTTACGCAGCGTTTGGAACGCCAAGCTCAGCGTGTCGAACAGCAAGTTGCCACCGGTCCACTTAACACTGTGCGGTGTTGGGGAACTGCTTGAAGTCGTGACGGTCTCCGCTGCCAGTGAATTGGCCATCGGCTCAAGTGCGATGCAACACAAAACGATAGGGTCGGCGCCAAATAAGTAGACCACAAGAATAACAACGTACGAAACAACAACAAGAAGTAGGAATGGTGTTGTTTCGATGGCGAAATGCCTCCAACAACAGTATCAGACCCTTCATTTGATAGGCCGGTAGATCAGATCGAAGCGCCCCTCAGCCTTGACAAAGTTTTGGTAGCCAAGGTAGAAATGCGTCTCGGACACGGATAAGCTCACTCACGTCGTCCTTGTGCATCGGCGGACGGCCATTCATCCTCTTCTTGAACAGCGCCTGTTCCAAGTCAGTGGCAAGTGCCTTGGTTTTCTCGTTTTCCTTCGCTCTGACGAGCGTTTTGGCCACCTCCTTGTCATTTTTGTAGCTCTTGACGATGGTTGCAATCATGGTGTCAGCGATGGGGGCCGTCGGTAAGCCTACCTTTGTCTTGGGATCATTGAGCCTCTCCAGATACTTGGCAAACTCTTTCAGGTTGGGATTGGTGAGGAGGCCGTCCAGATCGCGATTCAGCTTGAGTTTGACAAAAGCCTTGTCCGTGGTAACCCGTTTGAGCTGCATCATATCGAGAAGCTTGTCCCCGCTTGCACTCATATACGCGATCTTTGACGCAGTGCTTGACTTGATCGACTTGAAGAAGCTGGTTAAGCTCTCTGGGGCCTTGATGGCCGCCCGCTCTTCGTCGTCAACTGTGCCCTTGGTATCGGCGCGCAACAATCGGTCGGTGGGAGTGTAGTCCTGGACAGCAGTAATGACTTCTTCTGTCCCCGTGGATACTTCGCTTCCAGCAGCACATGCCAGGAAGGCAACAACCGCTAGAAGCACAACTTGGGGCGCATGAGCTATTGAAGGGCTTCTTGGAGCTGCGTGAATCACGAAGTGAGCATCGGTTGGCTTTATAGTACACTGTCCTCGTGCCGCTATGTGAAGGATTACTCCAAAGTTTGCGTTAAATGTATTCATGTGTGCGTGTGAGGGGGTGTAGTGTGTCTCGGGTCTGAAGGGCTTCAATGTCAATCCGGGTGGCTAACCTGATGCCTAGAGTATTGATCGATAGATAGAAGATTCAGGAGTGAGGCAAGAGTCTGATGGTAGCCAGCTCCGTTGGACTCTGTCCAGATAAATGTGCAGTTGGGCATACACGTTTTAAGATATGTCCGGCCATTCTCGTCAACTGATAGACGGACATTTGAGAAAATTTCGTTTCAAACTGATAAAAACGTCGGATACGCTTTTATACAGTAAGGTTCGATTTTGGTGCGGTGGCATTCCTGTTGACATGTGAAGATCTTCATGGCGGCGACTTACATGTACTCCAGATAGCACACATGCTTTTACTTGACACCTTTTATGCATGCTCGGACAACCGCACACCATTTCGCGTACCTACATGTACTGCATGTCCGAACAACCCGACGGCATCCTTTTGTTGAACAAGGCACATGAAGACTTGACTTGAAAAGGCTAGAACTTGATGAACAAGAGATTTAGCAGCATCCGTGCCGCAGCTAACAGTGCCGCGGCATCTTTTGGGCGATCACCCTTCAGCGCGATAGCAATGAGCAAGCCGGCGGTCACCCACCATGCACCCTAAGTGTGCCCATGCCCTTTTCAGGGTCTCATCAACTTCAACTTACGCCAATTTCTAATGGTTAGAAAACCCTTTGGGCGCCTTACAAAACCCTTCACCAAAGGTCGCGCATAAAAGTTTAATCCCGGAGAATTGTTTGATGAGACCACTTTTTGGTCTCATCAAACAATTCTAATGCGACTCTTAACTAGCAACGTGATTAAACAAGTGACTGAACTCCACTATATTCGAAGGTCGCGTTCCAGCAACCGTTTTGGGGCGCATTAAACGCTTCGGTAATTTAAAATAAATTACGGATTAAACTGATCAAACGGTTTTATGTGGGGTTTGGAAGGCGCCCTTTAGGCCATTTAAAACTGATAAAAACGGTCATTAATCAGTTTGATTCGAATCAAATAACAAACTGACCATGCATACATTTGGGTCACCTGTTGTAGCGATGGAGTCGGTTGCGGTGGAACCAAGGTGACTGAACATCGGCATCCACTACAGGGGGAGGAGAAGGAGGATCAGACTACCGGTACTAGTATTTTTAACTTACGGTTTACAATATTGTCTTGAATGCCCTAAACCAGATTAGCAGCGCCGGAACCGATGGTGATCGCGGTGGCTGTGCGTAGCTGGCCTCGTGTCGAGGTGCCTCTTTTGGGGTCTACTGGAAAAGATCCAAACAGATTAATCGACGCGTTCCTTGTACGTTGTCAGCGGATTTCTTCGTTCATGGTTGGCTAGCGCTCGTAGTTGTAGTCCCGCTGCTTGAGAAGCAGCAGCACGACTTTCGATCGTGACTTGGCTGCGTTGATGCACCACTCGGTTTCTCTGCACTCCAGAGTCTGGAGCCACAATACCGTTTCGCAGACCGTACTTAGGACCCACCAAATTCGTTTACACTCTCGGTGGTGCCCCGCCGCTTCGTCGTGGAAGGCTTAGCTATAGATAAGTCGCTTACTGAGTTCTGATGTTTATGCAGGAAGCGATCTCGATGTACAGCTTGCGCCGAAGCCATAATCATGGGCGCTTGTGCGCTACCGCATGTATGTAGTTTGAAAATTACCCGTTCTACACGTACAGTAGTGAAGCCTCAGGAAGTTCCAGTCGTCGAGCAGTGCATGCTGCTACTGTATGCATGTTTTCCACGCAAATGCCATTGCTGCTATCAAGCATAATGCTGCATTATCTTAAAAAATCTGCAGAGCGGTTCTTACGAGCTGCGGATTATAACATTTAAAAATGTAAGGTTCTCAGTTTTCGGTGAATTTTGACACCGTTCCTTGTTTTCCTCCCGCAGTATCCATACCAGGAAGGATATGATTGCTGCCGTTTCTTAAAAAGCTTGCATACAGTAGCCTGTTTCCTTTCGTAGGAGCTGTAGTCACTATCCAGCAACAACCGCAAGTGGAAACCGTGCCGCAGATGTAGGCGCAACGAGGCTAAAATCCAGACTTCTACAAGTTTGTAGCTCGATTTAACAGCTAGGTTGCTGCGTTCTGGTAGATGCAGGACTCACCGAGTGCGACCGGCGTGCAAAGTACTGTAAAAACTGTAATTATAATATGCCCCATCCCTCTAATAGTGCCCCACCCCCGAACGTTTTCTGAAAGTTTAAGTTTGATTCTGAGTTTTTTTTTGGATTCCAACTCTTTTTATTATGATAAATTTAATGTTTGTAAAGGGCATTACCATTATCAGTGATTATTGTCAAATTTATTCTGTAAGCAGATTTTTAACGCTATTTGTTGTTGGCCATCCGTAGTGCCCCACTCCCTTTAATAGTGCCCCCTTGTAATAATGCCCCAGGTTGGGAGGGGGGGGGGACACTGCTGCAATACCCCACGGGGCATAATTACAGTTTTTACAGTAAGTTAAAAAAAGTTGATGTTGAAGCGCGCGATCTGTGTGGCATACACAACGCATCCTTTCATCCACATGCATTTTCCACAATCCCCCTGTCCGGGACGTATTGCCCCTCATTTCAGTATTCATCCATACTCTGATCAAGTCAAATTGTGGACCCCTTATGCCGGACAGCGGAGGGAGTGCCCCGCATCCAACCGGGTGTCTCCATTCCGAGCCGAGACGTCCGCTCCCTCGATCTCCCTCCCCCTGTAGCCACCGCTCTTAGCCCCCTCCTCATGGCGACGCTGGACAAGTCCGTGGCCGACATCGAGGTGTCGGCCGCCCTGCAGGCGCTGTCCATCTCGTACGAGAAGCACGAGCACCGCGAGCTGCCCACCACCGAGGACGTGATCGCCGAGCTGGGCCACCTGGCCGGCCTGTCCACCAAGAACCTGGTCTTCAAGGACAAGAAGGAGGGCCTGTTCCTCGTGACCGCGGCCCCCACCACCGTCGTGGACACCAAGAAGCTGGGCGCGCGCCTGCACGCGGCCGGCATCGGCGGCAAGAAGTGGAACCTGCGCTTCGCCACGGAGGAGGTGCTGGCCGAGTCGCTCAAGGTCACCAAGGGCTCGGTCTCGCCCCTGTGCGTCATGCACGACGCCAAGAACGAGGTGCGCCTCGTGCTGGACAAGGCGCTGGTGGACGCGGCCCAGGTCAACTGCCACCCGCTGCGCAACGACCAGACGTACTCGCTCAAGTCGGAGGACCTGCTCAAGTTCGTCAAGCACTACAACCACGAGCCCATCGTCGTGGACTTCGCGGCCCAGGCCGAGGAGCCCGCGGCCGCGCCGGCCGCCCCCAAGGCCCCTAAGGCCAAGAAGGAGGACAAGAAGAAGGTCGTCGAGCAGAAGGCCAACGAGGGCATGTCCGTCACCAAGAAGGACAACTTCGCCGACTGGTACACGGACGCCATCACCAAGTCGGGCATGATCGACTACTACGACGTCTCTGGCTGCTACATCCTGCGCCCCTACTCGTACGAGATCTGGGAGCGCGTGCAACAGTTCCTCGACCGCAACCTCAAGGCTATCGGCGTTAAGAACTGCTACTTCCCCATGTTCGTCACCAAGGACAAGCTCGAGCGCGAGAAGGAGCACCTGGAAGGCTTCGCCCCCGAGGTGGCCTGGGTCACCAAGTCGGGCAGCTCCGACATGAAGGACCCCATCGCCATCCGCCCCACGAGTGAGACCATCATGTACCCGGCCTTCAAGAACTGGATCCGCAGCCACCGCGACCTGCCCATGAAGCTCAACCAGTGGAACAACGTCGTGCGTTGGGAGTTCAAGAACCCCACACCCTTCATCCGCACGCGCGAGTTCCTGTGGCAGGAGGGCCACACGGCCCACGCCACCAAGGAGGAGGCCGACGAGGAGGTGCGCACCGTGCTGGACTTCTACGCCGCGTGTTACGAGGAGCTGCTGGCCGTGCCCATGGTCAAGGGCGTCAAGACCGAGAAGGAGAAATTCGCCGGCGCCGACTACACCACGACGATCGAGGGCTTCATCCCCTCGACGGGCCGTGGTATCCAGGCCGCCACGTCGCACATGCTCGGCCAGAACTTCGGCAAGATGTTCGGCATCTCGGCCGAGTACGAGGACGGCAAGAAGCTCATCCCGTGGCAGAACTCGTGGGGCTTCACCACCCGTTCGCTGGGTGTCATGATCATGGTGCATGGTGACGACAAGGGTCTGGTGCTGCCGCCCCGTGTGGCCCCCATCCAGGTTGTTGTGGTGCCGATCCCGTTCAAGAATCAGGACGAGGTTGAGGAGATCTTTGCCAAGGCCGACGAGATCGTTGCCAAGCTGACCGACGCCGGCGTGCGCATCGAGGCGGACAAGCGCCGTGTGTACACGCCCGGCTGGAAGTACAACCACTGGGAGCTCAAGGGTGTCCCGCTCCGTTTCGAGGTGGGCCCCAAGGATATCGCCAAGAAGCAGGTGCGCGTGGTGCGTCGTGACAACGGTGCCAAGGAGGACATCCCCGAGGCCGAGCTCGCCACCCGCATCCCGGCCCTGCTCGAGCAGATCCAGCAGGACATGCTGGAGCGCGCCACCGCTGAGCGCGACAGCCACATCCGCGAGGTGACGGAGTGGAAGGACTTCGTGCCGGCCCTCCAGGAAGGCTGCATGGTGCTGACCCCGTTCTGCAACGAGATCGAGTGGGAGGAGGTCGTGAAGACCAAAAGTCGCGAGGAGTCGCTGGCCCTCATGGGTCTGGTGGACGAGGCCGAGAACGCGGCTACGAGCGCTGCCGCCAAGACGCTGTGCATCCCGTACAAGAAGAACGACGAGACCCCGGTGGCCGCCGACGCCAAGTGCTTCATCAGTGGCAAGCCGGCCAAGTGCTGGGTGCTCTGGGGCCGCAGCTACTAGACAGGAGATGCGTGAGCAACAAGTGGCGGCGACAACTTGTGCAGAGCGGAGCGATGCTACGCTGTTCCGGGACGTCGGCGCCAGGTAGGAGCAGGGATGAATGGATGAGTTAGATATGCTGCCTAGAAATCACTGCCGTTGTTACCTTCCTTACCCATTTGTGTCGCCAAGCTTGTCGCTCCTTCATCCTGTCGTGCTTGATAAAAATAGTGAGCGCGTGAATCCCGAGCTCAAGCTAGCGCAAGATGAGCTTGCATTTCAACGTTGGTGCCTATCATTGGCAACGTGGCCCGCATGAAGCACACCGCAGTGAGCATCGCCGTCCACGGGCCGCTTCACTGTCTAGGCTGGATCCTCTTCGCCGTCCTCCTGTTGAACGCCGTGAAGAAGACCGATGCCTCCTCGTATGTGAACCCGTCACCTGAGGGCAACTCGTGGGCTCCGTGCGCGTTTGCCGCCGAGCAGATCGCCGCCGAGGGCAACGGGACCACGTACGGGTCGTGCTTGGCCTGCGACCCGACGAACTTCGAGTGTCCGCCCAAGTGCCAGTCCCTGATCGACGCCCTCTACAAGCAGTGCGACGGCGTATACGCGCCCCAGGACCAGTACTTCGACCCCGCACACACGCTCAACGGCTACTGGAACGACAACTTCGGCGTGCTGCGCGTCCAGGCCGCCCGTTGCGGCTGCAGTGACGCCCCGTGGCCGACACCATCGGTGGCATGGCTAGTATCCTGCACAGCAATGGCCACCGCGCTCATGTTGACTTGACCACGGGCCGGTCGATGTAGATGTTAGCAGCAGGAGGGCGATTGCGCTGTACACGTAGCATGCAACACGGCCGCATTCGCCTCAACACCCGTGCCTACGTTGAAGTTGCCTTTTTCTCTTCGTTTTTGTGAACGGCGTGGCAGATGGTCACGTCGATTCCACGTCGGATTTTAGCGATGACGTCCACAGGATCTGCCCGGCCGCGGGATCTTGTTGCCATTTCTGAACCAGAGGCCTCGCGCCCAAGTCAAGTCGCCTGCCCCGTCCTCGTAGTCTCCAATCCCAATGCTGCCGGCCAAGTCTCTCCGCCAGGCGTCGCGCCTGCTGCGCCCCCTGGGCGCGCGCAGCTTCGCGCTGGGGCAGCACATCGACGACTCCAAGTTCTCGGCCTTCTCGCTCAAGCTGTCGGACGAGCAGCGCGAGTTCCAGCAGCTGGCCCGCAAGTTCGCGCGCGAGGAGATGATCCCCAAGGAGAAGCACTACGACCAGACTATGGAGTACCCGCAGGAGATCTTCGAGAAGGCCTGGGAGCTAGGTCTCGTCAACACGCACGTGCCCGAGAAGTTCGGCGGCCTCGGCCTCGGCTCGCTGGACGGCTGCATCATCGGCGAGGAGCTGGCCTACGGCTGCACGGGCATGGCCACGGCCATGGAGGCCAACGGCCTGGCCACGGCCCCGCTGCTCGTGGCCGGCTCGGACGAGCAGAACCGCAAGTACCTGGGCCGCCTCGTGGAGGAGCCCGTGCAGGCCGCCTACTGCGTGACGGAGCCCGGTGCCGGCTCTGACGTGGCCGGCGCCAAGACGACAGCCGTCAAGAAGGGCGACAAGTGGGTCATCAACGGCTCCAAGATGTGGATCACCAACGGCGGCGTGGCCAAGTGGTACTTTGTGCTGGCCAAGACGGACGCCAACGCCAACGCCGGCTCGGCCTTCACGGGCTTCATCGTGGACGCCGACTCGCCCGGCATCACGGTCGGTCGCAAGGAGATCAACATTGGCCAGCGCTGCTCCGACACGCGCGGCATCACCTTCGAGGACGTGGTGGTGCCGGAGGAGAACGTGCTGGGCGACCCTGGCTACGGCTTCAAGATCGCCATGCAGGCCTTCGACATCACGCGTCCGCCCGTGGCCATCGGCGCCGTGGGGCTGGCGCGTCGTGCCTTCGACGAGGCCCGCAAGTACGCGCTCGAGCGCAAGACCATGGGCGTGCCTATTGCCATGCACCAGGCCATCCAGTTCATGCTGGCCGACATGGCCACGGGTATTGAGGCCGGCCGCCAGCTTACATACAAGGCCGCGTACGAGATCGACTGCGGCCGCAAGAACACCATGTACGCGTCGATGGCCAAGCGCTTCGCCGGTGACCACGCCAACAAGGTGGCCACGGATGCCATCCAGATCTTCGGCGGGGCCGGCTTCAACACCGAGTACCCGGTTGAGAAGCTCTTCCGCGACGCCAAGATCTACCAGATCTACGAGGGAACGTCTCAGATCCAGCGCATGATCATCGCCAAGGAGATGTTCTCCCGCCAGTCCATGGACCCTTAAGCTCGGCCAGCCACTCGAGGGGAGGCGTTGGCTGGCTGCGCTTCGGTGAGCCGTGCTGACGGTTTGATTAGGATGAATAAGGTCGTGGAAGAGCTCCAAAGATTTGCTACGGGCGTGATGATGCGCCTGTGAGTGATGCCTCAAGCATTCAAGAGAAGAGTCCTAGAGGCAGCTCGGCGCCCACGAACAAGAGCAGTAACCAAAGGCGCTGTGAACTGCATGCGTGAAGCTGCTGCATTGTTAATGTTAAAGAGACTGATATCTTCTGCACTTTGGTGGTGATGAACAAAAATCTGCATCGTGGACAGCGGTCGCTCGGGAGGGAGGGGATCCTGGCGAAGGCAAGTGAAAGTTGCTTGCTGGCTGAGGTCGATGGTCACCACTTGCGGTGTTGTTTGTTGTCTATGATGAGGTAGCTGGCGCGCTCTCTACGAGGCTTTACTAGCTTTCTGAAACTTTGCTTTGAAGGATTGCTGAAGGTTTGTTGTGGAGGGAAATTCTGGGGCCGACTACCACTCAAATGTCCGCGCTTCCCACTTGATCTCCGGTCGAGGGTGCTCGTCCTTCTCGGGGGTCTCCTCCTTCACCTCTCCCTGCTTGACCACCACCTGCTTGCCCTGCGTGACAAAAGCATCATGAGCCAATTGCGATCTGTATTGTAATAAAGATCGCGGAGACCTACCTCGTCGAGTGGCTGGTTGGTGCTCGTGGGGGACTCCTGCGCCTTGTCCTTCTGCGCCTCTAGCTGCTCCATCAACGCCTGGTTCTCGCGCGCCAGCGCTTCCCGCTCGCTCACCGCCTGCAGAAGATCGTGGCGCTTCTCCAGCTCCACCGCCAACTGCTTGAGCTGCATCATCTCGATCTGGAAATCGTGCACGAAAGCCCTCCGTCAGCGTGACATCTCTCATAACACACAGCGGCAGATGCCTCGTTAGCTAGCAAATGGACTCACCTTCTTCCGCTTGACAAATCGCCTCTGGGCTTCTCGGTGTTTCGCTCGTCGCTCTTCATCCGTGGCGCGCTTGGGCGTCGTGGCGCTTCCGGGCTTGGCAAAGGTGAAGGCCGGCGTGACGACTGCCGGTACGGGTGAGGGCTTGTCGCCCATCCTGTAGTGCGGTGACAGCGACCCACCGATCATTGGCCTGGGCAGACTCGGCGGCGGATACCGCAGGCGCGTAGCCCCCGGCGCCAACGGATCGTCGCGCGGGGCCGGCGGCAGCGGCGCGAACGTCGGGCGTGGCGCCTCGCTGTACGGGTAGCGGTAGCTGCTGCTGTCCTGGTCCTGCGGGAACTGCTGCTGCTGCTGGGACTGGTAGGGCGAGCTCTCGCTCGGGTACGCGGGCGGCCGCAGCGCGTCGTACGCCAGCGAGGTGCTGGCCGTCGTCGGCGCGGCCATGCTTGAGGCCGCGTACAGCGAGGGCGTCCAGCTCGGGCGTCCCTGTGTGTGGTGGTGGTGGTGCTCCATCAGCATCGAGGAGTCTGTGTGCTGGGCGCGCTGCTCGGGGTCGAGGACACGCAGCGGAGGTGGCCGATCCACGCGCGACTGGAAGTGCAACTGGAAGTTCGCGAGCGCAGATCAATCAAGGCTTGCCTGGAAGTAAGTGCGACCGCGTGCTGCGCCGGACTTGTCCTTGTTGTTGTTGTTGTTGCTCGGTGCAACGTGAGGAGCGCGAAGCAGCCAGCAACCGGATCCCGTCACGCCGCCTACGCACTGTCGAATTGGATGAGCTGATGGGATGTCAACTGCCCCGAGAATGGCTGGCGCGTCCGGGCCGAGGCCGAGCGACCAAAGTTGCTACAGCGCCAGCACCAGGGCCCGCGTCGCTCAAGGACACTTGCACTGGCTGGTGACAGCCGGTGTTGCCGTATCTCTTGCGGGCGCGACTGCCAACACGACCGCGTGATGACTATCTGCGACGTGGCATGAGACTGCGATCCGTCATGCTTCTGAAGTTCGCGACTAGTTGAGAAACCATACAAATCATAAGTAACTGGCGAATGCTTGTCAACGCGAGTGGAATAAAACTACCAAGAAGCATGTTGACGGCCGGGGGCGATGGTCTCTACTGCCTGGCGGATCTCTTGCACTGTTGGTAGTCGCCGGCCGAATGCTAACCAGCGCCAGGCGACTTGAGTTGCGCGAGGCGCAAAAGAACAAGGGCGCGGAGAAGAGGGCGAGGTCCCGTGCGCCACGCGCGTGTGCGCGGATCCATTCGGAAGGCGATTGGCGAAAGTCTCTGGCGGCTTGGCTGCTCGCTCCAGCCGTCGACTCCGCTTCAGCCTGCCTGCCTCCCCGCCTTCATCGTCTCGGCCACTGCTAATCGCCGATCCCCGGGGCTTTGGGGCCTTTCGGTAGCCGAGCTCTCTTGCAAAAGATGCAGGAGGAAGACAGCGGGCGCACCTGCCGCTGGCCGGGCTGTCCTCGTGTCCTTGGCGACGCGCTGGGGATTGCGAGTTTGTCTCACGAAGTCCGTCTGGAATCCCCGCGACAGCAGCGGGGCGGTACGCGCATGCTCGCTCGCTCGCTTGCTCTGGGCTCGCGGGCGCTGTTGGTGGCGATTCCTTCTGCCTTCGGTTTGTACATGTTGCTGGGCATGGTCAACTGCAACGGCGGCAACTTTCCGGTGGCTCGCTGCTTCAGAAAGTGTGACGGGGAGGATACGGGCGGCTGACTGACTCCTCTTCGAACACTTCCGTCAAATCTGCGTTATCAGGAAAGCGTTCGTCCAAGTGCCGCCGCCGTGTTTCCGTGCGTGCTGATTGCCCGCACAATCAGCGCTGCACTGGCCCCACATCAGCAGCGCCGCCAACGCGAGCGCTGTTAAATGGCCGCTGGCGCACTTGAAGGATGTGATTCAGCGGTGCGCACTGCAAAGCAAGGGAGAGCGTTGGATCCCCACCGAACTGGAGTCCTCAATTGTGTTCGACGGTTGCACCGAATACTGTGTACTTTGCCAGGGCTATTTCCGATAGTAGGTTTGTTCGCTTTCCACTGGGCAACAGGTTTTCTTCATAAAGAACGTTTGTGTGTAAGTATAGCTGCTCATCCAAAGTTGGATAAGAGCAGCCTACGTACTGACGACAGTAGAAAATTAAGCTAAGTTACATTGCTAGTGACAATGTTGGCATGTGAGTATAAAAGCTAACAACATGTATTATGCACTCACACGTGCAACAGGGCTATTAGCGCGCATCGGAAGGTCTCTACGTGTAGTACTGAGGCTTGCGCACTTTATAATAAGTAGCAACGAATCAATTTGACAAGCATTGTTTGACCAATACGCTAAACAGTCTTTTCGCTTGAGTTTCGTGACCATCATTGCGTTGAACGCGAATTGGGCTAAGCTTACCAAAAAAAACTGGGAAGGTTTTTGGGGTCACCCCAACAAGTTGAACAATTCTGGATTAGAATCGAGAAAACTAAAAGGATGTGGAGTATACTTAATGCACTCCCTGAGCGCCGCTTTGCAAACGCAACCACCTACGCGCACCAAACGCGCACACCACTCGCCCGCTCGAAAGTATAAACACATGAAATCTACCCTAATCGAACAGCAACTTACGTTGTGCAAGGAGATGAAAAGTAACCAAAGCTAACCTCTAGTTTTTAACTACTATATTAAGTCGAGGTTTTGGAACATTAGAGGCTTGGTCCAAAATATATTCCAGTAGATCGCGTTGCTCCACTGGACGACATTCCCAAATTTATCCTATTTCTATCCGATTTTTATCCAGATTTTTCATTTTCCAAAACGAGAAATATTTCAACAACTAAAAGTTCCTATTCACAGAATTTCAATTGAACTGCGCCGATAAGATTCCCCGGTAAGGTTAACTAAAGATTTCTGATAAGAAATTTTAGTTGTCGAAATATATTTCCTTTAGAATCGTCGAAATCTTGTTTAATCCAATAAAATCCACAGATAGATTACGGATAAATTTTCACCAAAAAACCTAGGATCGTGCGAAAGTCACAACAAAGCTGTCTAAAAGCTTACAACAAAGCTGTCTAAAAGCTTTGTTGTGACTTTCGCACGATCCTAGGTTCAGAGATGTCTTTCACGTGAACGCACGTGTCTACCTTACTTAAAATTATTAGACGGTAGCCGAAAACAAAATAACTGAAACATCACCTCAAACCAACACTGATTATCTTGGACACCATGCCATCGTTCCTAATAACGCGGAACCTGTTCAACATGAATCCAATCAGTTGCGCCATTGCGCATTCAGGATGATCGTACAGTAAAGTGATCGCTAATTGAATAGAGTTTCTACTTCGATACCACAGACAAAGAGCACAATTATGATCGTTTGATACTGATAGAAAGATATAGTTCAAAACAATCAATTTTAGTTATACCTGCACTTCGATACGTACGACCTACGGGCATCTCCTGCGCCTGCTTCGCAGCCGCAGCAGCTGCCCGGCCGCACCGCTATTGATAAAAGGACGACCGATTTTCAAAGCAAAACCGAAACACAAACGTGAGATCTGTCTACGACTCGTCCAGACTGCAAATGCTCTTCTCGCTTTGTCAAACTCGGCCACCTCCATCATTCTCGAGATGTCGAGAGCACTCGGTCAATCGACATCAATGTAAACTGACTGGAAAACCTATTACCGGCTCGTCACCAGTTTGAAGGGACAGCGCCCGAATTAATCCTGTTTGGGCTGGTCCCGGCGATTTTGAATTTTCGGGGTTTTCCGGAACGCTATCAGCACTTCGTCGCTTCCTATCCCAGTATAACCCGGAGTTATTCCAGATAAATATCGTCTGGACCAGTTCGGTAATTTATACGACTTCCGGTGCGGGTCAATCACGTGTAGCAAAACGATGCAAACAAATACAAGTAGGCGATAGTTAGTCGGGTTTTCCTGATGCAAATGGTATTCCTGACTAGCATCACATCCACTATCACACTCTTGGTACAAGAATAGAAACTGGTGACAGTTGCAGCCTGCAACAAACGCCCCTTCGCCCCTGGCATGTTTGGTTCGCAGCTACACCAAGCCTGCAGGGACCGAAGGCTCCAGCAACATGCCCATGTCCTTGTGCCTTCATTGCGAAATGAAGACGATGCGCTTTCTACTTTCTCCAAGTATCACGCCAGCAATTGAGTTGATCGGATCAACTTGATCCCTTTTAGCGGTAGGTACCGTAAGATCAATCCTTGAAGTTCATGATCACAACACTGTATGCCGAGCTTTATAACGAAAAGAATCATGCATGAGCACAAATGCAATACACTCGGCGACAGGTTATATCGGCCACCCTCGTTTGTGTCCGCAACTTTGCCAATCTTTCGAGTTGGCGCTCGCTATTTAGATATGTTGGAGCTTTGATTGGTAGAAAACCGCTACATGTGTTACCCTCGGGAATTCCCAGCCTATCAGGTGGCTGCCATACAACTATGTGATTTTGGCACTGCGCCAAGTATAATCAGCCACCCCGAGGCATACAAAATGCAAGTATAAATATACTGGAATGATTCTAACAAAACACATGTTGCCCCCGATTTGCATGTCTGCGTTGCCGTGGCTTGCACGTTCGGCGCTCTTGTGGCCGACAGCGGTCGATATGTTGCCTCTCTTGCCTTCAGGAAGGCTCCCTAAAGTATATGCTTTATGTGGTAGCTGGCGTTGACGTGCAAGCTCGGTGTGGCGGCTTCCACATGTCCGCGGAAGTCACCAACCCCATTTTCCGTCGTTTTACATACATAGGCAGCTGAAACTCGGCACCATGCTAAAGCTCGTCGAGCGAGCCACTTCAGAACACATCCTGCAATGCCCAATTGCTTCATCGCATTAACTGGTATTCATATGAACTAGGTCAACGTTTATTAGCTGGATAATGAAGTTTGTTCGCCTGCTGCGGCCTCTCCACTTCATCATCTCCACCCACCGCCATGCAAATCGGGGGCAACATGTGTTTTGTTAGAATCATTCCAGTATATTTATACTTGCATTTTGTATGCCTCGGGGTGGCTGATTATACTTGGCGCAGTGCCAAAATCACATAGTTGTATGGCAGCCACCTGATAGGCTGGGAATTCGCGAGGGTAACACATGTAGCGGTTTTCTACCAATCAAAGCTCCAACATATCTAAATAGCGAGCGCCAACTCGAAAGATTGGCAAAGTTGCGGACACAAACGAGGGTGGCCGATATAACCTGTCGCCGAGTGTAGATGTATTGTGAATTCCGGCCAAATTTGCTGAATCGGGTCGGTTTTGGGGCCCCTGCCCAACTGACCAATACAAACATCAAGTCATTTGCCGAATCGCCGGCCAACAAACATATGGTTCTGTGCCCGCATGCCAAGCCCAATCCGTACTTAGCCACCCCGATCGAAAAATTAGAGTAGAACTCACAATACACGATGATGAGCATCCAAAACTTGCACTACTTTTCAGTTTATTACTCTTCATGGACCGAGTTTACAGGAAACGAAGCAGATACTCGACTCGGAACGCTTTCTAGCTCACACTACACACAACAAGTAGCTCTTTTCTCGCTCACCTCACATCCATTGGCACGCTACACTCACTTGCCAATCTTGGACTCTTTCACCGTCCAGGCCGCCAACTGGTACAGTTCGTTGATGGCGCCCAGGTCTCCGGAACTCAGGTATTTCCGCTGGCCGATGGCTTCGGTCGCCGTCGTGTTGCACACCGCCTTGGTAATGTCCGTGCAGTTGTCATCGTCGTTCAGGTTGCAGAATGTCGTGCCCTCCTTCACACAGTCCTCGGTGACCGAGTCGCTGCAGTAGTTGGGCTGGCAGAAGCCGTACGTCATGGGGTAGTGCATGACGCTGTCCAGGTCGTACGGGCCGCCGACACTCAGGTCGCGGATGGTCATCTCGGACCAGATGCTTTGGTCGATGTCGTCCCAGAAGACGCCGATGGTGCGCTTCGGGTGCTGGTGCTCGTGGTACATTCCGAGCGAGTGGCCGATCTCGTGCATGGCCGACCCGTAGACGGTCTTGAGGTCGTCGTCCACCTCGAAGCAGCGGTCGGCCAGGTTCATGGTCTGTGCGCCCTCGTCCGTGATGCCGATGCTGGAGTTGCAGTCGCGGCCGCTGGACGGGTGCTTGAAGTCCACCCAGTTGGCGCACGAGTCGCAGTACGACAAGCTCTCCTTCTCGCACGTGGCCGTGGTCACGAATCGCACGTTCGTGCTCTCCTCGTACTTGCCCATGGCCTCGTAGATGTACTCCTTCTGAGTCGAGTTAAACGGGTAGTCCTCGTTGAGCTGGTAGCATACGACGCCGTCGTCCCAGATGCGCTGCGTGGACACCACCACCAGCGAGAGACGGCGGCGGCCATCCTCCTCGTCCTGGCCGCTGGCGACCTGCTGCTTGTTCTTCTCCTCGTGCTCACGGTACGCGGTCTCCTCGTCGATCCGCTGCTGGAAGTTGTCCTTCGGACACGCCACCTGCGTGGCCTTGTCGTGCACGCGCTCGATGAGGTAGCACCCGGCCTGGCCGTTCGAGCAGGCCACGTACGAGTCCTCGCCGTAGTACTTCATGCTGCGGTGGCGCAGCGTCACGCCGTTCACCTCGCAGTCCTTGCTGCTGGTCGTAGCGGAGCTGCTGGCCTCATTGGCTTGGGCCGAGCTCTTGAACACCTTGATGTGCACGGACGTCTCCTGCTCCGCGGCCACGATGGCCAGCGTCACCAGCAGCGCCATCACTCCGGAGCACCGAATCCAGCCCGCCATGCCTGTCTAGAGGTTGTGTGATTGATGTCGAGGCGCCGAAAAGTGCCAATGGATCGGACGAGTGCTTCTCGTGCTTGTAGAGGACTGTAGCTGGATGGATAGCTTGTCAACCGCGTGCCTCGACTTGAGTCCGGTCGGGATACTCCTCACCTATCGAGGTAAGGTAAGGTAGGGGCCTTGACTGGGTGCTGGTCGGCCGCGCCTTTGCCTTGTTCCGTTAGAGAGCTAGCGTTTGGCAAGTGGCCGTCGAGATGTGATCGAGTGCGTGTGCCCACTTGAGTAGTTGTCGCGCGCTCGAAGAGGAGGCTGCCTTAGCCTTTCCGTAGAGTCCCCGTCGAGGCCACACACAAATGGCATAGCTCACGACCGGGAACCTTGAACGCGTCCACATGCTCGCGGACAGAGGCGGCCGAGCGTCCGCACATGGCAATGGCGACTTGGATGGGGAGTCCGGCGTAATGATCCGACCAGCGACCAGCGAATCATGTTGGCATACTGAAGGCAAGTGTTGGAGAGTCAGATCAGGTCCGTCCGGCTTTACATCTGCCGGAGCGGAACGATGTGGTCATGTCCGGCTGGGCGCCGACGTCGCTCGCTCGAGCCTTTACTCGGGTATCCATCGCCCAGGTTATCGGGTCTCTCCTCTGCGCGCGGCAGGACATCGTCTTCCGCTCTTGCTGGGCGGCTGGGAGCACTTCGCAACTCAATCGCACGATCCTCACCTTCGCGCTTCGCTCCCGGCCGGGGTGGAGTGTCTCGCATTCGCTTCGCCTCGCGCCGCTGCCGAACTATCCGTGTCGCGGAGACGAGAACGTAACACATACAAGCGTCTTGAAGAGCTACAGCACACTACTTACAGCCGAAAGATGAACTCTCGGTCCATGAACGTGCTGGCCGTGGCCGTGACGCTGCTGGCCGCGTGCTGCGCGCTGGCGCTGGGCGGCTCCTACACGTACCCGGAGTGCGCGGCCAACGGCAAGGGCTGCTGCGACTTCGGCACGGGCTCCATGCGCAACCGCGGCTACATCGTCGTGCAGCTCGAGGGCGACGACATGGTGGTCACCTGCTCCAACGGCAAGCTGCGCTGTTCGTACGAGAACCCGAACAAGAAGGCCAGCTACGAGGCCGCCGAGAACGTCACCTGCCCTGGTAAGACCGCACCAACTACTGACCATCTCCTTGCTATTGTTTCAATGTAAGGGCTAACTCGTGCTTTGCTTCTAGACTTCGCCTCGATGATGGAGTCGCGCTCGGAGATCACGTACCTGGACGGCGTCAAGCCCTCCAAGACCGCCACGGACGGCGAGTCGGCGGCCGGCACGGTGAAGGCTGCGGATATTTCGGATTAAACTATCCGCTTGGAAAAAAAAAAACTTTTTTCAAGGAGATCGCTCGCTTCTCCTGTGCGTTCGTCGCCTTTTCATCGTGTCCAATTGTAGTGAGTCCATCCATTCTGTAAGGAGAACGAGCAGGTCTGCCAAGCCGCAGTCATTAGAAAGAGAACACTAATCGTTAAGTACAACTACAGAATGCTGTCTGATGAATGGTCTTCACCTTACCGTTGTTTACAGCTCGGCAGTAGCCTCCTTGGCTTCAAACTTTGCCACCAACTAAGTCTCATCAGTAAGGTCCTCAAGTGCATGTGCAGTAGATACGATAAACATCATCAAACAATTTATTCTGTGTCTCGAAGCACTTTGCAACGAGTTAAGTGGGGATATACCACGGATGACATTCACGATGTCAAGTTAAATAGCAGACGCGTTTGCTTCCTTCCAGTTGAGGGCACTCCCCCATCCGAAGCTGCTGCACGCGTAGAGGAGGACGTCTTCCTTCGAACGCCCTCCGATCTGGTTAATCAACTGGGCACTTAGATCCATTCGTAGACGCGAGCGTGCTGCGGCTGGTCGTCGTAGTCCGACAAGTTCGACGACATGCGGCCACGCTTAATAGGGGCGCCAAACTCGTCGTAGCCCGTGGCGCGCCAACCGGCTGGCATGTGGTTATCGTGGTCGTCCGCAAACTTCGTCGACCTGCGCGAAGAGTTGGACTTGCCGGACGTCATGCGAGGGCCAGCCGAAGCCGAGGCCCAGCCCTTGAAGGCGCTGCGTCGAGACTGCGACGAAGACGAGCTGCGACGAGAAGAAGAAGACGAGCTGCTGCGCGAGGAGTTGCTCACACGGGATCGTCCGCTGCCGCTGTGGACGCGGTGCATCGGGTTCGAGCGACGCGGCGGGTAGTTGCTCAATCGAGGCTGCTCGATGGGCTTGGCGGGGGCCGGAGCAGGCACGCGCTGCGGGCCAACACGCTGGATGTCGGGCTCCGGAGTCGGGCTGTCCTGGCGCTCTCCGCTGCCTGAGCTCGTGGTGCTGTTACTGCTGGTGCTGCCGCTCTTGTTCTTGCTGTCGGAAGACGCAATGGACTCGAGCTTCTGTTCGGCGAAGCTGCTACTCCTGCTGATCTGGACGTGGCTGCTGCTCAGCTCGCTAGTCCGGAAGGAACCGTTCGTGCCGTCGAAGAAGGAGGCGCTCAACTCCCTACTCATGTCCTCCTTCGGGTCGTACGAGCCCTTGCCTCTGTGCAGCAGTGAGCGCGTTCTGCTCTGCTTCCTGACCGGGCCCTGGCTCATACTCAAGTTGTTAATTGGCTGCGGCCGGCTGACGCCCATGGTCGCATTGAAGTCCGGGCGAAGGTCCAGATTAGCGCTTCCACGCACAGCACGACGAACGCCGATAACACTCCTGGCCAGCGGCTTGGTGTCGTGGTCAAACAGCATCTCGTCGTCCTCCAGGCGGCGTCTCCGGGCCGGGTCCCGCGTAGCGAAGCGCTCGTTAGCGCGCACCTTGGTGTCCTGCATCGGGTTCGGAGGCAGCTCGCCGGCGGCCTCGGCCGTAGCGAACAGGATGGAGTCGCGTTGTCTGCTGTAGCTGCGTCCGATGCGCGTGATCTTCTGCAGAGTGCCGCCCAGGCCCGACGCGAGGGACGACATCTTGGACACCCGCGTCCGGTTCACCAGACGCTTGTTGCGCTGGTAGCAGAGGCCGCAGAGCTTCCAGTTCTGGAACGACGTAGTAGACAAACACGAGGAGCACACGAAGATGCCACACACATTGCACAGGTGCTTCTTCTTCCTCGAGAAGAAGCCGAGCGCGCGCTGGCAGGTCTGGCACTTGCGCTCGCGGTTCGAGCGCGACGTGATGATGCCGAAGCGCGAGGTCTTGGTGGACGCGGCGATGGCGGCGTCTCCGCTGGTCGCGGCGTAGTTCTCCACGAGCTGTCGATACCTGATGGACAGGCTGTAGGCGTCGTGCAGGCTGGAGAAGGCGCCGTAGAAGGGCTCGGCGCACTTGGTGAGCTCGACGTCGAGCCAGAGCTGCATCTTGAGGATGCCACGGTGGCTGGTCTCGGCCAGCACGAGCAGCATGGCGTGGATGGCGCCGCGGTGGACCTGCAGCTGCGCGTGGTGGCTATTGGCGCTGCGCATCTCGAACTCGCGCGCGGGCACGTCCACGGAGCGCAGCATCTTGAAGATGAATTTGTGGCCCGTCACGGGGTGCACGCCGCGGCCGACGGTCTCCATGAGCAGGAACTCCTCGGCGTGGCGCTCGTCCAGCATCGACCGGTACTTGACGTGCTTGAGCCCGATGTAGCGGTAGGGCGTCTCCTTGGTGCGCGGCACGAGCGAGTCCAGCACGCGCGCGTCCAGCAGCAGGTCGGCGCCGAAGAGCTCGCTCTCCACGCGCCGGTAGCTGCTCGTGTCGTCCGCGTGCAGCGCGCGCATGGCGTCCTGCAGCGTGCCGATCACGGCCTGGCAGCTGGCCGCCGTGGAGCGCCGGCGCCCGCCGCAGTCGCGCGTGTGCACGTAGGGGCTGACGTTGATGGGGGGGCGCGAGGCCGCGCGCTCCCAGCTGGCCGACACGGAGGGCGAGGCCGTGCGGCTGAAGAAGTTGCTCTGCAGCACGTGGGCCACGCAGTTGGCGTTGTCCTGCAGCAGCGCCTGCGCGCTGGCCTCCGCCGCGGACTGGTGGCGCATGTGAGAGCGGGGGCTATACTACCACGCTGGACGTGGTGGTGGTGGGGGGGGTGGACGAAGTGGCTTGGCCGCGACTGCGCTTCGACCCGAATGATATGGGCCCCGGCGGAGTGCGCGCAACGGAGTCGTCGGTCGAGTGAGGCCCGGCAAACGCAGCCCCCGGCGGGCGAAATGGAGCGCGTCCGCGAACCGTGCCTGCACTGCAGCTCCGGGGCGCCCCATCGGGGAAGATGCATCAGGTGCTGGACAGGACAGAGTTCAGCTAGAAGTAGCTAATCAAATGAAGTAGGTTGGATCACTTATGTAGGGGGAAATTGGTTCAATCTACTTGAATAGGTTAGATACTCCGTCGGCGGCCATCCGGCGGCCGCGATCCCACGAACATCCCACTCCGACTCGACAACATGCACTTCCAGCAGAGACTGCCGGAAGCGGGGGCCCGTTGCATACATTTGCGGCGTCTCCATCAAAATACCCGCTTCCGGCGACTGGGCATTAGTATTTTTTGCGTCTGAGATCGGGTCGTAGTCGCCGCGGTGGGAAGCCGAAGCTCTTCCTTCTTGGCTGCCGCGCGCCACGCTGGACGGCGCCGCAATGCCGCCGCGGTGTCGCCATCCATCCGGAGCCCGCGGCGACGCCGTCGTTGAGTTTCGGTGCGGTCCTTTCCCGTTGCTACTTCGCCGCGGTGGATCTTGTCCACCAGCTCGCCGTCTTCGTAGTTTAGTACATACGTACGTGTAGAGCTATCCTGGTACACGGCCTGAGGGCCGTGATCCAGCGAGCGAGCCGCGGCAGCGCTACGCGCACTGCAACAACGGCTCTGAATACACGGACCCACCCAGATGGGCACGGCACGCCGCCACGCTGGCTGCTCCCGCCCTCGGCGTCGCTCAATCGGTCAGTCAGGTCGGAGCTTATTCGACCGGCTTTGGCCCGAGCCGGAGTCCCCGTCTTCTTGTCTGCGCGGACGGAATTCCGACTTGCGACTTTGGGCCGGCGGAGCCACAGACCGAGTCGCACGTGGCTGCCACTTGGCTCCGCGGAGCGGCCGAGGCGGTACAGTGCAGCCATCGCACTTTCCTGCGGCGCCGACCCGACCTGACCCCGGACTCCGGGGCCCGGAGCTCGCAGTGATGCCCAACAGTCAACACCAGTCGGTCTCAGCTGACGCCTAGAGCTCCTTCTCAGCGCTGCTACAGAGGCTCGGGTGAGCATCAAGCGCCTTGCGTCATGTGCTTTTTGGTGTGGGGGCAGCGGTGCCGCAGCAGCCGACACCAGGATGGGGCACCCTATGACCGCGACACCCATTTCACTGGTAAGAACACTCGCATTACGAACTGCAGCTTGCGCGCTCTCCATATTCGAACGAGCCGCTCGTCAAGCGATGTGAGGTCTTCTCAATCGAGCGGGGAGGCTAAGTTAACCTCCGCGCGCAGGGCCGATGGCATCGAGTCGTTGCCATTCCGGACAGCCGAGTCTGACCGAGTCAGATGAGTCAAGCGCTGATCAGGAGCGACCGAGGTCACATGCACATGCCGAAGAGCAGCTTTCTCCAGGCGAGACCGCGCGGACGGGTCGGTCCATGTACCAGTGAGTAACTTCAAGCTACAGCGCGAACTACATCGGCTGCTGCTCACAACTGTCTCGGGCGCCAGGAATGCTGGACGACGAGTGTATCACCTCATTGACCCATGTGGACATTGGTGCCCGCCAGAAGGTCGCTAGTATTCACAGGCTCAACTATGTGGACGCCGCTGCTTGTTGCTGGCAGCAACAACTTTCGCAGGCGAATGCCTCGAAGCCATGGGATCCAGTAGATACTTGCTTCGAAAGCAGGAAAGCAAGTAGAAGTACAAAATATACATTTGAGCACGTTGTCGCCCTCACTGCCGCCCGCAGATTCTACTTGCCAATTGAAGGCAACGCCGGCGTACTCTACAACGCAGCTAGCACTCGGACGGTAGCTGCTTGCGCAGCACCTGCTGGCTCATGGTTAGCAGTCTGCGCGCGTCGTACCTCTCGGCGAAATCCTCGCACACCCGTAGCGAATCCTCATCCAACTGCGGCAGCAGCTCCACGAGCTGCAGTTCGCACCGACTGGCCAAGACGGTGAGCCCCAGCAAGCTCGCGCCGACATACAAGTCCATCATGTCGCTGGGCTCCAGTCTGGCGCTCAGTAGCTCGAAGCAGCCCGTGTAGATCCACAGCAACAGCCCCTTGAATGCCTCTAGCGATACTCCGTCCCGGTGCATGTAGTGAAGAGGAATCTCGTGCACCGCCCGGCTAGTCGAGGCTTCTGCTCCTTTATCGGAACTGCTGGCTGCCTGTGCCGTCTTGCCCTCGCTGAATCCGCCCATGAACATCGTGCGGAAGTACTCGACTTGCGATAGCACCGCCTTGTGCGCCGGCAGTCGCTCGAACGTCTCGGGCTCTGCATCCTCCACGGGCCACAGGAACACCACATCCGCATTTTCCTCGGAGAGCACTTTGCTCTTCATGTCCCCTCCAAACTGCTGCGCTTCGGAGCTGGCTGGCTCCGTCCCAGTAAGATACTGATCCCTGCGCTGGAAGGAGGGTGGCGGCAGCGAAGCAAGACGTTCCTTGCGCCACGTATCCAAACACTGGACGACGAGTGCGTCACAACAGACACGGCTTGCGAACTGGCCCAATGCCTTCCGCTTGTGGCTAACAACATCGAGGCGGTTGGTGTACAAGAACGTCAAGAACGCCCGAAACACTTGAGCGTCCACATCCTGGAACTCGTCCACCTGGAAGCATTCTTGTTTTTCCCTGTTGTTGCTGTCTCCTCCGCTAGTGTGAGCCTCTTCATCATCGGTCTTGGCAACATTATCGAGCACACGCAGTAGGCCTCGGATGTAGCTGCTGCGCGCGCATATGACAACCCGGTGAGCTTTGATGCGCTCAATCTTCGTAGGGCCGCCCACGACGAACACCAGGTCGGCGAAATCACCGTTAGCAAGTACACGATCGTAGCTCAGTGAATAATGAGCCCCACGTGGCCGCACTGCCACCGCACAGTGGTTTGAACCAGCGCCCACTGCAACCGCAACGTTATCTTTCAAGCCGAACACTCGCTGGGGGTGCACTGAGTGCTGGTACTTGCCGTTTCCGAGCACACCGAAGGCGTTCCAACCCCATGACATCACAGACCCGTCGCGCGTCAAGGCGAACGTTGAATGCGAACTACAGCAGGCACTGACAGCCTTGATACGAGGATCGTTAGCTAGAGCCTGCTGCACTCTCGGGAAGAAATAGTGCGCGTGATGCTGCAGGTCGTAGAACGTCTCGCCTGCGCCGTGCTGGCCGTACTCGCTGTGGCCCCACGTGTACACCTTGCCGTCATCCGTGACACCCACACTGTGGTGGCTGCCAGCGGCGACCGACACTGCGGGGCGGGCCAACTTGACCTCCTCCGGCAGCCAGGAAATGTTGATCCCCGTGCCCAGCTGCCCGAGCACACCGAGTCCCCACGAGAAGCATACTCCAGACCGTGACTTCGGGTCGTCTTCATCCAGCGTCGTCTCCTCCGAGCCCACGATCCTAGAGCATGCAAGCGAGTGCTGCTGTCCACAGGCAATGTGCTCAATAAAGTACCCTTCGAGCGCTCGGATGCGCTGGAACTCGGCCGAGTTGCGTCTCGATCCGAGTCCGAGCTGGCCGTTGTCGTTGTAGCCGCAGCTAAACACCGCGCCGTCGCTCGTCGTGACCAGCGAGTGAGCAAAGCCCGCGGCGATGTTCGTCACCACGAGCCTCGACAGCGGGCCGGTGCACAGCCGCGGAGTCATGCACGGCGCGCGAACCGTCTGCACCTTGACGCTATCACTGGCATCCCCCGCGTCCTCGTACACCTGCATGGAGTCGCGCACCAATCGGGCCATGATGCTGTCGTCCATGTGGCGGCGCAGCTCCTCCCTGGACCGGGCCCGCTGCGCGCGCCGCAGCTCCTCGCTGGATAGCCCAGCCAGCTCAACCGTGGCCCGGTCCGAGGCGTCGGTGGCCGCGCCGTCCTCACCATACAGCACCTTGGCCACAGGCAATAGACCCCACATAAACACGTCGCCCGAGACCGTAAGGGCCAGCGAGTGCGACTCGCCGCACGAGATCTTAGTCACGAGCTGGCCGGCCAGCTCGCCGCCGACTCGTCGCGGCAGGGCGACGGCGCTGGCCACTCCGGCCACGTCGCCCAGACCCAGTTGGCCCTCTCGACCGCGGCCCCAGGCGAACACCTGGCCGAACTCGTTGAGGGCCAGCGAGTGGCGCTCGCCGGCCGAGAAGTCCACGATCACCTCGTCGCGCAGAGCCTCCACTTGGCGCTAGGGGGATGAGGACAGAGGAGAGGTTTGTTGGCGTTTGGGTGAGGGATACGGGGTAAGTAGTATGGGGACGCACCATCTCGAAGACTTCCTTGTCGGTCACATCGAGCCCGAGCTGCTGCGAGTTGTTGTGGCCCCACACGTAGAGCGCCATGGGGCTTGGAAAAGTGAGACTGACGTTCGCTCGAAAAATGAAAGAGGGTACATGTAACCGGAGTTCTTTCGCTTCTGATTGGTCCAGAGGTCTGATTCTGTACCCTTAGTCAGATGCGTTGAAGTTGCAGCAAAACAAGACTGCGAGAAGAACGCAATGGGCAAAGAGCGAAGAACGAGACGAGATAAAATGAAGAAGGAGAAGGAGGAGGAGACCCCTGCAGCTCCACCGGCGGATCAAGCATCGACCCAGCCCAACCGAGTATCAAGCGTTAAGGTGCTGCAAGCAGCCAGCAACACTCGCTTTCACGCGCCCACCAAGCTCGTGCTATCCATACCTCGTTGTAGCCGGTGATGTCGACTGTGCCAGGCAATTTTTCGCTCATGAAGTTATTGGCCTCGCGCAAGTGCTGTTATATCTAAGGGTGTCCTCGACCGCTAATGATGCACTAGCTGCGTGCATTTGAATCAAGCCTACGCTCACTGCTTTGAGCCGCTTCATGGCAGCCGCCACTATCGAATTCGCGCCCTTGCCAGCATCAACCAAGCATGATCGACTCGCAAGCTCTGTCGCCCGTGCTGGCCACGGCCTTCGCCCTGCTCCTCGTCTGCTGGAAGCTGCTGTCCAAGCCGAGGCCCCACTCCAACGGCCAGGAGCTCTTCCGCCCAGCGTCCACGCTGCCATTTCTCGGCAACACGCTCGACGTGCTGTGGTTCCAGCGGCACCGCCTGCACGACTGGATGACGGAGCAGAGTCTCGCTAGCGGTGGAAAGCCGTGGCTCCTGACGGGCATCGGCCAGCGCCCCAAGGTGGTGCTGACGTCGCCCGCCGCCTACGAAGACGTGTTCAAGACACAGTTCGACGTGTTCGTGCGCGGCCCGGGTGAGACGGTGCTGGAGGTCCTGGGCCAAGGCATCTTCAACGTGGACGGCGACAAGTGGCGTCACCAGCGCCGAGTCACGAGCCACCTCTTCTCCATGCACATGCTCAAGGACTGCATGAAATCCGTGGTCCGGGAGAAAACCGTCCAGCTGCGAGAAGTGCTGGCCACGTGTGCGGAGCGCGGCCAAACCGTCAGCATGAAGTCGCTGCTCAACAAGTTCACAGCCGACACGTTCACGCGCATCGGCTTCGGCGTGGATCTCAATGGCCTGGCCGACCCGGTGGACGTGGACACGTCGCAGCCGCTGGACACCGCTCTTGGGGTGGTGCAGACGCGGCTGCAGAGCCCCGTGTGGCTCTGGAAGCCGCGCCGGTTCTTCAACGTCGGCAGCGAGCGCGTGATGCGGGAGAATATGCAGCAAGTGCAGGACACGGTGCAGAAGATCATGGCCAAGTCCCTGGCCGACAAGGAGCACCAAGCGAACGGAGAGGAAGCCACGACCAGCTCGAAGCACAAGGACCTCATGAGTCTCATGTTGCAGTCCGGAGACTTCACCGACCCCCGCGAAGTTCGCGACATATGCGTGAACTTCTACGCCGCTGGGAAGGACACGACCGCCTTCAGTCTGTCATGGTTCATCGTCATGATGAATCGACACCCGCGCGTGCTCTGCAAAGTGCGTGAGGAGCTGCGTCGTGTGGCCCCGGAATTGTTCACGGGTGAGCTGGACACGCCCACGCTGGGGCATCTGCAGCAGTTGACGTACCTGGAGGCGGCGCTGAAGGAGAGTCTGCGGCTCAACTCGCTGGCCGTCTATCGCCTGGCCAACCGAGACACAACGCTGAGTGACGGCACTTTTGTCCCCAAGGACGCGCGCGCTGTGTTCTCCATGTACGCGTCGGCCCGTCAGCCAAGTGTATGGGGATCTGACGCTGCCGACTACAATCCGGGGCGCTGGATCGACGAGGAAACGGGCAAGCTTTCGTCCTTCAAGTTCGTGACGTTCAGCGCCGGCCCGAGACAATGCATCGGCATGCGTCTGGCCATGATGGAGATGATGACGGTGCTGTCGGTGGTCTTCAGTCGCTTCGACCTCGAGACGGTGGTGGACCCCCTCGACATCACGTACGACTTCTCTCTGGTGCTGCCCGTGAAGGGGTCGCTGGCTGTGCGCGTTCACTCGTTGTCGGCGCACATGGCGTGAAAGTATTCGATCGAAGAGTGGTGAAGAGGAAGTTAACGAGGAGATGAATCAACGCGACAAGTTGTCGGTCTATACTTCGTGCAAGTGTTAAATTATTTGCTGGTCGATCCACTTGAGCGTGTACCACTTGTAGTCCTTGTAGTAGGGGTGCTTATGTAGGTTCAACCCGAAGTGACCTCGCAGCCCCAGCTTCTTGAAAACTTCCGTCGGGGGGACATTGTAGAAGAGCAAATAGTACAGTTCCACCCGAGTGCTGACACTACATGTAGACACGACGGGGACCTTGATCGGGTATCGCTTCTGGTGGGTCGCCACCTTCGACGCGAGGTTTACCTGCGCCTTCTTCGGCATTTTGGCGAAAACGAGCTTTGCCTGGAGATCAAGGGGAAGTTTTTCCAGCATTTTCACGCGTAGCTTGGCTGGGGTCACCTTGTTCTTGTTGCTCTGCGTTAGACTCTTCACTACGCCGGCGAGGTCCTTGTTCTTGATCAAACCTGTCAGAGCGCTGGGGATCTTGACTGCTCGCTCCTCACCTTCAGCGGATGTGGACAAACCACCACTGGCCATCGATGAAGTGTCAGCCAAAAATTCGATGGGGACACTGTTCGAAGCCGCTAATGCGCTTTCCAGTCGGAGAAATCGTTTCCCTGTGCCTTCGTTGAGGTCGCTAGTGATGGAATGATCCGCTGATGTCGCCTCGACGGGGGCTGCGCAGCTTGAAAAGATAATGATCAATACCAAGACAAAACGCTTCCGCATACTTGCACTGGGCCAGTTAGCTTTTTGAGGCGGACTTGGCGGCTAGATAGGAGCGGATTGTGAAGTGGTGGTACGGTTGGCAACCGGGTTGCAAGTGGGAAAAATATAAAAATGTAGATAACGAGGATCACTTCAGACGCTGCCAATTTGATAGGTAATCGCAAAAACTTGTGCCAATCTGAAGAGAACGGTAGAATCGCACAGAAAATCCCACAGACAAAATGATAAACCCACAGGCATACGGGGAAATGCACAGAAAAATATGTCACCTGGTGTAAATCCACAGACTTTAGGGGGAAAAGCACAGATCACGAACTAATATAAGGTGGGCCACATCGTATTCGAACAGGCTCCTAAAGTAGGCCTAAAGTAGTTACCTGAGGACTCGATCAAACTGAACTGTTGGCTGTGGAGACTGTTGCGCCTGCGGTGACCGGTGAGACTGTGGTGACTGTGGTGACTGAGTCGAGGGCTGTGGAGACTGTTGCGCCTGTGGTGACCGGTGAGACTGTGGTGACTGAGGCGAGGGCTGTGGAGACTGTTGCGCCTGCGGTGACCGGCGAGACTATGGTGACGAGGCGAGGGTTATGGAGACTGTTCCGCCCGCGGTGACCGAGCAGATTGAAGCAAGCGGTTTTGGAGTTGCTGAGATGACACGCATAACGTACAACTGGGAGTTGGTGTGCACACTTACGTCGGAGGAGGAGTTACAGGAGTTTCAGGACTTGGAGTTCTGCTGCGCGCGAGTCGGGCACACCGATCCGTCCCGCCCATGTCGAATCTGTGACGACGCCGAGCACAATATGGTCGAGCGGAGAATGCGCTGTGGAAGTCGGACGTGCAAGCTGTACGAACGCTGTAAGTTTGTCTGGAAGTTGTGGTTGTGTGAGGACTCGAAACGGTACCAAGTGTACCACAATAGCATTGACCACGTGCGGCCCGCGGCGGTGGATTACGAAAGCCCACACAAAGCTGTGATAACCGCGCAAATGAAGAAGTTCATATTGCAACAAGATGAGTGTGCCGTCCCACCACAGCTAATCCTGAGCAGCATGCGTCGTTCGACAGATATTGTTCAACCTACGCGCGGATACCCTTCCCTGTCACAAGTCTCCAATTGTGCCAAATATTTGCGCCGTCTTCAAGGAACCAAACATTCTAAATTCGCTGTTCGCCACCTCATTCGACAACACGCGTTCGACCCCACCGGGGAAAGGGACTGTGCGTTTTTCTTTTGGGTACCGTGATGATGAAGGTGGCCATCCGTACGTGGGTAAAGGGACCGATGACGACTCATTTGTGATTGGTGTCACCAGTCTTGCGCTGGTCACCGCTTCTATTGAGTTTGCTTCGCCAAGCCGTTTCACACTCTTCCACGCAGATGCAACGTTCAAGCTAAGCGACCTTGGTTATCCCGTCATCACATGCGGCTTCTCTGATGCCTCCAGGTCCTATCAGCTTTCAGCTATATTTGTGGTTAGCCATGAACTGCCAAGGAATACGCTATTTGTCTGAGCTCACTAGTACGGATGATTAAACAAGTGAGGCCTTCGGCTCGGCTACACATTGACGCGGTCATGGGAGATGCTGAAGACGCCCAGCTCAACGGATTTCAGCAGGTGAGACCGTTCGACTCGGCAACATATTTGATGTGTTTCTTTCACGTGCTATACAATGTTTGAAAGCGCACACGGCACTTACAGCTAAAAGATCGCAGAGCTGTTATGGACGGAATTGTCAAGATGCACTACGCTGAAAACATGAACACGTACTATAAGCTGAAAGACGAAGTTCTGGCTGGCTGGAAGAAGGTGCCGCGGTTGAAAGAGTTCACCAAGTATTTCTCGGAACAGTGGCTCAATGGCCGATACTGGCGTTGGCAAGTGTTCCACACCAGTCGGGTATGCAACTACGAATAACCCATGCGGAACTTTCAATGCGATCCTGAAAAAGTACACAGGAAGACGCAGATACTTCATGCAGCGCCTTCTCACAGTCACAATGACCGTGATTCACGATTCATTGCCGCAACCCCCAACGCCAGACACCAAAATCCATCCGCCGACAACAGCAACCGGTAAAGCTGCAGCGGCAATGGTCGCAAAAGGACGCGCGGCTGCTTACGCGACACAAACCCCTACGCTATGCCGCGTTAGGCAGCTTCCGAAAGAGTCGACCAGAGACGTGCAAGAAATGGAAGAGTTGTCTGCTGCACTTGATGGACCTTTTACAGAAGCGGTGGACAACTCCGAAACATCTGGAGATGAGCTCTTAGTGGGCCCTGCACTTCTTGTAAGGGAGCAAAGGACTCGCGCGGCCAGACTTTACAACAATGTCGTCACGTGGTCGCTTTGGTATGCCCACACTAACGGTATGCCAAAGGATGGCTGGATTGTTGACGTGGAGAAGTTCGTGTGCGGCTGCAAATTCTACAATAAGTTTAAAACCTGCTGCCACATTGTGATCGCGCGCAAGGTAAAGAGTCTAAGTCGTCCGGGTGTTGAAGACAAATCCGAGAAGCTGATTAACCGGCAAGTCCGCAAGATCAAAAGTGGCTCGCTGGGGAAGCGCAGCAAAACAGAAGAGAAAGCGGTTACTAACGTTGCCGCAGAAACAGAAGTGCCACTACAAGAGTCAAGTGATGGCCGCCCACTGTTAGCGTCTAGGGCCCTGGACTTGCAGTACGTCTTGTGCTCGGACACGTGAATTACCCCCTCACAATGTAGTCGATTTGGTTTGGTTATTTGGAGCACGTCTTCGTAAGGAATTCATCTAGCATTGTGTCATTCCGATGTCTGCAGAGGTTACATTCGCCGGTTGTCGATGTGTCACCACAGTTCAATCGGTCACCGTATTTCTATTCCTTACCGTCACCGCATCTTAAACTGTCACCGTGTCCAATGTAAGCATTGAATTAGACGTTAGCCAACTACGACAAACCGAAATCAATGCCCATGTTGCTCTCCTCACTCTCCTCGCTCTCTGCACCGTCCCTCTCTTGGCTGCTCCCCTCACCGCTCTCTTCCTCGGCGCTCTTCGCGCTACTCTCCTCCTCGCTGATCTCCTCCTCATCGCCGCTTGGCCCCCCGCCACTCTCTTCTCCATCACCCTCCCCTGTATCAACTTCCATTCGCGATCCATTGCTGCTGTCGGATTCTTCTACTTGCTCTGCATCGCTGACCACCGCCTGCAAGTGATTGCGCGACCGATGCTTATTCCTCGTGTTTCGATTACTGAAGGCGCGGCCGCAGTCCCCACAAATGTAGTCGCCCTCATCTTCACACTCGCGCTTGTGCGCTGTTAGGTCTCCGCGTGAGTCAATCGCCACAAGACACTTTGGTGTCGAAAACGACAGCCTCGGTGGAATTGGACTTCTACCGAATACCGCGAATACAAACGTAGCAGTGCAAACGGTAGTTTTCCTTATCATAGGCGGCTCCACTGTGGGCGAGGTCCCCTCGAAAAAACAACACGTTCGCCCCGCTGCAATACGAGCACCTTGCGCTTTTGCATGCTCGCCCTGCTTCCGGTGCAGCCTGGGTAAACAATCATCTTCGTTCCGTTCATTAGCGCTACGACCACGGATCCGTGCACAGGCTGACGCTTGAGCAGCGCCTTGGCGGTTTCGAACGCGGGAAAGTCTTGGTGGGGATCTTGGTCGGGTTCGCCTGGATACGAATACAATGCGTGCCAAGCACCGTCCCGTACTTCCCAGTCTTCGTTCGCATGCTCAACTTGAGCTTTAATCGTCCCGTCAATAAACTCCATAGCGTCACCAAGGTCTTTAATGTCGGCTTGGCGACGGTATTCGTCCATCTTCTTCGAATACACCTTGCGGAATATGGGCTTGAACACGAGTTGCTTAATCTCTCTCAATGCAGCCTTACACACGTGCACTTCAAACCTCCTCTTCGCTACGAAGTACCCAGCGTTCCAAAAAAGAGATCTCTCGTTTCGTAAAGCCGTCCATTTTCCCTAGCGCTTCACTGTCCTCTTGCTCACAATCGTGTCGATGCTGCCGCTGCACGTGCAAGTGCTGACGGCCCTGGTGCCGCTGAAGGTCGTACCGATGCTGATACTCGTGATGCGGGTCGTGCCGCAACCGAGCAAGCCAAGATGCCTCTCTTCGAAGTCAAGCCACTGCCAATGCAAGCGAGCCACTATAATTGGTGACGAGCTGCTGCTGCTAGTGGCACTGGCGGGCTCTTGCTGCTGCTGGCTGGGGTCCTGGCGCCGCTGCGCGAGCTGCTACTGCTGGCTGGGGTCCTGGCGCCGCTGGGCGGGCTTCTGTTACTGCTTGGGACCGTGGCACCGCCGCGCGTACTTCTGCTGCTGCTGCGCTCGGATGCGAAAGTGAGGCACGCGGCCTGCATGCCAATAGTCCGGACACCCACTCAGTGTCTACCTCATCTGCCAGAGGCAATGACGCAATGGCAGCTGCTTTAAGATGGGGGACAGTGATTAGAGCTGTGGATTTCATAGACTAGCATCTGTGGAATTCCCTGTTTTGTCTGTGCGGTTCACCTTACCTCCAATCTGAAGGGTGAACGATGATCGAACACGCTGCTACTACATAAACTGCACAGTAGGCAAATACTACTTTCTGTGCTATTTGGTGCAGTTTTGGGGATATTCAATATATCCAGAGTAAACAAATCAGCGGCTGCTATCGCGCAGCTGCGTAATATTAACTTACCTTCGGACTGGCTGGTAAGATAAATTCGTTTTTAGAAAAAAATCAGTGGCCTCCTGTCGCCAGTCCAAAACCCTCCCTCCTCCCCCGCAGGCCGCAAGCGATCAGGTCCTGACCCCGTGGCATGGTGCGTACGCGTGAGTTAGTTCATGTATTCCCTACTTAAGGCTAACCTGTACGTATCCATACTCTATGTCAGGCCCCGGACGAACGACATAGCTGCCGATGGAGCTCGCGATGTGTATCCAGAAGCTCCTCTCGAGATGGTTAGTATGAATGCAACACCCAGCCAAGCAAGCTCAGCCCAAGCTCCTCCCACCACCGATCCACCCCCACTCACGCCACCAGAAGAAGCAGAAGCAGAGCGGATACGGCTTCGGGCGAAGAAGCGACAGCAGCAAGAAAACACAGTGCCGAAGTCTAGACGCCCCCCCCCACGCTGCCAAACTGACGAGGATCGGCCCCGAAACGCTGAAGCGGACGTCAATCCCGTGCCGACCAAGCTGAGCGTTGGGAGTCCCGCCTGGCCCGTCAGCTGGCAGCTGACAACGAGGATGAAAGTGAAGGTGAAGCAGCGCTAGCGGAAGTATTGGCGCAGCTTGAGGAAGAGGATGAAGATGAGTCTCCGGACAACAGTGACGATTCGGACTACAACGCCGATCGACGAACACCTGAGGGCGATGACGATGGAGACTCCCGTGACGGTATTGGACGCGCTAGTGACATCGATTCCGCTGCGAATAGTGTGCTGACACCGAAGAAGTACCAAACCCCAAAGAGGCATGAAACACTGAAGGTGCACCAAACACCGAAGAAGCACCAAAACCCGAAGGCGAACCAAAAGTCTGTCCAGTGCGAAGACGAAGAATCGGAAAGTCAAGGTGGTGTGGAAGATGTACCAGTCGTCGGTGGCTACTTGGAAGGAATTCCTATGTACTGGTCGTCGTGGAAAAGTTTCTACGAAGCGTTCGACGAGTTCCAAGAGGCTACGTACCAGCGCTTCCCGTCCCGCACAAGTACCTCAATTAAGTCCAGGAACAAGCAAATTGCTGCCGCGCAGAAAGAGGTCAAAAAGAAACAAAGTAAGCCGAAGACGAGAAAGGTTCGCGCCCACCGACAGAGCACAGGTGGCACACTATTGCCAGAGTCATGGGAGAAATACAGCAGGACGTTCGTGTGCACTCATGGTATTCCGTACGAGAGTCGTGGAGAAGGCTTGCGGCAGCATGACGCCGTCCGTTTTGTGGCGTGTACTGCTCGTATCAACGCACGGGTTTGTAGTCGACCGAGTGGTGTTGGATTTCATATCGTTGTGAATGCAACGGTAACGCACAGCCATTGTCTCACCGAACATCAGTGGTATAACTACACTGAGAACAGACGCGTCTTGGATCCGGAGCTACGCCGCGATGTGGCAGTCATGAACAAGGCAGGGGTCAAGCCACGCGGGATATTAGCATATCTTCGAGCCAAAACAGGTTGGTGTTTTTGGTGTGTATTCTGTATATTGCACGAAACACTAATAAAATTTGGTTTGGTGTTCTATAAAGACAAGCGAACGATTCTACGAGACGTGCACAACATGATCCAGGACGCTAAGAAGTACTTTAACGGAGGTCGATCGGATGCGGAGCGCGCTGTCTCCGTGCTGGACGAATTCTGCGAGATGAACACAGGAAATGTGGCGGAGTTCGTCATTGACAAGGAGTGCAAGTGATAACGTTCCAGTCAGCGCGACAGAAGCGTCTCTTTGCAGCCTTCCCCGAGGTTGTTCTGGTCGACTCGACTCATAACAGCAACGCGAACCGTTATAAGCTATTTAGCTTCGCAGTCCACGACGTCTTCGGCCGGGTGGGTAAATGCTTTCAGGCTCTAACCAAAAATGTACTGAACATTTGTATAATTTTCTGTGTGGTTTATTTTCTTAGGGTCAAGTCGTGCAACACGCATTGGTGCGGGCGGAAGAGAAACCGAACTTGGCCCTTGCTGTCGCAGCATTCAAAAAGCACAACCCTGAGTGGTCCAAGATCCGTGTTGTGATGTCGGATAAGCCACTGCATGAGAAGGGGGTGCTGTTGGAAGGATGGTCGAATGCGCGCCAGCTACTATGTCGTTGGCACGTCGAAACATGGTTGAAGAAACAGTGCTCCAGACTGGGAGACGTCGGGCCTACAGAAACGAAGGAACTCAAGTCAATTATGAAAGAATGGGTGAATGCGGCATCTCAGGAGCACTATGACGACCAGAAGAAGGCTCTGCTCGAGACAGTCGGGAATAACGAAGAAAACCTGCTCTACAAAAGTTTTATGAAGCACTGGGATACGACTACTGACGAGTGGGTGATGTTCAAGCGTGGTGACGTCCCCCACCTGATGAACAACACGAACAACCGTCTGGAATCGAAATGGGGCCGCCTCAAAGAGGTTATTGACGGTAGTGTCACTGTTGATGAGCTCCTCTCCATGCTGATAACAATGCAAGACTACGCTGAAGAACGCTATCTGGCTGACTTCCATCGTGTCAGCAGTCGCCCTCCCATTGCTGAAGATCCTGAGTTAACTGCAGTGGCCATGTAGCTCAGCAACTACGCCTTCGAGATGGTGGCCCATCAGTACACATTGGCTGTCGGACCTCAGGGCTGTTACGACATGGAGACGACACTAGTTGGCAAGGCGAGAGTCGACAGGCAATTCGCACGTTGTAGATGCTCGGGTGAGATTTTGGTTCAATTTTGGTGGTTTGGTAAATTTTCGGTGCTGTGACTAACGCTGGGTTTTGTTCTACCAACAGCTTGCTGCATGCGACTGTATATTCAGGCAGACCTGTTTGCTCCCGTGCCGCCATGTCATGTATGTCCGTGCCAAGCCTAACTACGAGACGGTAGTTCCGCCAATGATTCATTTCGCTCCCCGTTGGATCGTCCAAAGTCCAGCTAACAACATCGATGAGGGGCCTGTACTGACGGGGGGATTAAACCGCATCAACTGCCCTCCCCGCCGTGCCCCACGAGCACTATCCAGCGACGCGAAGTATAGCCAAGGCAAACAGATTACAGAGAAGATCATCGATGTCCTCTCGATCCAGCCGTCTACCACACACAAACTGGTAATGCAGTGGCTTACGGGTTACTACGACGCCCTACATACTGGCAAACTGGAGGAGTTCCCTGGCCAAGATCTGTGTGCAACAAGCGGCTTTAACGCGCTGTCTCAAGTCTCTTCGGTTGGTGGTGTGACAGCATCGCAGCTTTCTTTTGGTGAGATGAGCAGCGCGCCCGAAGACGAGTCGATGTGCGATGTGACGGCAGGGACGGACCTTGAAGAAAAGGCGCCCGTCCCAGTAGCCGCACCACCGGAATCGACTAATCACCAGACGACTATCGCACCGTCTCAGCATGAGAATACTATAGGTCGAAGTCCAGCGGATCCTATCACCTTAGCATCGCCACCGAAGCGTAAGAGATTGACGCGGCGTGCGGAAAGGCACGAAGCGTCGACCGGAGAGCTGCAAGTTGCAAACAACAAGATTCGGTTGCGCATCTCAGAAGGGAGAAAGGCGCGTGCCGTTAAGCTCTCGGCGATTCGTAAAGGCCCGTACAGCAGACGCACCACCATGTCGTTCATCGAAAGGTTGAGCTTGCCATCCGTGGAAGTGGCTGGGAAGCTCGACGTTCGTAGTTTCAACATTGGACAGCCCGTCCCAGTGATTAAGGCGATTCCTCAACTGGAGAAGATCGAGGAGGCCATAGAAGCAATCGAAAACAAGAGCAACAAGGCGCTGCTTGCTCGGTGGGAGGACTATGGGTTTGCCACGTACGGGCAATTGACGCTCATGGCTCGAGTGATCAAGGCACGAAACAACTTCAAGTTAGTCGAAGATACGATGAAGTGGATTGACTCCTTGGCGTTTCGAGTTGCCAGTATTGTGCCGCCGTTCAAAGACATGGAGGACGTGACTAAGGTAAGATTTCCTTGCACCGAAAGTATACCAAAAGTATCCTAAAAACACCAAACTTACTGATGTGCTTTGTGTTTAGGTGGACCATAAGCAAGCAGTAGACGAGCTGAACCTGGGGCGGTGGTACGTTGGCCGACATGAACAAAATGGCTGTGAATTCCTGGATTTTCGAGAGAAGCTCTGGCTGCACTCGGGGTCTATCATCGGTGGCCTTTTGGCACTCCAATCCGAGTATTTGGATGTTGCCATTGCCAACCCTCGCTTTCACGACTTTGATGATGCTGATCAGAAGATGCGCACAGCAAAAGGATATGGCGCTGCGAATGCCAGGGCCAAGTTCGTCATCAGCGTGATTAACTTGGGGCACCACTGGGGTACATTTTTCGTGGATACGGAGACGAAAATCTACTACCTGTTTGACCCCATGCAGCTGACTAGCAATTTGTCCGCGCTGAAGGAAGCAGTTCTCACTGTGGTTAAGAAGATGCTGGACATGACCGACCAACTGGACTACCACGTCATTACCCACTGCCAGCAGAGGGATGGTACGTCGTGTGGCATTTGGTGCTTGGTGGTGTTGGAACTACTACTGTTTGGTGCAACTCCTGAAACCTGATCTGACTACTGGAAGGACTCTCTGTACGAAGTGGTAGGCTACTTGAGGTTGCGCTACCTACGGAAGGTGATTAGCTTGCAGCTTCAGCAGCCCCAGCAGGTTTAGTAGGCACCCTAACTTCTATACATATCTTTGGTACTTGATTTTTGTGCCAGGCCAAAACACCAAAGTCATACCGAAACTAAGGGGCTTAGAGTTTTTTTGTTAGCGTTTGTGGTAGTTAAAAGTAGACGCCACTTCAAATTTTTGAATATTAATGTACCTTATATTTTCCAATACTATAATTAAGTGCTCCTATAGGTACTCATCTGTCACAGATGCTGCTGTGAAAGAGAGCATTGGCTAGGATGAATGACCACTATAACCTATGCTGATACAACGCACAGGAATACGTAAATTACTGGCTCCCCGTAATATATTCTTGTAGATCCTGCAAAGACAAGCCTCGCACCCATTATTTGAAGCTATCATTTAATAACACTTTCTGTAGCAGCAACACGATCCCATCAACAGAGTCCTGCATAAGCAATCGTTGGTATGGGGAGCTACATTTACTTTGGAGCGCACGGTCGTCAAAACGGCGAGATATCTATGAAAACAAACCTCCCCGGTCGTGACATTCGATAACAAACGCCGGAGTAGAGAACACAACTGGTTTGTTCTGGAATAGTCGCTCCAATTTGACGATCTAACTTCAGAAGATGAAAAGATGAAATTGATACTGCCTACTATTGTGTGATATTGACGCCGCTGGCCATCGCCACCGATATCTGTAAATCTCAGACGTCGAAGTAGTCTCAAGGATGAGTGCATTTAATTGTTCCTAGCTGGTTGAGTTGACAGGTCACCACCATCGATACTAGATACAATGTATCAGCTTCAGAAACTTTCTCATGCGTCTAAATAACAAGTTGATTCTGTTAATATGTCTCCAGCTTCCTTCGCTAGAAGATTAAATGCGATTGTGCCTTATACCACGCGTCGAAGTATGATTTGAAGTACTTGTAGTTTGGCTCTGCGTGGAGTATGTCGCCCGAGCCTTTGCCGACGAGCCCCAGCTTCCTAAACACGAACATCGGCGGCGCTCTATAGTAGAACCAGACCTCCATCTGCAACCGAATTGTGACATCCGCCACACCCGGGATCTTGAACGCTTGTGCTTTGATATTGGACGACAGTTTCGACGGCATCTTCGCCGGTACATTGGTCGGCAGAAATCTCTTCGGCGGCTTCAAGAATATGAGCTCAGCAGCCAGCTCAGGCGGCAGTTTTTCCAGCATTTTGACGCGCAACTTTGCTGCTGTCGTCGGTTCCTTGTTGGTCTTCAAGAAGTCGGTGACTATGGACGGAATCTTCTTGCCCTTGAAAAATTTGGCGATCGAGCTGGGCAGCTTGATCGCCCTCTCTTCTCCTTCTTCTTGATCATTGGAGCCAGACGCCGAGCACGATGAAGTGAATGACGAAGTGTTGTGTGGAGAGCCAGTAGAGTTGATACCTCCTTTATCATCCCCTAGCGTCTCTGCTACGCGTAGGAACCTCCTGCCGGCGTCCCAATTCGGGTTTGTAGAGAGAGCGTCAACCAGCGGTGGGGCGTCGGGTATTGTGCGTGGCGACGCCTGAACGTTCTTGTCTATTGCTTGAGCACAATCGCTGCTGTAGAGGAGGCTGGCCGCGACCACCAATGCGATGCTGTGGAGCTGTCGCATGGTTGCCGTGAAAACGCGGCCGGATTTGCCTACGACTTGTGCTCAGAAGAGGGCAGATTGCAAAGTGGTTTACGTCGTCTGTACTTACGGTGTAGGCCGGTTGTCGTGCGGACATAGATCGATAACGCCGGTCTACTATTACAGTATCTGTTTACTGTCAGGATTGCAAAGGTGTGCACAGCAGTCGAGAGCATACATATCGACGGAAGATACGGCCTGCAGACAGAACAACTGCACAACAAATCTTCCCGCGTATTCTATATGGCTTTTACTATGGGTATGTATTTTGCCTGTACGGACGCATATCGCTTGCACACAGCACTGAGTTTTTGTGCATACGTCTTTCTCTGTCTGCAGGCGGTACATGTAAGTTTAGCGTGAGTTTAGTGCAAGATTAGAATCTAAAATCTGCAGTATCTCTATCGGTAGACCTGCACCTTGGAATGCCGGGCCAGAGAATCACCTTGCTCTCAAAAAGTCTCCACCACCAAGTTGCGTACCTCAATGGTTTATCTTCAAGCCAAAGAGCCCCCGTGTAGTTCTATGTGTTATCGGCAAAATTATCGACTCGCATGCTGTGTATGTGCGCCGATCTTCAAGCGTCGAATGTCATGGTATGATACACAGCGCGAAGCCTTGTACAGTACCGTGTATTTAGTAAATACACGGTACAGTACAAGGCTGGCAATAATACTATTTACAGGTCACGCGATCCTCTAAGTTGGCCTTGCAAAGCAAACAGCAGAGATTCAGGAATCGCCTGGTGAAATGTTACGACTCTCGTTTCGGCACAGATAACTACGACGACACGATATTGATACGGCGCAGTTAACTCGCTACGGCACATATAATCATTTTATGTACGGGCACACACTTGTACGGTGCAGATATCCCGTCTGGGACTCTACATTTTCAGAGAACCTTAGTGGCGTCTTGATGGCCGCGGCCAACCTGAACGTGCATACATCTAGTGTCCATCTGCGACGATATCTATGTCTGCATATACTGGTATATTTTATCGCGACAGAGCTCTGGGCTGCACTCCCAGACTTCTGTAGTAGAAAAGCTAGCGCAACGGCCTGGATCGCCTCCGCGAATACATGCACCGCACTGCCCTGCTTCGCAGGCATCCCACGCAGGCATACAGCCGCAATACATGCGGCTACGCGGCCTCGCAACCGCTCACTACTGCGCCCAATTAATGCTAGTATTGCTTTGCGCTTGCAGGTAATGCATCAAACGCATACCAGTGATGCTTATCTTTTTGACAGGCAGGACGAAGCTCGGGTAGCCTTAGGGCTTCCGTCTAACAGAGCTGTTAGGCAGCACCGAGGCTTCTGGCGTGGCGCAAGGAGGACTACATTCACTACGCGTGGGTGCTGGGAGACCGCCTCCGCTGCACGTGCGTCGAGCGCAAGGAGATGCGAGACGCAGCTATATCAGTTTTCGAGAAGAAATACATTTACTGCGAGAACCTGCATGGCTCCTTATGCTTCCTACACACAAACGCAACAGCCCTCCTCTCTCCCCCGGCCTGCCGCAGCTTGTAGCCTCGCAACCGTGCCGCAACAGCACGCTTCCTCGCGACGAGCTTCCTGCAGCGCGAAATCCGGAATGACAAAATCAACGGCGGATAGAGAGCATATTTAAGTGGATCGACACAGTGCGAAGTTATATGCGCCGTAAGCCTACGGCGCACAATGTAACTTCTTTTCGTCCTGTTGTAGTTATCTGTGCTGTAACGACTGCGGTTATAAAGGGCCACAGGAAAATGTAGTATATTTGAACAACATATGTGCCACAAGCACACAATAAGTGCTCGTGGCAGCAATGGCGCCGATCGCTTCTTTCAGGCTGATGTTGATTGGCTGGCATGCCTGTATGGCATTCTAAAAGAGAGCCGACTCGATTCCAGGAGCTAATAAGACGCCTCAAGGAGAACTCCGCACGCTGTCTAATGCGCTGTTTACTCATGTTTATCAAATGTTTTGTTGTATCTGGATGTTAGACACGCTGAATACATGTACATGTACGGTACAGTACTGTATCCAATGTACAGTACGGTATTGTGCCTACGCCCTCCGATTTGAGGTCCTACGTAGGAGTCTTGCTCCTACGTAAGACCTCATAAAAGTTAGTACCAAGGCCAGTAAAACCGTGCATAAACAATAACTGATGTAAACTGAGCGAATTGCTTGCGAAGGGAGGCCAACAAATGAGCGTGTGCAGTACCGTTATACCTGTAGGCTACAGGTTATTAAGCTGGCCATTCGGGCCTTCGTAAGCTGAGCTTAACATCGCCATTAGGTCCTTATTTCCAAAAAGGTACCCTTCAGATGAAGACGGAGCTCCTACGTAGGACTTCCGTAATCCGATGCAGGGCTAACAGCAAATCCTAGGTTTAACCCTACCCTCTCCTTCTTAAGACCACCTTTTTGAGGTCAGATTGGCCGAAGTTTCTGAAAGGCACAATTCCGTACGCGTAAGGAGTCCTTACGCGTACGGAATTACTAAGGAGAACGGAGGTGCCTGAAGCCCTCCCATCCAGCAGCTCGATCGCATCCGCGGTACTACCGGTAGTACACTGGACGGGGCAAACTGGTAGATTCTTCGGTAGGATCACGAGACTCGTCTCGTGATCCCCATTCCGAGATCGAGCACTTGACACGCACAACCACTCCCTCGCAGTGACCGAGTACTTCTCGCAGCAATCATGCGGTACCTCCAGGTCATTCTGATGGCGGTAGCCACCATCCTGACGATCCGCAGTGCCTATTCAGTCGCCGTGGACAACAAGCAGTCGACGGTCGCAGCAGAAGCAGCCAACTGGCCTCGTTCCGACCACGTGGACGGCACTGCTGGGAAGCTGAGAACTGACAGCACCGCCGACAAGAACGACGACTCCAAGCGGCGCTTGTCACCCGAGTCGACCGCCGCCAACGACGAAGAGAGGACGTCCTTGGCCAGACTAGCTGCAGCTAAAGCCCAGATCCGGTACTGGTCCTGGATTGAGGCCAACCCGAACGTCGTGTACCGCGGGTTCGGCCTGCACAAGCTGAATGGGGAGGCCCTCGAGAAGAGCAAGCTTCGCGCTCTATGGAAAGCCTACGCATTGAAATGGAAGGGCAGACAGGCAACGATCTCCATCCGATAACGCTCAATACGAACGCTAATGCAGCATAAAAAACTTAGCCCTGCACCATTCCATTATGTACGATACACCACCATTATCAAATCTAAAATGGCTACACATCGGCATACAAAACCCAAGAGTAGCGCATTGGCTCTCAACGGAGCAGACCAGGTACAAGAGCATCGATGGGTAAGAAGAAGAACGGCGCCGGCAAGGCGGACAAGGCGGCGGCCAAGGCCCAGCGGCAGGAGGCCAAGAAGGCCAAGCAGAGCGCCAAGAGCGCCAAGAAGGACCGCAAGGCGCTGGGCACGGACGAGGAGGACATCGAGCTCATCCTGCAGGAGTTCCGACGCAAGGACGCCGAGCGCACGCAGGTGCTCGTGGAGCCGGCGCCGCAGCCCACGCCGCGCGCCAACTTCACGCTGTCGGCGCTGCCCGGCGGCGAGATGCTGCTCTTCGGCGGCGAGTACTTCGACGGCGACGTCAACGAGTGCTACAACGACGTGTTCAAGTGGAACGTGGACGTGCGCCAGCCCGCGGACGCCACCGAGGTGGAGCAGCTCGTCAAGGACGCGCCCAGCGACGCCGAGGCGCTGCGCGACGCCGCGTGGAAGTCCATCAGCTCGCCCAACACGCCGCCGCCCAGATGTAGCCATCAGTCGGCCGTCTACAGAGACCACCTCTACGTGTTCGGCGGCGAGTTCGCCACGGCCGACCAGTTCCACCACTACCGGGACCTGTGGCGCCTGGACCTGAAGACCAACGCCTGGGAGGAGCTGGAGGTCAAGGGAGGGCCGTCGCCCAGAAGTGGACACCGCATGGTGGTCTGGAGGAACTACCTCGTGGTCTTCGGAGGCTTCTACGAGGCCGCGCGCGAGACCAAGTGGTTCAACGACCTGTACCTGTTCAACCTGGCCGAGCTCAAGTGGCAGAAGGTCGCGTACCCGCCCCACCGACAGGTGCCGGCCGAGCGCAGCGGCTGCCAATTGGCGGTGCACCCGTCCAAGGACCTCGTGTTCGTGTATGGAGGCTACGCCAAGGTCAAGAACGTGGGCGAGAAGTCCGAGGGCAAGGTCTACTCGGACTTGTGGGCGCTCAACCTGGCGCCCGTGCTCAAACGTCAGTCTCCGACGTGGGAGAAGCTCTCGCGCAAGGGTCAGGCCCCGAGTCCGCGTGGTGGCGCCGCTGTGACAGTGCACAAGCAGCGCTTCATTCTGTTCGGAGGCGTGTTCGACGAGGAGAAGCGTCGCCACATGATGCAGTCGACGTTCTACAACGACCTGTTCGTGTATGACATGGATCGTCGTCGCTGGTTCGAGTTCAAGCTGCGCGGCAAGAAATCGACGGATGGCAAGCGCCGACGAAAGAAAAAGAACAAAACGCTGGAGGATGGAGCTGCGGGCGAGAGTGACGATGAGGAGGACGAAGTGGAAGACTTCGATGCAATGCTGGAGAAGCAGTTCGGATACGTCGATGACGAGGGAAACATCGTTTACATTGAGGATGCTCATGAGGAAGAAGAGACCAAGGAAGGCGAAGAGGGTGACGACGACGACTTGCCAAAGGAGTCGCGCTCTGCTAAGCAAGTGGAGCTGGAGCTGGAAGAGGAGGAGGAATCGAAGGAGGAGGAGAAGGAGGAAGAGAAGCCTGCCGTCGTTGCTGTCGAGGAGAAGAAGGTCAAGGATCCGGAGGAGGAAGAACCCGCAGCCCCAGCTCCGTGCCCGCGTATTAATCCGGCCGTGATGATCCGTGGTAGCACGCTCTACGTGTACGGCGGTGTTGTGGAAGATGGTGACCGCGAAATTACGCTGGATGACTGCTGGTCGTTGGATCTCAAGCGTCTCGAGGAGTGGAAGCAGGTGCTGCCTGGTACGATGTCGCAGCAGATTTGGAAGGGTGAGGTGAGTGAGACGGAGGAGTCTTCAACCGGTGAGGATGATGATGACGACGACGACTTCGATGAAGACGACGAGGATGAGGATGATGAAGACGACGTGGGTCGTATCAAGGCGCGTGAGGAGAAGGCCAAGGCTAAGGCGATGGAACGTGCCATGGAGATGCTGGCGAAGAAGGACGGCGATGCCGAAGACGAGGACGCTGAAGTTGCAGCCAAGAAGGAGAAAAAGGACAAGAAGAAGAAGGCGAAGAGCAAGAAGGACAGCCACCGCCGTGCGATTCGCGCTGAGATGGAGAAGCTTCAAGAGCAACTCGGTCTGGGAGACGTCGACCGCACACCGCAAATGGGCGAGAACTTGCGCGATTTCTTTACGCGCACGGACGCGACTTGGGCCAGGGAGGTCATGCAGCGCCCAAGCACCATCGAGCACGAGCTCAGCGTCAAGGAGATCAAGCGTGAGGGCTTCCTGCTCGCTGAAGCACGTTACCAGGAGCTGGTGCCAGGTGTGAATTTTGTGGTTTCCTTGCTTGCTGCTGTGTGCTAATAATTGTTTGATGTTTGCAGTGTTGGAGCGCCTGAACGCGTTAGAGTTAGAGCAGAAGGAGGCGGAGGAGCTGCACGCACTCAAGAAGAAGGGGAGCAAGGAGAAGAGCCGACGCTGATAGCGCATCCAGTCTAGCCTGTCTCTAAAGCAGAACCGTGTTGCTTGATTTCGTCCACGTCCACTCCGCTTACTTCTCTGATCTTTGGTCTCGCAACTAATTCATAGCACAGCAACAGTTTCCTCCATCTCCTAGGAGAAGATGCGGCTGAACAGTCCCTTGGGCTCGTCCGGCTGCAGGAACTTCATCTCTCGCTCCTCGCCCAGGAAGCGCGCGACGGCGTCCTCGAAGGCCACGGCGGCGTTCTCGCCCTCGGCCGTGATGACGGGCTGCCCCATGTTGGACGACGTGAGCACGTGCGCGCTCTCCGGGATGACGCCGCACACGGGCAGCCCCAGCATCTCCTCGATGTCGTCCACCGAGAGGCAGTCGTCGTTCTTGACGCGGTTGGCGTCGTAGCGGTTGACCAGCAGCCGCTGCTGCACGGGCGCGCGGCCCTCCTTGGCGCGCAGCGACTTGCTGGCGATGAAGCCGATCATCTTGTCCGAGTCGCGGCAGCTCGAGATCTCCGGGTTGGTCACGAGGATGGCGTCGTCCGCGAAGTACATGGCGTGGCGCGCGCCCGACTCGATGCCCGCGGGCGAGTCGCACAGGATGAAGTCGAACTGCGTCCGGAGCTCGTCCAGCACCTGCTCGACGCCCTCCTCGGTCAGCGCCTCCTTGTCGCGCGTCTGGCTCGCGGCCAGCAGCGAGAGCTTGTCCAGGCGCTTGTCGCGGATCAGCGCCTGCCCGAGGCGGCAGTTCTTTTCGATCACGTGGATGAAGTCGAAGATCACGCGCCGCTCGCAGCCCAGGTGCAGGTCCAGGTTGCGCAGCCCGATGTCGAAGTCGATGAGGCACGTGCGGAAGCCGCGCTGCGCCAGGCCGTAGCCCATGGACGCCGTCACCGTCGTCTTGCCCACGCCGCCCTTGCCTGACGTGATGACCACCACGCGCCCCGGCGGCTTGGTCGCGGCGGCGCTGGATGAGGCGAAGGAGCGGCGCGCGCCGCCCAGCAGCGCACATACTCCGCGCATTGAGCTCCTCATGACGATTTTTGTGGTGCGCTAGTGTGAGTGTATCATGTGCACAAACCCTAATCCGAAGCGATTTTTAGATACCCTAGTGCAAATTTAGTGTTAATTAGTTCAAACTCTATCGTGACTATGTTTGCTTTTGTTTCGATAATTGCACTTTGTAAGGTGCTTATTTTTTTATTAAAATAGCAGCACTTCGTATAAAGGGCCCAACTCGTAGTGCTCTGCCATAGCCTTTCACTCCTCAAGCAAACTCTATTTCTATTAGCTTTATCGTTCATGCATTATACTCCGTGGCTAGAGTGCAATCTACTGTACGCATTGTGCGAACACAAAGCGGGAATACTACGCCCTGAAAACTTGGGTCGGCCAGGAAAGCTTTGCGCTGATATATCCAACGTATTTCTACATCTTCACAACGCTGCCCTCCAACGCGACGGCACCGTTCGCCATGCTTCTGCCGGTAATCAAGCTCCTCAGGCCCGTACTGTGGAGCACTTGACCGATGAGATCCCGGAAGTCGTCTTGATGAACGTCGAGGTGTTCAACTCGCTGTTTATGCCGTACTGCATGCAAAACACCCCGTCGATATGGACAACGCTTATCCTCATTGCGATCGACGGAGCGCAGATGCTCGTATCCATGCATGATGTCAGCCTTGTGATCCAACAACTGCAAGTTCTGAAAGAACGCGTAAACGCTGAGCATGCACGGCTATCGATCGAGAATCCGACGGGTACAGAGGTCAAATGAGTGCGCAGGAAGACCATCCTTGTATACACGGAAGACATTCTGAATCGGTATCAATCGACACAGACAGCCCCAGTTGCGATACCAACGGGTGAAGCCACTGAAGCCACTGAAGCAAGGCCGCGTAAAGTGATGTACGATAAGGTGTAGGCCAAGGGGAGGCGCTATAAGACAAATTTCAAGCCAACTTATCTCGCTCGCTCAAAGTTGGTGAAATGTTTCAGTGGAAGCCGCAAAATCTTTTTGGGGCGTGATGCAGATGGCGTGGAGGAGAGAATTGACGTCACTCAGCTCGAACTTGAGTATGCAGTGAACGTTCGGAAGCTCCTCTTCATCACCGAGTTCATGCTCTTGATCAACTACGTGGAAGTCATTGTCCCGATCATTTTCTGTAAGTTCAGCACAATTCGAACAATTGACTCGGCTCGACTTTGCAATATTCACGACTAATTCGAAGTTTGCGTTATTATGCAGCGGCGAATTTAATCGTAATGTACCAGAGTATACTACGCCCAAATCGTCACCATGGACGATGAGCACCTGTGGCAAGCAATCGGAAACGTTATGCTCTACGGCGTTTTGCAGATTGTATCGCTGGTTGTTCTCTTTGCCGTATTATGGCACAAACTGCATATTTCTGCGGTGCGTCAGTTGACGTTTGTACTGGAGAAGCAAGGAGAGCAAGTGCAGACAAAGCCCATCCTCTGGGTTTTCTATAACGTGCAGATTTCGCTGCAGCACTTCGGTAAGAACATATCTTTCGTCTTTCTCAGGCGTCGCAGTTTTACTTTTTTTCACCGGTGCTAACATTATTTGGATACAATTGTTTGCTACAGCTTCCGACTACACATTTAAGTTCGCTTGGCTTCATAAAGCACCCGTAAAATAGGATAGTAACGATTTTTTTTAAAATAACACTGATTCTGAACATTCGGGAGTTCAAACCGTGAACATTGTGGCTTAATGGGGACATAAAATTAATAGTGACACTTTCAAAGCCTCGAATTGACATTATCATACATGTACAAGTACACCCTTGCCCGGCCATTGTTGGCCTAATCCGGAAACAAAGTTGTCATGAATATTGGAGGTACCAGAAAGTAACATTACACTCCCCAAAGCATGACGTTCGTTTCATTCTAAGTTGTCTACTAACGTGATCATCTCGATAACTCAAAAAAGCGCACTACTGGTAGTAGCATTATGTTCGCCGCCGTCTCATTCGAGGGCACCAAAGAAAGTGGATAGCTTGGTCGCGAGCGGTCGAAACCATGTAAGTGTCACCAGTACCCTACGAAGTCACGAAACCTCTACTTCGTTGTATAGACAACCCTTATTGATGCATTACACTGATCTTGTTTTCTTGCTTAGAATTCCGACGTACTAGCCTGCGAAATGCACAACAAAATCGCGACGAGATTGCCAACTCGCTCTTGAACCTTTAGGTGTCACCATTTGATTCCTCACACAAAGCGTCTCGCTATCTATGTATCCATCGAAGCGGGTGCTCAGGTTTGGATGTGGCCAAGTGGCTTATCGCACCAGTAATTGGTGCACAAATTTAGATGACCTGGCATAGCTAACGAACCGTGAGAATCATCAACTTGTGTTCTCCACGATCCTGTTTAATACTCGGATTGGTCGTTACATGACGAGCTTGCAGTCTGATCCCGCCTTTGTCATCTTCTTCCATGCTCAGATCTACCACGTCATGATGTGAAAACGCACCACAATTCACATTTTCACTGGAAAAGTGGAAGTAAACCCGTGGACCGAACACACTGAGCGTCAAGAAGAGCTGGTAGACCTCGCTCAAGCGCGTAACAAAAAGCGTTTGCCCAGTCTCGTCCTCCACCGACGTCTTCGTAAGTAAAAAGTCGGTCACATCAAAACTTGTCCACCGCACTTGGCGATGCATGACGCGGATGAGCGAATTCCGTTCGTGTGTGGGCCAAGCGCTGCGGCACACGGTGCGAAACACCAGAGCGACGAAGTAGGCGATGATCAGTGCAAGACTGTGATGGAATATGAGGCTCTGAGCCACTTCCGATCCCCTGTCCCGTGCCGGGGTATACCGACCCCGTGCCAGGCATCGGGGCGGCGGACTCGCGTGTCGGCTGGAGTGCCGAAATGGCTACATCCTACGAGGGGTACCGATTGTGAGGTACCCGAGTTGCTGCTGGAAATGATGGCGCGACGCACGTGTGAGGTGGAACTCTTGGGGGTCCGTGGACGTCTCCATCCCCGCTCGAGGACGGGTGTCGTGCGTACGAAACAACGGAATGTGGTGTGAATGCGGAGGGGTTGTCGTGCCCAAGGACGAAGGGTACACCTGCAACTCCGAGAAGCGCAAGGAGAGGTATTGACCTTAAGATCGACGGCGGCCGTGCCGACCCTCGGCTTGTAGATTCAGTCGTAAATCTTCCCTGTCTTGTGAACAACAACAACCACAAAGAAAGCTTTTGTATCAACTACAAGGTTATCTTTTGTTAAAGCTTTCACTCGTCTAAACACCCAGTCACCTTCGACCCCGTGTAGGCCCCTTCTTTCCAAACAGTCCCAGCGTACTCGACCCCTGACGGTGGAGGTATACGACATTTGGTGGAGAAGCAGGGTACGCTGCTAACTGAAGAAGGACTTACGCGGTGCAAGTGACTGAAGAACCCTCGCCTGAGACGACTCCGTGAATCGGCGCTCACTGCTGGTCATGACTCAAGGCGATCCCCGCGAGCAGCAGGACTCGGCGAGTGAGCGCTTTCACTCGGCCGGGTCTGCTGACGGCGACCAAGCGGCGACGAACCCCACTCCGACGGGGGCTGCGCCAGGAGGCCAGCCGAGCGTGACCGTGCCCGCCACGATGGCGGCGCCCGCTGCGATGACCGTGCCTACCGGGACGGTGGCACAAGCTGCGACTACCGCGACGACCGCGACGACCGCGGCCTCCGCTTCGACGGTGCCAAGTGCGGCGACGACCAACCCCGCGCGTCCGACACTGCCGAACGTCACGACTCCTGAGGGTCTGGCCGCCGCCCGAGACCTGCTTCAACGTGCGCTGGACATCACCAGCCGGCACGCTGGCCAAACCTCTGGTCAGTCGTGGGCGACGACGAGACCGAACCCCGCGGCCCAAGCGACCGCGACCCGCGTGCCCACAAGTACGGCGCCCTCTGCTGCGCCGACTGCGACGCCTCAAGTCGCTGGAGGAGGATTCATTCCCGCTGTGCCTGCCCCGACTACGTCGACCGGATCTGGTGCCCCTTCAGTGGGGACGGTGCCTTCGAACGCTGGGAGCGGCCTTGGAGCGCCCTTCGTAGCTCACTCGTCGGCCCCTGCGTGGACTGCAGCGCCATCGACGGCCAGCGCCGTGCCTCAGGTGCAACCTTCCGTCCCTGCGTGGAACGCTGCGCTGCCCGCGTCAGGAGTGGTGCCTTCGACTCAGTCGAGCGCCGCTGGGTGGGCGTACACGCCATCTACGGCGAACGTGGTTCCTACCCCGACTCCGAGTACGACTTCCACTTCGGCCTCGGTTCCAACTCCGCGCCTCCGGTCCGCCATTGCGGCCTATGACGGCGTCTCTCTCGAGGGAATCCCTGCCACCGCTGGATACGGCTTCGGCGTGTCGCCGGTGGGGATACGATTCGTAAGTGCCCACCTTCTCGGTCTACGTGGACTGCTGCATCGACGGGCAGCGTGCCCGCCTCGAACCCGTCCGTGCCTCCGCCTGTGTACGGCGCTCAGACTCCAATGAGTCAAGGAGCTACGGGTCCGATCGCTTCGACGTACTACGGAGGAATGCCATCGCACGTCAAGAACGCGGTGAGGATAATCCAGCCGTTCCACTCGGATCACGCTACGGTCGACAAGGCCAAGTTGTTTTGGGACTCGTTCGCCCGAGCCACGACCGGGCTCGAGGAACAGTTACGCATCAGTGCGTTCCGCGAGTGCCTGAAGGGCAAACCTGCTGAAGAGTGGTGGATGTACTCCAAGATCGACAGCTTCGAGACGCTGCGCATCCGGTTTCACAACCAGTTCATTTGCCTTAGCCCCCTACAACTGATCGAACGCCTCAAGACTACGAAGCGTTCCCACGGCATGTCCGCCGAGGTGTGGGGTGATCTGGTCAAGAGTCTCTGTGACGAGGCCCAGTGCTTCGATCCGACCATGAAGTACCAGTACTTCCTGTCGGAACTGAGGAACCGTGAGTGGAAGGCGGCCCTGTCGTCTGCCATGGCGAGCACCATCCAGCAAGCCGTGCTCATCCTCCTGCAGAGAGGCATGCACATTCCCGTCGAGGACGACGCGGACTTCGCGGACGAGAAGTCATCCGAGAATAAGTCGGAGGACTCGGCCGTGAAGGAGATGATGGAGATGCTCCGGCAGAACCAGAGCTTGATCATGCAGCAGCAGGCCGAACTGGCGCGTGCTCCGCGGTCCCAGCTACGCCGCGGCCGCGTACGAGACCCAACCTGTCGTGCCGCCTCCGATGCAGAACGCTCCGCCTACGCTGCCTACTGTGCCCTACTAAGGGGATCCGTCAGAGACCCGACATGTACACGCAAGATGGGCGTACCGTGTGTGGCCGCTGCCACATGCTCGGATGCAGCCGGATCAACTGTCGCCGGCAACGATTCACCTGCGGGAACTGCAAGCAGCAAGGACATGCTACCTCGGAGTGCGAGGCCCCGGCTCGAAACCAAGGCAACAATGGTGGTGGGCAAGGACAGCCCCGTCGTCAAGGTGGCGGTGGAGGCCTGCGTCCGTACTTCGGGTGTGGTAAGACCGACCACTATGCGTCTAACTGCCCGGCGATCTAGTCGTTCCAGCAAATGGCGGCGCAGACGCAAGCTGCCGCCTCCGCTCAGGGAACGCAGCCTACTCAGCAATGAAGGGGGCATGAGGGAGGAGAGGAGAGTGTCGCTCCTTCCTCTCGCCCGTGGACCGACACCGGGTGGCGTACCCCGCGTACGGCTACCCTGCTGACCGGCGAAGCTCGCCGAGGGACTGAGACTGTGGGTGCGGTAAGGACCGTGCCGATCGATGACTACAACGCGAACAAAACTACGATTGGAACTGATACTACAATGGTGAAGAGGCCTGAGGGCCTGGAACGCCCCGCGCGTGAGGCGGTGGCGCCCGGAGCTCCGCTACGAGAACGAACTGGATTAATTGAGACTACTGCGACGGCTGCGGGACCCGTTCTGTGGGAACGCCCCGGGCCTATTGAACGACATGCGGACGCTCCTCGACTGGAGGAGCCGAAGAACGAGCCCCAAGGACGGAGCCGGGAACTACAAAGACTACAACGGGAGCCGCTCCGAGGATGGAGCTGGAAACTACAGTTGCTGCTACTGAAGTTGCTCCAAGGACGGAGCCGGAAGACGAACCCACTTTTACTACGGAAGCTCCCAAGGGTGTGGAGCGTGCTTGTGAACCTACTGTGACTACCGCAGCTCCCCACGGTGTGGAGCGTGCCTGCGAATCAACTACTACAACAACAATTGGGGCTCCCCAGGGTGTGGAGCGTGCTGAAACCGTAGAATGCCAGCGTCGATCGAACGCTGAGGAGAACGACTTTGAGGAGGACGCCAATAGCCGCGTCCGGGAAACTACTACGAATACTTTGTACGAGAGCGTCATGCGATTTGCGCTCGAGAAACCCTCGCTGGGACCCGAACTGAGGGTGGAGCAGGTGAACTTTATGCCGCCCAGCGAGGAACGGAAGGGAGACGTCACGGGAGCACCTGCTGCTTTGGCCGTGACCGTCAAGGAGGCGTCGCCGGAGAACGACGTCGTCGGGAACGCTGACAGCGAGTCAGACACGGAGGAGGAACCTGCCGGAACGGCAGACTCGGACCGCTCAGGTGAGCACAGTCAACCGCATGTAAAGACACAGCAAGGGCAGGCAAGGGCCGCTCTAAAGACGCTGAATGATGACGCGAAATCGGCTCACTTGGAGCGCGTAGGGTCCGTGACGGACGGAACCTCCGAAGTGGTGAACGACAATGATGACGACGGTGAAGGACTAAAGACCGTCGCCCAAGACGGACAGGATAGGGAGGACGATAAGGCGCCTCCATACAAGATATTGTTCACGCCTGAGGAGCTGGATGCATTTGCCGGCGGCTGTATTCTGGGTGCGCAAGAAGAAAAAGAAGAGTACGACAAAGAACTAGAGGAACGCTTGATCCCTCTGGACGAGGTGGAGCTGCTGAAGAATCGAACCCAGAACGCAAAGAAGCAGAAGGAACTCACGCTGGAGGAGCTGAGCTCCCTGCTGAACCTACCCGTGGAGACCCTGGAACGAACGCGTGAGTCGTCGCCCGGAGTGCTGTCCACGCCCGAGTATTGGATAGACTGGTACCGAAGGACGCTTGCCATGTCCGAGGAAGCCAGACGTGCCAACCGCGACTTCCGCGAGACGAAGCGCGAGAAGGAGAAGCCGCCGCCCATCGGCTCGGTGGTGCAAGGCGACTCCGACGCCCGAGATGTCGGAGGTGGGAACGACTTCATTGGAGACGAGATCCTCGCGTTACCGAAGGAACGCAAGTCCTCCAAGCCTGTAACCCCGGACGAGGAGGTGGTGAGGAGGAACATCTGCGTGACGTTCGCCGTCCCCGTCGAGGTCGAGCCACCCGAAGAGGAGAACGGTTCCGACTTGCCCTCGCGATGGCGTGCGCTGGTGAGGACTGTGGTCTATCAGATGCTGCCAGCGACGTTCTCTCTCGACGACACCGTTCTCGTCGCGAGGTGCACTGCGACTGTACTTCTCGGTTCTGCAGACGCCCCGAAGCGTTCGGGGGCAACCCGTCGTTCACCGAGGACGGCGACGACATCAGCCACATGTGTGCTCCGTCCGAGACCCGGATGGTGGAATACGGCTACGGAAACCCGGCCTGGTTGAAGTCTCGGACGCAGACGCCGCTGACGCCGACGAAGAGGACCCCGTACCCGCTGGCAAACGTGTCATTTGCTCGGTGGGGGGCATCGAGGCTGTCTCCGCTGGTTTCATCGAGGATCTCCCAGCTGAACTGCTCATCGACTCTGGTGCAATCGCCAGCCTGGTTGGGTCGCGTGTCCGGACCCGTCTTGGGCTCACGGACGCGCCACTGCGATCGTACCACGGACGTCTTAACGCCGTGTCCGGCCACAAGTTGCGCATCCGGGGCGAGATTGACTTGCCGTTGCGTTTGGGGTCGCTGGAGAAGATGAGGCCGTTCGTCGTGGTCGACCACCTGCACGTGGACTCGATCCTCGGTACGGACACGCTCAAGGCGATCCGCGCCGTGATCGACCTGGATGAGAACACTATGACCTTGAAGGACACTGGCGAGGTCCTCCCCTTGGGTACTCCTCGCGTCGAGGAGACGTATGTCTCTCGCATCGCGTCGACAGTGCGCATCTGCCCCGGTGGCCAGGCTCTGGTGGCCTCGGACGTCGTAGGCAAGGCTCCGGAGAACACCACGGTGTTGATCGAGGGACGCCCCGAGCTGGACGAGAACGTGAAGGTCGCCCGAACGCTTTGCTCGATACGAGAAGGCAAGACTATCGTCGAGGTATGTAATGCCTCGACAGAAGAACTTGTCATTAAGAAGGGGACCGCGTTGGCGATCGCTACGGTCGTGCCCAAGTCGGTGTTGGCATTGGTGGACGCGAAGAAGAGGAAGAAGACCTCCCCGGACCCGAACGAGTCCTCGGAGCCCGTGTTTTCGAGTGGCAACTCGAGGTGGATCGACGCTGTGATCGGTGCGGCGGCCGCCAAGTCTCTGGCCTCGCGTGAACCGATGCCAGGCCTGAAGGACGCTATGGATGCCGAGCTGGAGCCGGACTTCTCCGACTCCAAGTTGGGCAAGGAGCAGCGAGGCCTGATGAAGGACCTGCTCGACTCGTTCCGTGACATGTTCGTTCAGACGTCCCTCAAACCGGGACGCACGCATCTCTTAGAGTTCTCGATTGATAAGGGTACGAACCCGCCGATCAAACAGCCTCCGTACCGCGTCTCGCATGCCGAGGGTGAAGTGATGGAGTCCGAGATACAGCAGTACCTGGAGCTGGGGCTGATCCAACCCTTGGGCCAGCCCCGTACTCATGATCCGCAAGCCCGACGGGGGGATACGTTTCTGTATAGACTACCGACGGCTTAACGCCGTGACTATCAAGGACTGCTACCCGATGCCACTTATCGATGGCATCCTCGACGTGCTGAAGGACGCAAAACTCTTCTCTACCATGGACATTGCTTCCGGCTATTGGAACGTCCCGATGGCCGCCGGTAGCGTGGAGAAAACGGCGTTTACCTGTAAATACGGGCTGTTCGAATGGCTGGTGATGCCCTTCGGGCTCTGCAACGCAGTACCCACTTTCGAACGTCTCATGGGGAACGTCTTGGTTGACCTGAAATGGCGCACCTGCCTGGTGTACCTTGATGATTGCGTGGTTTTCTCTACGGACTTCCCCACACACCTGGTACGCTTGAAGCAAGTATTGGAACGCTTCAGAGCGGCCGGGTTCAAGCTCAAGATGAAGAAGTGCAAGTGGGGAAGGGACCAAGTGGCGTTCCTGGGACACATCATCATGCCGTCCGGCATCCTGCCGAACCCGGAGAAGGTCAAGGCCGTGATGAACGTGGCCAGACCGCACGACTTGCACACCGTTCGAGCATTTTTGGGACTCACTAGCTACTTCAGACGCTATATTCCTGGTTACGCTGCTATTTCTGCTCCTATTGAGCGCCTGAAGGTGAAGGGCGTGGAATTCGCGTGGAACGACGACTGCGAGGCTGCTTTCCTGCAATTGAAGCGGCGTCTCGTTGAACCGCCGATCCTAGTCTACCCTGATTTCTCAAAACGCTTCAAACTCTACGTCGACTCCTCTCACCTCGCGGTGGGAGCCTGCCTGATGCAGACTGTGGACGGCCGTGAGCGTGTGGTCACCTACGCGAGCAAACTGCTCGTCGGCTCGGAACGCAACTGGATCCACAAGCAGAACGGAACTTCAGAGATTGAGTGTTGGGGAATTGTGTGGGCGACACGCAAATTCAGGTGTTACCTGGATAGGAACGAGTTTGATCTCTACACGGACCACAAGGCGCTCACATGGGTGTTTAGTGAAGGAAACCGTACCAGGAATGCCAAGCTGGCACACTGGGCGATGGAACTGTCTCAATTGCGGTTCAAGGTGTACCATAAGCCTGATCGCGTCGTCCCTGTGAACGTCAACCGGATGAAGAAGTTTGCTGGACGCTGGAGCCGCCCCTTTTAGAACGAAGTACCTTCTGGACTGGAGTGGAGCACCAACCGGGAGCTGATGATGCTGGCCCTTTGACGGAGGACGATTTGTCCTCCACCTCGTTCGTGGAACGCCTCTCGCTAGGCGGTGAGGAGACTGCGTTTTCCGGTGTAACTACTCCTATCGTGGCCATTATCGGCAAACGCATGAAGGGACGTCAAGAGAAGTACATGGTGTTCACGGCTTCCTACGAGACCTTTCGGTGAACCACTACCTCCCTGCTACCTGAATTCGCGCCTCTCATTGAGGTGTATGAAGATGAACAACGGTTGGCGAAGGGCTGGCCTGAACAGCGGCGGAGCGTTCGACTGGCTGATGCGAACGCTACCGTGGATGAGGACGAGCTGCTCTTTTAATGGGGGCTCGGTGAGGGCTGTGAGCAAAGTGCTCGCAGTCTGGTGATGGTCGTTGGCACGCTGTCTGCGACTCGGGAACGCTGTAGGCTTGGTGCCTGCAGTTTGGTTTTGGGGCTCGTTTCGTCCGAGCGCCCTCTTCTACTTTTTTCTCTTTTTACTCTTTGGATTGGACTTTGAATTTCTTTTCGAGCGACAATTGGTCCCGATCTACTTGTGTGATTGTTGACTATTCTTCTAAGTCGAGGATGGCATGGCTAAGACAAGACGAGCAAGTGTGGCTGAGAGAGATTTATTACTTCAGAAATTGACGAACTACTTGAGACTGTAACTGTTACGACCACCGGTAATCTCTCTCGCTCTGCACGAAGCTGCTCACTCATCGATCTCGCCGCTCTCCACCTCCTCTTCCTCTTCGTCCGACTCGTCATCTTCCTCTTCCTCTTCGTCGTCATCGGACCCTTCATCATCGTCGTTGGAGACTCCGTCTTCACCCGTGGTTACGTACTCCAGCTCGCCCGACGCCTTCCTCATTGGCTTCGCCTCGGCTTCCGCCACCATCTTGGCGACGATCTCATCCGGCTCCTCGCGAAACTTCGGGCTGCTGTCGTCGACCGTAGTCGCCGGGCCGCGTGCTGTGGGTTCCGTCTGGACGGTACGGTGGAATTACGCCCGCCTGACTGCCCTCCTTCGCGTTGTACGGGTTCACCTTCATCGGCCAAAACTTGCCATCGCCGAGCTGCGTCTCGACCTTGACACGCAACTCCGAGATCGTCTTGTCAGCAAGAAGGGCACGCATCGCTCCTTTCGTGAGGGACGGAACCCAGTGATCGGGCACGGGCGTCGGCGACGTGATATCGATCACCACGCGCGCCAGGGCCTTGTCGCTCAAACGGTGAGAACGCTTGACCGTCGGCACGAGTGCTCCAGTCTGCACGAGCATCTCGGTCAGTGTCTGGAACCGCGGCGAGTCTATCTGCAACGGCTTCGTTGCGTCCCGGATACGCAGGCGGTACGCCTCCTTGTCCTTCTTGAACATGTACCTCAAGCCGCGCACGGCCAGGAGCGTCGTCGCTTCTCCGGTTGGCGGAGCCTTGCCCGTCGGACCGCCCCACCACATCAACTCTCCATTGCCCGACGCTTCCAGACGCCTCAAGAGACAGAAGTAACCCCACGTCTCAATGAAGAGACTGACGAGGCAGAGACGTTCGCGCATGGCGTTCATCTTCCTCTTGCGTCGCGGCGTCAGCGCGTTCTTGTCGACGAGGGGCACATGAAACGCCCAATCGAAGAAAGCCTTGCGATAACTGTGCCAGAAGCGCCAGTGCGTCCGGGTACGCAAGTGGATCGTAGATCAAGTGCCTGTGTTCCAAAGGGAACGCTCGCTAGTGCGGCTCGATCACGAGCGCCCTAGTATGACGGTACACGGCCTTGATGTCGCGAAACACGTCCTTCGGCGTGTCCGCGCGCAACTCGAAGGCCAGGTGCTCGAGCCACTCGGACGACGGGCGCGACTTCTTCTTGGACTTACTGCTTGCCTGGACGGGGCTAGTCGCCGTGCGCTTCTTATCCTTGCCGCCGAAGGATGCGCGGCCGCCTCCGTCGCTGTCTCCTGCGTTGACGGGTCCGACAGGATCAAGACTGACCCCTTCAGAGCTTGGGCAGCGTGGTCGGGGTCCTTGAGCAGGGCTTCGGCGACGTCGTCGAGGATCTCCAGGCCTCTCGAGCCTTTGTTGACGGCGAGGATCTGGCGCATGTCGGCCCAGAACGCCTCTTGTGCGAGACGCTCCCGGGTCTTCGTGCCGCCTGGCGAACTTGAGGGACCTTGCTGGTCCAAGAAGGCCTTGAACTTGCGCGCGAGGTCCTCCTTGGTGTCGCTCATGGCGACTGGGGCGTGGCGTGGCGAGAAGGGCTTCGGCTGGTTGCTGTCTGCGGGCTCCGGCGCAAAATTGCGAATGACTGCTTTTCGACGGACGGCAACTTGTCTGTGATTGACCTTGAACTGACTTGGATTGATGGCTCTGCCTTGACGAATCACCCTTGGGACGAAATTGGGCGTTCCTACGGCTCACTTCCGTTCTAACTGACACGGCAAACTGAGAAAGTACTTCATATTCTGACTTTGATCGAGTATGGCCAACATGTATGCTGCTCTCGCTCGTTACCAAGAGCGCTACGCTCCTGTCGAGCTGCTTCCTGCCTACTGTGGTGCTGGTGTGTGCTGCGTGCTCGTGTGGGTCATCTCCATGCCGCTGCGTAACGTCGGCTGGGCTTTCGGCGCGCAGGTCTGGCGCGTCGCATGCTTGAACGGCTCGCTTTGTAACGCGTGCCTGTGCCAATACAATGCAGTGCTGCTCAATCGCGAGGTGCGAGAGCTGCAAGGCGCTGCGTACCTATATGCTATCTGGGTGCCCTCTTCGCGGTACCCGTGCGCGTCCTCGAAGACGAGGAAGAGCGCTATGGAGACTACGGACCGATGCTGCATAAGTGGTGGTTTGCCGCTTACTCTACGTTCTACGCGAACCTGCCCGACTTGGGCACTCGGTCGCGTGCTACGCAAAGGCTACGCGCGCCGCTGCTGCTCAAAGTCGCCGGCGGGCGCTCGAAGGTTTCCACGTCGCGTGGATAGTGACCAAGTTCGTGATCTCGTTGGCGTTCTTCGCGCCGATGGCGGCGTTCTACCTGCTCGAGTTTGCCCTGCTGGGAACGGTTGGCGTGGCTGTCGCGCTGGTAACGCTTAACGTTGCGAACTATGTCCTCGAGTGGACGCCGTACGGACCGGACCCCCTGTGACCGTGCTGATAGTGACTGCGGGCGTCGTGACTCACATTTGGCGTGGCTGTGACAACCAGAAGGACACCGACGAATTTTCGCCTACAGGCATGATCATTCTCGGACTCAAGGACCTGCGTGCAAGGGCTGCTGAACGCGATCGTTCGGAGAAGGAGAGCCTGCAACAACTGCGAGGCAGTGACACTGCCGAAGACCAAACTACCGATGCTGACGCCGTGGACGGCGTTGAAGTGACTATCGATGAAGAAGTTCCTCCTTGTGCTCCTGCGGCTATCTCTGCCGAATTCCGTGCTGCCGAGGAACGATCGACTCTCCTGCGGCTAGAGCTCGCCCGCCACCCGGAGGTCCGTCGAGGACGATGAACGTGCAGTCGGGGAAGATGTCCCGTGCCGGGGTATACCGACCCCGTGCCAGGCATCGGGGCGGCGGACTCGCGTGTCGGCTGGAGTGCCGAAATGGCTACATCCTACGAGGGGTACCGATTGTGAGGTACCCGAGTTGCTGCTGGAAATGATGGCGCGACGCACGTGTGAGGTGGAACTCTTGGGGGTCCGTGGACGTCTCCATCCCCGCTCGAGGACGGGTGTCGTGCGTACGAAACAACGGAATGTGGTGTGAATGCGGAGGGGTTGTCGTGCCCAAGGACGAAGGGTACACCTGCAACTCCGAGAAGCGCAAGGAGAGGTATTGACCTTAAGATCGACGGCGGCCGTGCCGACCCTCGGCTTGTAGATTCAGTCGTAAATCTTCCCTGTCTTGTGAACAACAACAACCACAAAGAAAGCTTTTGTATCAACTACAAGGTTATCTTTTGTTAAAGCTTTCACTCGTCTAAACACCCAGTCACCTTCGACCCCGTGTAGGCCAGCGTACTTCTCTGAGAAACAACATTCGGCATTAAACCTCAATTTGATGTGAACCACATGTCACATATGATTGGGTATAATCAACTGTTTCATCTTACTATTGGCCAAACTAAATGGGTCTGCGCATGTCGAGATAATCGCGTAGAAAAACCTCAAAACTGTAGCCCTTCTAAACTGGCGCTACAACATCGACAACCGAACATAAGGGTAAAGCAGTCACTCGCGATTACGGTGATATTTTATTTTCTAATATCGTTAATTTTTGACGGCACCTCGCTAAAAACCCTAATGTTGCCTAAAACGGACTTCAGATAAAAGGCTGTTTCTCTTTTCTTTCTGCTGCTAGATTTTTTGAAATCATAGCGTGAAACGGAGCAAATGCGCAGCTTTCAGGTGAGGTGTTGCGAGTAACCAAACGATTTTTTTGTAACAAGTTATGTCCAGAAAACCGAAGTGTTGTTTCTTATGTGGGCCAGAGAAGTACTCGACCCCTGACGGTGGAGGTATACGACACCCCAAAAGGGGCTTTTAAGTGCGCCTCCTCCAACTCTCGAATGCCTCAGAGGAAAAACACCCCTCGCCCACGCACTGTTACGATTGCAGCAATGGAGAAGGCTAGAATATACGATTTGGCAGACACGTACAGCAACACGCTGCGGAAGTGGCGTAGCAATGCAGTAACCGCACTGAACCCCAAGCCTCTAGCGGTGCTAGTATGGCTGAAACTCCACAACTGTGGCTCCTTATTTGGCGTCGGCTTCAGTAGAGCATCTAGCAGCAGTCGAAGCAGAGAACAGGTCGCCAGACCTACCCAAGCATGACGCACGGAGTAGATCCCGGCGTACAGTAGGTCCTGGATGCGTCCAGACTTGCTGTACTGCCAGTACAGCACTTCGACCGCCATCTGAGACTCCACGGTCGTTCCAATAGCGTGAGCCACATTCCCCATCATGTAGAGGGGGTTGGACAGCCACAGTCTGGAAAGCCTCAGTCGACTCGCACCCGCATCGATATACGTGCACGCAGCAACCATGTGCGGCTTTGGGAGGCCCAGCCATTGCGTTTGCCGGCGCTGGAAATCGTTGGGCGGGCGTCTCGTGGGTACGCGCACGTTGCTGTCCGCTAGTGTAGTTCGCCAAATCTCTCGAATAATGACGAACCACACCAACGCCTGGCCAAATACGTTGAATAGGTTGAGCAATAGTGGTTTTGGCGTGAACAGCACATTGACATACGCTTTCGCGTCGTTCGGATCAGCGGATTCAATTCCCAATACCCTGGGGCATTTTCGACTTGTCGAGCCACGCAGTAGCTCACTTGAAACTCGACGCCGTAGTACGCGTTGGCGAAGTGCTGCTGGACGATGACGTAGCTCGCCTTGAACGTAAACTCCGTGTTGTCAACCTGCTGAGAGTAAGATAAATCTGGGTCGTAGTGTTCAGTCATGGACAACACTGGATCCGTGCAATAAAGAAACGACTGGCCGATGACTAGCCGCGCATCGTTCACGTGGTAGATCCGCTCTTCCGAGTTGTACGGATGTCCCTGTGGTACCGTAAACCCCGTGCACGAATCTGGCAGCGAGCCGTGGAATTTGTGGATGGATCTTCGCGACTTCCCTACGTCACGACGACTGAAGTGCCTTTGTCGACGCCGAGTCGGTAGCAATGACTCGCGGATCCCAGAGCGTTGTGGTGATGGTCTTGATACCTCAACACTAGCAAGTGCCTCTCCATAACTGCAGACTCTTTCTCCATCTCCTCCAGCATCACACGGTCGATCTGTGTCCGCGGGTGAAACTTGTACAGTCCGTTGTGTAAATCGTCGAGAAATACGGCACTGGCCGGCCAGAACAGGTAGATCCCCGACGAAGTCAACAGGAAGGAGGCCACCGTGTAAACGTTTATGGACAGGAAAAGCAACCGCAAACCAATGGTCTTGACAATCCCCACTTGAGTTGGAATCGCCCGTTGACTTCGGAAGCTCGCTCGCTTCCAATCCTCCAGGCGGGGCAAAGTGCCCCTGGACTCGTACGGTCGCGAGATGCTCGCGCGTGAGCCCCTCGAGAAGGAGAAGGGCGTTGGATGCACTTGCCCACTCATGCCAGACGAACAATCTAAGAATGATACTCACTAAGCGCTGTGCGTTGTTGCTACTAATTTTGATGTTACTAACTAGCAGTACTATTGGTCCGCCAAGGCGGTTTCAACATTTTATGACCATCCATCATCTTCGCAAAACAGATCTAAATGTAGCCATACCTGAGCAGCTCTGATAACAATATCAGCCAATCAGTTCACCGTGTTCATTTTCACCCAATCAGCGTACCATGCAAATTATCCGCAGTCTCAACCTGGGAACCCTGCGAACATGACGACGCTGGTCATTGCCGTGCTAGGCTTAAGCCTACTGCTTCTGGCAGCCCAGGGGGACGCTTCTACCTTCGAGGGGGAGTTGTTCTCCGCGGACTACTACCGCTGGTTCTACCGGTGGCACCGCGGCGGGGCGTGGATGCCGCATCAGGAGCGTCACAAGTGCTTCGGCACCAGCTCCATGTGTACATTCGTGCGCAATTCTGACGTTACCCAAGAACCTAACGTGAAATTGTCGGTAAACACGACTCTGGCCAAGCAGTTAGCAACTGTGGAAGTGAAATTTACGCTTAAATCCATTGCAGCGGGCGATCTGGTGGCCGTTTACCTCGTGGACCCGCAAGAAGTGAACGACGTGGACGGAGACCCGCTTTCGGACTTTGTGGACTACGTGTACGCCAACCAAAGTCGCGTGGATGAAGATGAAGTCCGCTTTATTGTGTTCGGACCGCTAGTGAACATGCGCGCGTCCTACCAGTTTAAATATCTGCGCAAAATTACACCCCAGGGTGAAAATGACGATGAACATGATGAATTGATATTTGTTGTTCTGGGGGAATCGGCCTTCGTGGAGATGGAGAGGGGCCACACTGAGCCGCTACAAGTGCGACTGGCGTTGACGGGAAAGAAGGGCGAGATGCGGGTCTCGTGGGTCAGTGGCCAGGTCTTCGGTCCTAGTGTGAGCTTTGGGACGGTGAAGTCGGGGAGGTTGGAGCGGCGGGCGGAAGCGACGACCGGGACGTACGACGCGCTTGATATGTGCGATGCACACGCGACCACTCGCGCGTCGGTGTTCTTCAGACACCCGGGATATCTTCACGACGCGGTGATGACGGAGCTGGTGCCGGGGGAGAAGTATATCTACCGCGTGGGTAGCGGCACGGGTGTCCAGAGTCCGGAGATGGAGTTCACGTTTCGTACAGCCATGGGCGATGACACAGCAGAAAAAAATCATAGACCGCAGGGTTTCTTCGTGTTTGGAGATTTAGGCACGAGTGTGCTGCAGAAACCGACGGACGAGTTGGACTTTGATGCGAGCAATCCGGAACGACACTTCACGTCGCTGGATATGGTGTCGAGGTTGGCCAAGTGGGGCGATGGACGCACTGTCATGGAGCGGATTCAGCAGGACTTTGACGAAGCGTCACGAGATGATGCAGACTCTGACACGCCCGAATACGCTGCACTGATTCACATTGGTGACATATCGTACGCAAAGGGCAGTACATATCTCTGGGATCAGTTTGGAGCAATTGTACAGCCGGTAGCTTCACGTCTGCCCTATATGGTGGGGATCGGCAACCACGAATACGACTATACTGTGAATGGTGAAGGGCATGATCTTTCGGGTAGTGAGGCCGCTTTCGCCAACGGCTGGCACCCTGAAGGTGGGAACTTCAATAACGATTCTCACGGCGAGTGCGGCGTGCCATACGCGCGTCGTTTCCACATGCCTGAAGCGATGGACGCCACCTCCAATCAGCCGTTCTGGTACAGTTTCCGTCTCGGATTGACCCACCACATTGTGGTGAGTAGTGAGCACCGCTGCACCTCTGGCGCACCAATGCGGGAGTGGTTTGAGCGGGAATTGCGCGACAAAGTCGACCGTGGAATAACGCCATGGCTGATCGTGCATTTGCATCGTCCGCTCTACTGTTCAGAAAGCTACGAAGGAGATCACGCTGTTGCGGAGTTATTACGTGGCTGCTTTGAAGATTTATTTTTTACCAACCGAGTGGATCTGGTCTTCTCAGGCCACTATCATGCCTACGAGAGGACATGTCCAGTGTATCAAGGCCATTGTAGAGAACAGAATGGACGGGCAATGGCGCCTACGCACATCATGATTGGGTCTGGAGGCGCAGAACTCGATGATGCTTCGTACCTGCAGGCCAATTGGAGTCGTTCCCGGCAACAGGAGTATGGTCACGGACGACTTCACGTATTCAACGCGTCGCACGCACATTTTGAGTTTGTTCGTGCTCGAGATCGAGCCGTGACGGATGATGTTTGGGTCGTATCGACACATGATTGGGTGACAGAGTTGAAAAAATTGACAACTCGTTTTTTAGTTTGAGGCATGCTGAGGGAAAATAATGTGGTTTGACCTGTGGAAATGTCGCTTCCCGCTTTTGGTCCCGTTCACTGTCATAAGACTGATATGTACACCTGCACCAATAGTTGCCTCTTAAAGCCAGGGGGCCTTCTTCGGTGAATTCGCTTTCGAGGGGAAATATGACGAGATCCACTTCCCCACAGCCGAGGGTGCTTCACGCCACAAAATCGCCCGCTCTGTTCATAGCATCAAATACTTTGATTAGCCAAAGCTACTTTACATATTAACCTCAAACGAACCTTCTCGCCGCTGCTCAGCCCTCGCACGACGTTCTGCCGTAACATCAACACTAAGATTAGCTGAAGCAATCCACCTTACATCGCACTTGGAGCTCGACGAACCCGTACGACGCTGTTCGGCTGTAGCAAGCCTTCTTTTGATTGTGCGCTTGTGCCAGGACCAATTGTACGGAGTCTCCAAGACTACATGGCGCTCATTCCACCTTCCTCTTGAGTCGTCCTCAATATCAGGAAAGTTGAAGTCGTTGAGTGGGCGTTGAGGGTCCATGACGTTGCTATCATCCAGAACCTCCTCCATCGCTTTCGAAGTTTTATTCTCCATCAGAGCTCGTACATCTTCATCCCTATCTGACAGCCACTTGCCGTCCTTCTTCGCGAGGAACAACGTCTGCAGCTCGGGCTTCCAGAAGTGTCGCAACCTCATCTTTAAGTCAGCGACGGTCTTGTTATCCTCAATGTCAATTACGAAGGCATGGCTGCCGATAAGCACACATATCAATCTCAAAGTCTTCATTGCGTCGTCTCTGCAATAGTGACACCACACTGGCCACACCTCCACTACGTGCGTTTCCATCACATCGTCGAGATTGATTGCACGGTCATTGGGAAGAGAGAACCTGTGGTCAATCAAGGTCTCCAAATTTAAATCTGTGCTTCATTTCGCCCATCGCGAGGACCAGGGAATTTTTGCGCCACAAGCTCCTACTATCAACGATGTCATCAGGAAAGAAACAAGGAAGGGACCCATTTTACAACCTTCAAGTCCGGTATTTGGTATCAAAAACATGGGCCAGACTGAATGGCCAGATCGTGGCCCTGTTTAAAAATGGCACTTGTGATGGGAGAACACGGACAACAAACTTTTGTAAAGGGCCGATTTTTCCGCAAGTTACTTTGCCAATTTGCTTTTGCTGTTTTCGATTCAGTTGAACAGTCACGCGTTGTGCTTACGGGAAATTCGCCGTGCCGGAGGTCGCGAGGTCACCCAGCATTGTCGTCGTCTTAGCAATTTGGTTTTAGCGGAGTCATCTAACAAGGTTGAGGTCAAAGTGTAAAGCAGCATGAAATGTAGTCTGACGAAACAAAGTGATCGTTTCCGAGTTGCAAGTTGGTGAATCGACCGCGGTATGTTAGCAGAGAGACCTGACTCAGACAGCAGGCCTGAGACTTATCACACTGAGGAGTATCAGAGCTTCGGTCAAGGGTAGTACGGCACCCTTGTCACTAGTGAGCGATCTAATCAGGGAGTGCCTCGTGATGCCACTGTTTTTCATTGTTTGTCGCCGAAATGGTGTCGAGCATCGTCGTCGGCGATGCAAAACTCAGACGTTGGTCATTGTGCCCTCTTCAGCCACGACGCTATGAACTTGGTAGCCAACGTCTTGAGAGGCAGTGAAGTTAAATAAATAAAAACAAGAAGAAGACTCGCGTCAGTTAAAAAATAGTACTTTAAAGTACGAATACGATTTGTTACCAGCTATCTCAGAGTACTCGATGTACTTCTTACCATCGGCTGGTTGATGCTTCCTTGTTGGGGTGCAGCATCACACGAGAGCGGCGAGCGAATAGTGGATCTTGTCCTTGAGGCTGTCAAACTTTTGGCTGTAAATTATCTTCAGCTTCAGCATGACGCTGCCCAGCAACGGGAAAGCGTAGAATGCAGCACGTTCGATGCCCACAGTCCACAAACGGCGATTGTCGAAGTCCGACGTCGAGCCGCGCACTAAATTCGCGTCGATGCCGTAGAGGTACAGCCCAAAGCCGAGGGTGAGAACCGCACAAATCCAACTCAACAGAGCAAACAGGCGAGCTTGTCCTACATATCGTTAAACGCTTCGGTAATTTAAAATACATTGGATTAAACTGATCAAATGATTTTATATGGGTTTTGGAAGGCGCCCACTGGCTCATGCAAAGCCATTTCGGGCCTCTTGCCCAGTAGAGCGCGCACTCAGGAACTTCATCTCCATTCCAAAACCCCACGATCCACTCAGCCGCAGCCCGCAACCACCGGGAAAGTGGGCGACAGCGCCAGATGCACCGGACTGGGCACCACCTATCGCACCATGTTTGGCACGTTCGGAGCACAGCTAGGCACACTAGAAGGCACCAGCCTAGACACCTCTTAGGCGTTCCTTGATCCAGCTCAGTAGACACTGCACCAGACACCAATCCAGGCACCGCACGACGTGATAGGACTCAAGTCGTTGTCGCCAACCTCCTGAGCCGCTTCAGTAGAGTCACCGATCTTCGTCAGCATCGCCGTCCACGCCACATCGCGTAAATGCTGCGCCTCAGCACCATCCGGAACTTCCGCGACAAACGTGTACCCCACGCCAGCAACGATGCAAGGAATCTTCAAGCCAGCCGCGGGCTCGGAGTGACCACCACGATCACTTTCAGTCGGGAGATCGGCGCCACCTCCAGGAACATCATCTTCAGTAGCGCCACCAGCATCTCCTCCAAGCAGTAGTCGCCACGGCCGCCACCAGTTGCGTTCGGAACTTCCGGTGTCACCTCCAGTAGCGTGAACGCCATCGCCGGCAGCGAAAACAGGACGGCCAGGTCTATCTCCAGCGACACGACCAGCGTCATCTTCGGGTGCTGCAGCACGCATGGCGCGATTCCGTCTTCAACACTGTGGTAAGCACACCCGCAGCAGTCAGTGCTCGCTCCATTACAGCGTGATCTCGCCGGCGTACCTCTTGTGCAATGGCTGGAGAAGTGCCCACCAAGAGGCGAATTGCCGAATGAGGCTAAGTAGACCTCGGCTGGGCGTGTTGCCTTTCTCGAGCCATACTCGCTTCAACATCAACAACTACCGTGACCTGCACCAAAGTGTAACAAGCTGACTACTTAAGTATGCAGATCGAACGGATACTGTACTGCTGCACCCACCGCGATAAATCAGAATCCAATCTCCCAAATGTTGGCACAGTGCAGGCAACAAATCTTGTCATGGCTACATGGTATCATACAACATTTAAGTCAATAAATTCTGATAGCACCACCAGCTTGACAAAATCCCACCAACTTCCGACCCTGCCTTATTAGTCGACTGCCAGAGTGCTGGACGTGTCGGAGCTGCTCACTTCACCATTAACTCCAGCAGTCGCCACTGCACCACAGCGCCTGCCGACTGGCCCACCTCTCCATGAAGCGCTTCTTTATCATCGGGTGCGGGTTGCTCCTGTCACCGCAGCTCGCCGCGTCTCGAGCACTCCCGGACAGCGTGGCGTCCCTCATTGATACATCCGTCAACCCATGCGTCGACTTCTACCGCTTTTCATGCGGCGGGTGGCTCGCAACGCACGAGATTCAGCCGGACGAGTCCATGGTCGAGTACGCGTTCGACAAGGCTCAGGACGCAATGGACGCGGTCGTTCTGCAGGCGATCGCCAACGACTCGACGTCCCTGGTGGGGGCGCTCTACGCTTCCTGCATGGACATGGACGCCCGCAATGCCATTGGGGCGGAGCCGCTGCGGGACGGAGTGGAGAGCATCGTGAGTGCTCAGAGCAAGGAGGAGCTCTTCCGAGTCGCGGGGAGGCTCGCACGCACAGGCGCGGACTTCATCACGAACCTCGAGCCGGATTCGAGTCTCCAGAACGCAAGTCGGAACGTGCTCTGGGTGTCCCACGCGGACCTGACGCTGCAGGACGACTACTACGAGAATCCCCAGGTGCTCAAGTATATCGAGAAAAACTTGACGGTTTACGCGTCCACGATCCTCAATTTGACCGGGTTTGAGCTGCAAGGAAGCGAGTACGGCGACTACGGAGACGTGGTGCTTGGGGTGGAGAAACAGCTCATTGAGCTGCAGAACTACGCCGAGTTGGATCCTGTAACCGTGAATGTGTACTACTTGCTCGCCTACAGGGAGGCCGCAGAGAACTACCCGCTTGTGTTCGGAGCGTACGCGGAAGGCATGCAGCTGCTGGATGATGCTCCAGCGCTGACGGAAGGCACAGAGGTCGCGTTCTTGAGCATCGCGTATTTTGAAAAAGCCGAGGAGCTCGTGTCGCTGATCACCTTGGACGCGCTTAAAGTGTACGTTGCCTTCGCGTACATCAACAACTTTGCCAAGTACTTGAGCCAGCCTTTTGTTGACGCGCGCTTCGAGTTCTTCCGTGGCGTGATGCTGGGCACACAGACCCCACTGCCCATGGAGAAAATCTGCGCGGCGAACGTGGTCGACCTGCTGCCCGTACACGCAGGTGCTGCGTACGTTGCGAACCGTGACGACATGAAGGAGACGGGTGACGCGTTTATCGCTATGCTGAACGAAGTGCTGAATGCCATGGCCGACAACATCAAGACACTGGACTGGTTGGATGATCAAACACGAGCAAGTGCGCTGGCGAAGCTTGACACGCTGGAGGTCATGTACGTCCAGCCTGATGCCAAGCAGCTGGAGAAAGAAGCTCAAGGACTAGTGAAGCTCGACCCGACTACATATTTCGCCAACTTGGACCTCATCTACACGGCCAAGTATGTGTCGCTGGCTTGGGCTATTGGAGCGGATGTGGATCGTCGATCATGGGGTATGAGTGCGGCGTCTGCTAACGCGTACTACATCCCGTACACCAACCAGATCGTGTTTCCTGCGGGATTGATGCAGCAGCCTTTCTTCGATGCTAGTGGCGCAGCAGCTCAGATTTTCGGCGCCTTGGGTGTAGTCGCGGGGCACGAGATCAGCCACGGGTTCGATAACGCAGGCTCCAACTTCGACGCGAAGGGGAACTGGAACCAGTGGTGGACCAACACCACTGCATCCGAGTTTGAGACGCGCGCACTGTGCCTGGTTGACCAGTACAGCGCATTCTACACGACTGCGGAGGACGGAGTGGAGCTCGTCCCTGTCGACGGGAAGAAGACACTAGGTGAGAACATCGCGGACAACGGCGGCTTGCACGTGGCCTTCAAGGCCTACAAGAAGCGTGTGTCGTCTTCGCGCAGCGACAATGACGACAATCAGCTCTTCTTCCTGTCGTACGCGCAAACGTGGTGCGGTAAGGTTCGTGACGAAACTGCTGTGGACTCGTTCCTCACGAACACGCACGCAGTCGGCGAAGTGCGCGTTAATGGCGCTGCGATGAACAGTGCTGCATTCGCTTCGGCATTTAACTGCCCTGCGGGTGCCCCCATGAACCCAGGTGACAAGTGCGTTCTGTGGTAAGATCTACAATAGATGCGAGCAACTTTAGCTGTCAAGTGTTCATGGTAAATTTAGGGGCCCAATGCTGCTATAGATTTCCATTGGCGATGTCAGCGACAACCGATGAAGTTGAAACTCAGGATGACCGCGAGCGGCGCCAGCGCTACGAAGACACGGAGCGTGAACTGCTGGCGGTACTGGAGGCTGAGACCGTGGACGAGTCGACGCGCAAGCGGCAGCTCGTGGGGCTCTTCGATCGCTTCCGGACTGAATACTCGCAACTGAGCGTCAAGCTGCGCGAGAGTCTGCGGCTCCAACGTCGCTTGATGGACAAGTGTCTGCAGATGAAGAACGAGCTCGTGGTGTGCGCCCTCAAGATCAAGACGAGAGAGCAAGTGCAGGCGGACGAGATCAAGAGCCTCGTGTTCTACCGAGACGAGTGCGAGTACGCGTGGAAGCAAAGTGCGCTGAGCCAGGAGCGAGAGCGCGACGCCATGCGCATTATCGACGACCTCAAGTCGAAAGTGGAAGAGCTGCAGCATCAAGTGAAGGCGCTTGTTGCGAACGGGGCGTCGGCGTCGTCATCCCGTCGACGTCCTCACTCTGAAGGTTCCTTCGATCAGCCGCCGTCTTCGTCGCCACTGGCTTCGAAGCCTCGGCTGACATCTCCAGCATTTGCCGGAGACCCTACGATGGCTGTCATATCACCAATAAAGAGGTCGAAACTCGCGTCGCCTGTGTCTCCAGGTGGCTTTATGATGCCGTCGTTGCTATCCTTCGAGGAGTGGAAAACTGCGACCAAAGTGTGGTGTCCTGCGACGCCTCTGGCTCTTGGAGGTCCAATGCGGACAGCTCCGACGCCGTCAAAAGATGCGATGCACGCCTACGAACGGCAGCAAGAGATCACGCGATGCGTGAGCGTGCCGAGTTTGCAGCCGACGCCCATGGAGCGAGTGAGCTCGCCGCAGCAGCAACAGCGACAGCAGCAGGAAAGACTCAACTCAACGACGAATATTCATGCCCGCACAGGAACAGCTTCAAGTATTGCGATACCTACTCAGTCGGCAGCTCAGAATTCGCCGATAACCCGGAGAGGTGGCACGCCGGCCATCAAACGACGAGCTCCTCGCCAACTGCCGCATGTGCAATAGCTCAAGTGAATTGCCGTTGTAGAAAGTAGGAACCCCGGAAACAGCCGAGGAGTTGAAGAAAATTCTTGACCTGTGCAGGTTCTCCGTGGTGGACTTTATCATTTTTGATTTCACCGTCCAGAAGAAAGATGGTAGACATGAATTCGGTAATGGAGCGGAGAAGAATGGAGGAGAGATGGGCCCGAGAAAGAAGGAGCTTCGCGCGCTCGATTGAAGACCTTAAACGGGAGCAGGAAAGCCGCCCAAGGAGGAAAGTCGTGTCGGTCGTGGTGGTGGATGCGGCAACGATGTTGGGCTTAGACATTGAAGGAGACAAGATCATTGATGAGCTGAAGAGGAGACTGCGGAGCCGCCGCAAGGGATTTGGCTGCCCGATCGACGAGATGAATTTGTACTTGGGCAAGAGGAACGGTGAATGGCTCAAAGCTGGTGAGCCTGATTTCGATCAGTTGGCTCGTGGTGAACCAGTACCTGCTTCCATTATGGCGCTCATGGTTGAGAGCAACACGCTGGATCCCCAGCGCCGAGTGCGTGACTATGGCTTTCCCGATGAGGACTACAGGCGCTCCCGGGGAGACAACTACCATGTAATCTTGGACTACCCCGAGTACATCAAGAGCAGATTCCGTGACGAGGTTGTCATGTGGCGGCTCAGGTACGAGGTTACCCAAGGTAAGCAAGTTCAAAGGATCGGTGGCGTTGTGACAGATTAAATAACGACGAGGTCGTTGACGCAGATGTTGCCTGCTGCGACCAAGCGCTAACGTGAGAAGTTGGAGGATATGTGCTGGTGGCGTGGAAGTGGTTCACTGGCGCTGTCAGCCGTGCAAAGTGGACTAGACGGCCCTGCACGCTCGAGTAGGTGGTGGTCGTAATTTACCTGCACAAGTGAATGCAGAAACAACGGTAGTGGCAACTGATTGGTGAAAGAGGGCTCTGTAGAAGAAAATAATAAATGTTTGCACTGAAAAAGTATATGACGGAGGAATCGCTGCTGTGCAAAATGGCTGAGGGGGGTCACGAGAGCCCCGTAGCTCAGTGGGGTCTGCCGCGCCTTGCCTTTCAAGCCTTGGGCTTCACAAAAAAGTTGCTGTCAGAACTGTAAAACCCACAGCTCGATACGAGGATAGGCCACCGCTCCGTGCCTCGCAGGGTCCAGGTCGTCGACAGTGCCTCGAACAAAGTTCGCGTATAGCGTGTACGGTAGATGTGTAGTACGCACAAAGTCCCAGCATTGTCACAGCGCAAAGCAAGAAGCAATCCGTCCTAATGTAGTTGAAGAAGGTTAAAAGAGTATTGATTCATCCTGCCTGCTGTCGAACTGTGAGCTACGTCGCCATCTTCAACATTTTTTTTCTCGATTTAGTAGGCGAGGGTGAGTTTGATGTTAGGGTGCGTACTGCACAACCAAATTCCAGCGGAATGGGGCCAATTCCAGCGGAATTTGCACTACAGCGGAATGGCCGATCCGCTGGCGCGTACTGCATTCAATTCTAGCGGAAATTCGAGCATATTCCAGCGGATTTCATCCGCCCAAATTCGGGCAGGCAGCGGATTGAACAGATGGCGCCTTTGCAAAGACATTTTTTCTCGAGAGTGGGTGGACTCCAATCACAGGACTGCCCGCGGCATACCGCTGGCGGAGGCGATGGCAATGCCGAAGACAGCGAAGAGGGGTGTCGTTGGCACGGCGGCGGAGTTATCGAATGGAAGCTGTCGCCGCTGTGGTAGGAAGGAAACCCGTCATCCAGGTCGACACTCTCACAGGGAGTTTGGGCCAATCCTACTCTAAGCAGGGCACATGTTCGCCCCCTCCACAACTCAATACACGTTTGCTTCTGATGCACGCTCTGTTTACGATATTTGACAGTGTAAAATTGCGATCCGCTGGACAGCAAAATCGCGCACTGCAACACAAAACAGTGGATTGCTTGTTCCAGCGGGTGAGTCGGTTCCAGTGGATAGAGCCATCCGACGTTTTATTCCAGCGGAACTGCAGTACGCACCCCTGAGAAGCGAGAACTAGCTAAAAGGTCTTCCATGAGGTCATACATGTATGTGGGCCGACGTGTGCAGCAGCCAACGCCGCCCAAGGAAAAAAAATGTGCCGGTGGTGGTGGTGGATGCGGCGACGATGTTGGGTTTCGACATTGAAGGAGACAAGACTACTGTATCGATGAGCGGGAGATTTGGCTGCCCGATCGACGAGATGATCTTGGGCAAAAGGAACGTTGAATGGCTGCATTTCTAGCGGCTGTGCTGATTGACTAAATAGTAAAAATAAAAACAAGAGCATCACTTTATACTTACTTGGGCCTACGGGATGACATCTTGTAATTACCGGTACGTGTGCGATGGAGGGGGGTCGCCCTACAAGATGCCTGTAGCGTTCGCAAATACTGCGGCTGCAGACATAACGTTAGAATATGCGATGCAAAAAAAGCAACCAGAGGCTTGCGTGAGAGAAAATTCAACGAGGATCCCTCTTGTGCGGATATTCTACTCCAGCTGGGATTTTACATGGTTTATGGCGTCACATCCTTCTCGCCAATCAATGCGAGATCGCGAGATTGCGTGGTTGTGTTTAATCATGAACATGTTGTGTACAATGTGAAGTATTGTATGTAACGTTAGTAGACATGTTCTCTCGATAAGTACTAGTTAACAATATAAAGCGTTAGATATCTGAAGACGTCGTAATATATGCAGAGCTTTTAATCTCTACATTAAAACAACACGCATCATTGCGAAAGGTTAATATATATACGAGGTTTCAGAAGGACTTCAAGAGCTACAACAACGCGAAATATAGTTCAGCGTTCATGCTGATTAAGCAAATACCCGTTCCAGAATCACATAAAGCTGGACCGAATAATATACTTAGGTACAGCATGAGCAGTTCAGAGAAATCGACTTGATATCGACGTCACAAACAACCCATGTTGTGGTAGAAAATGTTGCTGGGTATGCGTTACGAAACGGACTTTCCCAAGAGTTACCAACCTCCGGATACTGATAATCCGCTTTGGAAATGGCATGTAATAGTACTAACCAGAGGGTATCACTACCGAATTTGAGATTTCCTAAAGCAGAGCTTTCTCCTAAATGGCAATACATGTACGTCGTTGCATTTGCATTGATCAGTTTTTTTTCTGCGCGCTTACCTACGAGAATCCAGCTCGGATCAAGCCAGGAACAACCCTGGAAGAGCTGAGTCTGGCGGTCACTTGCACTGCGTCACAAGTTGCTGATGAGGCCTGTGTAGGGTGTGTTTTGGGTGGACTCGACCACTGTTTGTGAGCCATACGGCTGAAATGCCGTGTGCTCTCTGGTCGACGGAACGCTGGCGTGTGCGGACGCTGGCTTCCAAACCGATGGCTGCAATGCAGGATCTTGCAGAGCAGCCAATCCGGTTAGTCCATGGGGTTTGTTTTGTAGCCAAAGGCATTCCTCCGGAGTTCACAGTCACAGAAGCTCAATAAAACACGATCGCCTCTGGTGGTCACTTTGCGATTTGCATCTTGCCACACAAGTCGTCTCTCCTAACTACTTGCAGTCTCCTAAGCTAATCTCCTGAGTGCGCAAGAGCCGACTCCTCGAAACTCTTAGGTTGTTGAGCCCAAACCACCGAGACTGACCAGTATGAACACCGGCAACTCCGCGATCTCCGCCCCCCCCCAGTTCGGGAGCCAGAAGCCACCCAAGTACGACGAGGACGGCGGCTTCGACCTCTACAAGGCCATGCTGCAGTCGTACCTGGCGCAACGCGGCTGCTGGGGCATCTTGGACGGGACGGAGGTGCTTGGAGCGAACCCATCGACGACGGAGACGGATCACTTCAACGAGAAGAACGCTTTCGCTGGAGACGCACTGCTTCCCGGCGTGCCGATCAAGGATGCGGCGAAGATCTACACCATGACGGAGGAGCGCGAGATGTGGGTGGCCTTCGAGCTCGAGAAGACCAAGCGCAACTACTCAAACTCTCTCTTCGTGCGCAAGAAGTTCTACGCCTACGACTTCACCCGCGGCATGGACATGGACCAGTACCTGGACGAGATGGAGGCGATGAGACGCCAGCTGCATAACATGAACGAGGTCATCTCGGATGCAGAGATGGTGAAGGTCATTCTTCAAGGTGTGACCTACGAATACCGCGGCGTCGTGCGCATGTTTGACAAAGACGTGCGCGACGGTAAAACCCCGCTACTATCTGAGGTGCTGAACACTCTTCGAAGTGAAGCCGAGCTCGACAAGCAGCGTAGCAGCTCGAGGAAGAAGGGCGCTACCCCTGCGGAAGCCGGCAAGATCCTCCAAGTGCAGCTGCAGCAACAACAAGGGGGAAGCGGGGAGAGGAAGTGGAAGCAGAAGGCAGGCAACAAAAAAACGCTCAAGGGGCAGGATGGTGAATTTGTCGAGACCAGAACGTGTCATTTCTACAAGAAACCGGGCCATCTGAAGCGGGACTGCGACGAGTTTCTCAAGAAGCAGCGTCTGAAGCAGCAAAACGCGGTGGGGTCTGCCGCGAAGGACGGCGGCAAGAAGGGAGCCTCCATGTCGCTCATCCGGTGGAGCGGTGCTGGTGGCGGGAAGCCATCTTCGATCGGTATGGTGGCAACGGGCGACGCCTCCCCTGCTCCTTGTGACGAGTGGATGGTTGATACTGGCGCTGGGGTTCACGTGTGCACTGATTGGTCGGCGTTTGCCAGTATGAAGGAGGATACGCTGACATTTGTGGGTTGGAAAGGTGACGTCAGCAGCAGTGAAGCGTGTGGACAGGTCTCCATTTGTGCAACAGACGCTACGACGGATGGTGAGGTGGTGTTGGACCTCGAGGACATGCGCTTCACTAGTGGCGGCGTGACTAACCTGTTGAGTCTGGAGTGCCTGGAGCAGTGTGGTTGGGTGCCTTCCTACTCGGACGCTGAACGCTCTGAGGATCGCGTCATGTACCTGGATCGTGATGGCGTTCGGCTGGCACTTCCCAAGCGTAACGGCCACTACTGGCTCCAGACTAAGCGGGCAGTCGCAGACGCGACTATATGCACGGTCGTGACTACGCGGAAGCAGTCTTCGCTGATGAGGTGGTACATGAAGTTTGCTCACCTTAATATACAGGCCCTCAAGCGAATGGTCCTGAAGGAGATGGTCCACGGCATGCAGTCGCTGAAGCTGGACGACTTCAAGGAGCCGCTGGATTGCATTGCCTGCACGATGGCAAAACAGCGGAGGATGTCCTACAAGCGTCATAACAAGCGTTCCAAGGTTTGCTACGATCGCCTGATGTCGGATGTATGCGGCATTGGCTTGGAGATTTTGGGCGGTAACCGGTATTTTCAGTTGGTCCAGGATGAAGCCTCGAGGTACAAGTGGTGCTACGTGCTGGAACCCAAGAGTGAGGCGACCAAGAATGTGACGAACCTGATCTTGCGATTGGAGAAAGAGCACGTGATTAACAGGGTGACGTTCGACCAGGGAGGTGAGTTCGTGAACAAGAATATTAAGAGTTTCCTCGCTAACCATGGCATTGAGTTGCGACCCATGAACGCGTACACGCCTGAGGAGAACAGCTTGGTGGAGAAGCAGAATGGGAACTTGATTAACAAGGTCCGAGCAATTCGCGAGGGGACTGGTATGCCGGAATCGCTGTGGGGTGAAATCCTCATGTACGTTGTTGAAGTCGACAACCTGAGTTCGACCAAAGCTCTCCCTGACATGACTCCGTACCAGAAGCTTCCTGGAATGAATCCAGACGTGGGAAAGCTGCACGTTTGCGGCTGGGTTGCTTTCGCCCACGTTCCGAAGAAGAAGCGTGCTAGCAAGCTGAGCCCGAAGGCAGTTCCGACTTTGTTTCTCGGGTTCTCACAGAGCTCGATGGGGTATCGGCTTCTTAACCTGCTTACAGGTGACCTGGTGGAGAGGCGTGACATCTCATTTCGTGACGATATTACGGTTGACAGTGAGTACGTAGAGAATTTGTTGGCGCGCCGCTACAATGGGAGTTAAGTCGTTCTTCCTGACATCATTTTGTTCAGCTGTCGGTGAATGCCGTTCTCGATACGGTTCATCGTCAGGACAAGACCTCGGAGGACGCAGATTTGTCTGGAGACGACGCTAGTGTCGTGTAGGAAAACACGAGTTTATGAGTCCTCGCCCTATCAACCGAAGTCTCTAGGACGAGCCCTACCAACAACACACGCCTTCTCCGAAGAGTCGGCGATAGATTGTCGGGATAATAAACCTGAAGACCAGGTCCGATCCCTTATACGGGCTGGAATGTGCCTCCCTGTGTGTTGCGGGACAGGTAGGTTTACCCTTCGTTAAAATATAAGAGCACCCTTAGCCCCGAGCTACGGCTAGGATGCAATGTGTAATACGTGCTTTTGCACCAAACCTCTGTGGTCCCTCAGAAAGGAAGGGTACCAGGCCAATCGAAGCCTCTTACAGGGGCGCCGGGGCGAAGCCTCGGCTAGAAGTCAAATACACTGGGGTGCCGTTGCCTCACACCCAGTCAAACGTACAACTGTACATAGAGGTCTCTAATACCTCCCAACACTCGGCCACCTACTCACTCTTGGCCTTACCAGGACGAACACTCGGTCAATGCACCTTATGCTCACCGGCAGACATACCCCGTGCAGCTGAGTGTATCCAGACCCTACGCTAAGCTTAGCGACTTACCGTAGACGGACTTGACCCTTGTGTGGCTTGAGGGGGGATATTCTGTTCTGTTTAATGATTAGAGGCTGTCAGGCCTCTCCTATAGCTAATTCCTAAGGTCTATACAAATATCAAGTGAGGACCGAGCTTCCGACCGGACGAAACTTCGTCCTAAATCCGAACTCCTACTGGGCATAAAGTGTACCCACTATGAAACTTTGGAGGCCTCGGCAGGCGGTTTATTTTGACCCGCCGAGACCCTCCTGTCACTCCGTAGTCTCTATCAATCTTCTGGGCACTAAAACGCGGGGAATGTGACCGGCCAATCAGAGCCCTCGGTCAGCCATCACTCGCAAGCTCAAGGCAGTTACACCTCGGCCGGAACTCGCCCGGCGGCAGTCATTTGCCGATCTCACAGCGGCCCCCAACTCGGCTCGAGCCGTCCCAAGTGGCGAGTGCCGTGTTGCTTGCGTGCCTCCCTGCGCTCCGACGTCATGCAGTCCTCTGGCGGTCCTGGCAGCGCGCCGCCCTTCACCTTCCCGGACCTCGGTCCAGTCGTCCAGGTGAGTCTTCGTGCGAGGTGGATAGACATCAGCCTTGGCGCAACTGTTGGGTGGATGTGCCGTCCGAGCACCCGTACAACACAACCTTCGCTCCGTGCAACCCCAGGACTCCACTCTTCGTTCCGCGTGGCATGACTGTTCATGAAGGCGCGTCGGTGATTACGGTCAACCCAGTGCTGGACCCTCGCCTTGTTACGGCTCCGTGGGTGCGTTTGTTCACGAACTTCCACGAGCCTCCTTTCGGTCTGCAGGAGGACGGGCAGCCAAGTGAAGACGAAGTCTCGGAAGAGGTCGAGGAGATGATTGAAGATATCGAGTCTCCGGTTGCTGAAGAATCATCGGAAGAGGCTCAGGACGAGTCTCGCCGCGCCGTGGATGCTCAAGAGCCTTCGGACGAAGCTACACAAGCGCTAGGAGCTCAAGATGCAGCAACGGCAACGCAGGACTCGGTTCAAGATCGCGTCGCGGCTTCGGAGGCCCCTGTTGAGGAGGCCCCAGCCAGCGAGGCTGACGCGCCACGTTCACCTCCAAGTGCTGCTGATCAAGCTGCCACGCAAGCCGAAGCTTCTCCGGCTGCGCGTCTCCGCGTTTTGGCCAAGATTGCCTCGTCTTCGGACGCCTAAGCTTCGTTCCAGTTCTCCATCGTTCCTTCATGTTTAGGTCGAGCTAGATCGGGTATTCAGACAGTTCGTTTGTAGTATAACTAGCTCGCTCATGCAATACAGTAGTCGTTTGTCCTTCTTCAGCTGTTCTCCATAGTTTCTCCAGTCGTGATCGCCACTTCGTAAAGTCTTGTCCACTTCAACATACAAATATACAATCTTCTTTTCGCAGTAACATGTTTCGTCTGCTGGGGCAGGCTGCGTAGCCCTGTCGGCAGTTCATCATGGTGAGAGGATGCTACTAGTCCTCGTCAGCGACTTGGACCATTTGCAACCTTCGGTCACGTCGTTTCTCGCGTAGATAGTCATACAGCAGTCCGCCACAAGACAGATTCGACGCAGGCTCCCACGAGGGTTCTTCATAGCCGACCCACTTCACGCTGAACTCTCGGACGGCTCGCTCAGTGCTCGTCGAGAGAGGAATTCGGTCATCCAAGATGGCTTCAACCTCATTCCCCACTATCCTCCGGGAGAAACTCCTCGTCGAAATCCAGTCGCGTCTCCTCGGTTACTTCAGCAGCAAGTCGAGCCTTCGGCCGATCGCCAAACTCGTTCACTGCCTTCAACCGGGACACATGCACTACAGGGTAGAATCGGTAACCACTCTTGTCAGGCAAATCCAACTCGTACGCATACTCGTCAACCTTCCGCTGGATGCGGAAGGGACCATGCCATCGATGAGCCAACTTCTTGGTCAATCCTGGCTTGACGCGTTCCATGTAAAGCCACGCACGATCACCAGGCTGGAAAAGAGACTTCGGTGCGGGGTCTGGTGTGTCACCCTCGCCCTCTGCACCTGTTGGATCATCTTCCGAGGTTTCATCAGTCGCGGAAGGTGGAAGCGCAGCACGTTCCGCTCGGCTCAAAGTCTCGTTATGCTTTTGGGCACGCCGAGTTTTTTCGACTGCTTGATACTCTTTAGCCATTTCCAACGCAACCTCCTGTTACTTGTTGACCTCTCGGCGCCACGCCAACGCATCGGACTGTCGCCCGACACCTCGCTTCAGTGATGAGGACATTGCTCGGAGGGTGGATCTTGCGTCCCATCCGTGCACCAAGTAAAAAGGCGTGTCCTTCCTCGTGGCGTCCTGCGAGTTGTTAATCGCAAAGATCAACTTCTCCACAATCTCATCCCAGTCTTGTTGCAGCGGGTCCTCCGCGTACACTCGCACCGATTGCATTACGGTCTTGACCGAGCGTTCCTGCTGGCCGTTAGCCTGCGGCCGATAGCTCAACGTAGCCCTAGATCTCCACTGCATCATCTCGGTGAAGGTTTGGAAGACCTCGGTCATGAAGCGCGGGTCTCGGTCATGCCTGATCAGAGACGGCGCTTCGAACCTTCGGTACACGCACGCTTCGAATGCTTGTGCTACACAGAGTGCAGATGTGTCCGCCATCGCCTTGCCCATGACGAATCCAGTGAACGCACACTGAAACAGTAGCAGTGCGGTATTGCCCCGCCGAGTCTTCGGTAGGGGTATCACAAAATCCATTGAGACAATTTGTAGCGGACGCTCGTCCAGAATGTTGCCTGGGGAGTACCCACGCAGCTGCGGGTGACTCTTGCTTGAGCTACAGTCTAGACACGAGCGTACGTGCTTCTCCACATCGGCGAATAAGCCAATCCAATAGTAGTCAGCCTTGACTCGGTGGTAGGTCCGGATGATACCTTGGTGACCGCCCTCCAACGAGTCATGACAGTTCTGTAGGATCTCCTGAACCATCGTTGTTGGCACCACTAGACGTAGTGTCGTCTCCTCGCTGGTCTAAGCCACCATCTGGGTATGCGTTGAAGTCTCCCCCTACTATGATGATTTGCTGGCGTTGCTGCGCGAGTTCAATGCGCGTATCGATCCAGTCCCTCTCTTGTTTAGTTGCCGTTATGTTTGCTTGAGGGGTATCTGGCAAATACGTTGCAACCAGCACGAGCTCGGCACGTCCACCGAGGCGGACTGTAACGCTAATGGATCGTCCTGATGGAGATAATTTCGTGTCTAGTTTAATCAGTCTTCCCTGCCAGCGTTCACTGTCCATCAGGATTTCTGCACGTTTGTTGTCGAGTAGGGTAAGGCCTGGCATCTTAGATCCATCGGTAGCCGTGACCCAGATCGTTTTCGTGGTTGCGCATGTCAGTCCCGTGTCCGCAACTATCATAAAATCAAGTAATTTCTCCATCCACTCTCCGTAACACGCCTTCGTTGATATTAGCAGATGCAATACGAAGATGCTTCGACAAGTCCGTGGTTACGGCATCTCCGCGGTCTCCGATATATTGCTCTTGAAAGAAGTCACGGCTTGATATTTCCTCCAACGATACCTCCTCTCCGGTTTGAGATGTACGAGAGCTTCGTTCGCTTCCTGGGTTCGACGTCCTGCGTTTTCCTGTAGTTCCGTGGAGTAGCATGCGCAACTGGTTCTTGTGTTAGCAGTCGCCAGTCTTCTGCCTCTGAGTTTGACGAATCATCGGATGATGATAATTCAATTGGGTTTCCTACTGTCCTTGCCGATTCGTTTTGTGTGCCAATCAGCGATGTCGTTGGAGCTGCATCCGATATTCCAAATAACATCAAGAACGTGATAGCAAGGAGTGTTATTACGCCGATGTTAGTGCGACCACTGCGGTATTTTATTGCTGGGGGCCTGTACCGCGTTCGAGACCCCCCGCTTCAAAATCCGGGGAAGATTTTTAAATGGGTCTTATGCAGAACAGGTCTTGGATTTGATCATAGCGTACGTTTTCTATGATCTCGTGATTATTCGCCATGTTTTGACGGCAAAAGCCACTTCACCGTAGACTACGAATGCCCTCGAGCTCACCGCCGTGGCTGCAATGGCGCTGGTGGGTACCAGTATCACCAAGTTGCGAGCAGCTAGGTGATGCGGGGTCTTTCAGCCATGATCGTCCAACCCGCTATGGACCGAGCCTCCTCTCCAGCCGGGCTGGCAGAGCGAGCTGCTGGACATGGAGCTGGAAGATGCAGCAGCAGGCCACGGCACGCCGGCGTAAGGCGCCCGCGACTCCCTCGAGCTTGTCGCTGATCAAGTCGCCGCTTGCACGAGACAACTACTCCGCTCCAAGAAGAAGGTGGGCGTGGGTGCGCTCGTCGTGTGAAGCGCGGCACGCCCCTCGTGATCGAGAGCCGCCGCGGCGAAGCCCGTCTCGATGCTTTCGATGTCGCCCGAGCCCGTGGATGTCCATCCTGCAGAAGGAGAATCGCAGATCTGTGGAGCTCACCGTGGGCACCGCGGCGCTCAGGTCCTGCTACGGCAAGTGACACCCGTCTGAATTTCGCTGCGCTGGCGACGACTTCGGCGTGTGTTGCGCCCTAGGCCCGTGTTCCCGTACGACGGTCAGAGGTGGCAGCTACTGCTTCCCCGCTCACGAGCTCTTCGGACGGAGATAAGGCGTTACGAGTCGTAGCCTACGACGCCGTCTACGGCGACGATAGACGCGGACAAGATGAATGGAGCATGAGGACACCAAGTCCATGACGGCGGTCGGCCCGCCCACGCCCGCCATCGCCGCAGCATTGACCTCGAGTATTCCACGACAACTACAGACTCAAGTTCGCCCACGCTGCGTGCAGCTCGACATACTGTGCTGTCCAAGCTCTACGACGAGGATTCGGAGTGGTGGGGAAGACACAGTTCGCCTCGTTGATGAGTTGTAGGTCAAGTCTCGCCGCACTCCCAAGCTCTACATCAAGGCCAGCACGTTTTAGGGGCACCCGTGCGCCACTCCACGCACCCACTACAAGAAGGAGAAGGATAATTCGTGGCACCCAAGCCCGTGACTGCGTATAAGCTTCGCCAAGCACTTCTCGTCGGTTGTCATATTCGCTACGGAGGGGATAAGCTGCAACGCGAGGTTCGTGCAGGCGAATTCTTCACCCTGTAGAGCGCTGGCATCGCATGGGAGCGCGAAGCATGTCAAGCAGCGTGAACACTGAGGGTTGGCTGCCATACTGCTCGAAGGCGCTCGCAGGAGCGACTAGACCGTGCTGCCTTACACGGTAGCGTATAAGTCATTGCTACGTCCAATGCATAGTTTACATATCGAATCGAATACAATTGCCTCACTATATAAGAGAGCCCATCATGTAAGGTTACCGTCTATGCATCTTGCTGCGACTACCAGCTCGATAAAGCAGCAGAATACTGCAAATTGAGGTGCAGGCTTTAAGAAATGACTAAAGACGTGATTGTAAGGCATCGGGGCCTTGCTACTGCATAATGTCTGCTCATTCAACGTAGACCACCTTCATCTACAAGAAGTCCTGCCATTACTTGGCAGGGCAGAACGTTGAACGGAGCATGGAGAAGAATTGTCGCGTCATGTTCCACTTCTGTGGGTTTTTGGTTCAGGTCTACCGATTCGGTCTCATAATCAGCATGTTCAAATCCCAGACCTGATCTGCATAAGAACCAAAATAAAGGCAACCAAATCCGGTACTCCAATTCGTGCGGCCATGAGTTTTAAGAGCCACAACGTTTCAGATAAGTTGTCCGAGGTCCGCGCTTGAGCTCGCTCCATCGAGCTAATCGAGTTCTCAAGGGCCTGGAGGCGGCTGTCAACTGTCATCATGTGGCGGTCCAGTTCGCTGCGGACTGAGCTGGTGATCGCCTTGGACTGCTCCTGGACCTCCATTGCATGGAGTTCTTGAATGGAGGGCGTTACTTTATTTTCTGCGTCGCTACCTTGCCCCATGTGTGCTATCGACCTCCAGCGGTCATTGGCACACCCCTGTCGCTCATTGCTGGCATGACCAGAGTACGGGTGGTGCTGGAAGCGTTGTCGGTAGCCTTCATCGGGCATTCTCTAACGAAGTGATCGAATCTGCCGCATTCGAAGCAGGTGCGTTCCCTTCGGGTCCAGGGGCATCCACAAAGAGCTTAATATTTCCAATGCGCAATTTCCTCCATGACGGGCTCCGTACGCACTCTGCAATCGTTGTGCATCTCGTTCGGTAGCCGGGTCTAGCGTTCCGGAGGATGCTCCAGGTTGAACAGCGATCTTGCGGTGAGGGTATCCGAGGTCTTCAAGGTGTGCTGCCACTTCTTCGGTCCGTAGCTCAGCCCGGAAGCCGTAAATAAACAGCCTCTTACTGAGCTTAGCAAGAGCTTCTTCCGTGTTTTGGCCGGATCAAGCGCTCGCTGTTGCTGTCCCATTCCGTGCGCATATCGGGTTTCAGTCAGATACTATGCCCGTGCGGGATGTCGCTCAGCGCGTCCTGGTCTCGGCGAAGGTACTCTGCGTACACTGCGTTTGCGGTGGCTGAACAGTCTGAATGCGAAAACCTTCGCATTCGTGGCCGCGTCCGTCACCGATTTTACCATGCATGCAATAGCTGGCCATTTGGTTTGTCGTCTTGTGCTGGTGCCGTGGGATACCACCAAGGCTCCAGTGGCGCCCCATCATTTCAGTAGTTTTTGTAGGTCCGAGACAGATACAGAGTTTAGGTTGGAGTATTCAACTTCAAGTAAGTCTACGTTAGTATCCAAAGCTCCACTAAAGGCAGGTTGCATCCGGACAGTGATCCTCATAACAACAATATACCCTCGACGCATAACTTTCCAGAGTGTCCTGTCGTTCCGCCGGGGCTTCCTGGTAATCTTGGAGAGCCTTCCGCGGCTTAGTACGAGCCCTGGGTTCTCGAACGTAATCTCCATTGCCGCACAAGTCTCATGCATCTTGGGAAGAAGCTGTGCCAGTCCCCAGTCCCTATGGCCTGGGACGGACACCGTAGTTGCGCTCAGCGTGAAGGCAACTCGCATGTTGGCAGAGTGAAAGCGTCCTTCAAAGTTTTGCCAAGCCTGCTCCGCATGGTCGATATCTAGCTCATCCTCGCGAGCAATGATCCGCTGCAGCTCACCAGGCTTGAAGTCTCCAGCGATATCGCTATCCCGCGTGCCGAGTGTCCGAGCGTCTTGTCGGCTGTTTGACAAGGCGATCAGTTGATCTCGTCCTGTCGGTGATTTCCTCGTCGGCACACATGGGATCGTCTCCATTGGTCTCAGATTGTCGCTGGTCTTCACCGTAGTCGTAGGTGATACCGCACGACCGAGGGCTCTCATTGACGTCTGGGCCGGTGCCTTCTGCCTTGCTCAATAGTGTGGCTCGACGCATGTCTCGGGACGCATTTTGCACCTGGATGGGGAGGTCGATCCGGACGGACTGACGATTCGAGCTGGTCGATGCCTTCTTGGATTCAGCTGTCGGCTTGGTACTTTGAGAGGGCGTCGCGGGCATTGTAAAAGGCCTGGACGGGGAGGTAGCTTGGCGTTTGGCTTGGGTTTGTTGAAGACTGTGCTAGTGCTCTCAGTAGTCGGTCTGTTGCAGGAGTTTCAAAAACATCCGCTGGGGCTCTAAATATGGCGCGGCCTGCGCTAGCTTCTGGGGGGGGCTTTGGTGCTCTTCTCGGTTGTTTGCGGTGGTTTGCTGGGCTGTCTTGCTGTTGTGCTCGCGTGTGGCGTCGCACATAGCCTCGAGCAACTTCGGTGTTGTCTTCGTGTTGTCTTGGTTCTTTTGGTGTTCTGCGCCACGACCGGTTCGACGGCGCGCCGGGGCTTCAAGTCGAGTTCCCCCCGGGATTCTGTGCGGGTCCAAGTGAGCGACTCTTCGCAAATTGGGAACTCACATAATATGTGTATTATAGACCCTCCCATATCGCCCCGGGCAACGCGGCTGCATTACTTGAGTAGATCAAATACGTTGCCTCATCACCCCACCCCTCCCTACCTGCGGACTCACCAGTGAACACCGGCGGTAATCTAGCTGCACGTATACTTCCTAGCCGACGCAGCCTGGTGGAACAGTGTAACATGCGCTGTAGGTCTAAAAACTCGCATTGGGCGGCATCACTCGATCTAGCAGTACCTAGCAATCCTATCAGAGTTGGTGCAACTACTTACACGTGCATTCAGACAGGGTAGTACAACCTCGTTAACAGCTCGACAGTCTCTTTGACCCTAAAGGGTTCAAATAGGTGAGCGTCGCGAGTAGTAAGTTAGTAAGTAGTCTACGCCGCAAACATGTTAGTGACTTTCACAACCCACAAACTTACTGTACAGTGGATTGACGCGTTACTCCCCTAGATACAAACATCCCTAGATACAAACGCTGTGTCATTCTCCGGTCTGGTCCAAGGTAGCGACGCCTGACGTGGCATCTTTCCTAAGTAACTTACGTGGAATGACTCAAAACTCAGTGAAATATACTCACAATTAAGTAGCACCCGTTGGCGAGTCGACATTGAGGTCCAGCGCACTGTTGGTTGCTTGCGTACAAATAACGAAGAGTTCAAAAGGATGACTTAGTGGTGGGTTACCTGCTACATGCGAGGAAATTTGCAAAATGTTAATGTCTGGCTTGCAAGCACCTACATTCATGTTTTACCAGTTGTCGTCACCGCGGAAATTGTAAATACTCGAGCTGTTACCAGTAACAGGCCTCAACCCTCGCATGTAGCATGATTTACCATGGTTCAGGTAAGTGAACGCGTGCCCAGGACGAGTCCTGGAGGCCCGCGTTGCCATCCCAGCACTGGACCAGTGCAATGGGGAGACACCTTGGTCCGCCGACTGCTGATTGGCTAGATTCCCTGTACCCATCCCTGTCTGTGCATTCCCCAGAAAACGTCCATGTGCTCAAAGACGCCACATCGTTTTGTGCTGTTCAGGGCGGTTGCTGTGTTGGTACGATCTTACTGTGTTTCTACAGCTTTGTTGTGCCGTCACAGCACTGTTGTGTGCAGTTCACGCGTTCTCTACATGCACCGAATTTGAGATTTCCTACGTGATACCCTAGGAAGCTCGAAGTTGTCCTGTTGTAAGTGCGCAGAAAAAACTGATCAATGCAAATACAACGACGTACATGTACGTGTATTCATGAATTTATCTAAGCTTCTTCCTCGTCGTACACGAGATGTACAGGGTTAAGAGTTTCGAGGAGTCGGCTCTTGAGCACTTAGGAGATTAGCTAAGGAGACTGCAAGTAGTTAGGAGAGACGACTTGTGTGGCAAGATGCAAATCGCAAAGTGACCACCAGAGGCGATCGTGTTTTATTGAGCTTCTGTGACTGTGAACTCCGGAGGAAAGCCTTTGGCTACAAAACAAACCCCATGGACTAACCGGATTGGCTGCTCTGCAAGATCCTGCATTGCAGCCATCGGTTTGGAAGCCAGCGTCCGCACACGCCAGCGTTCCGTCGACCAGAGAGCACACGGCATTTCAGCCGTATGGCTCACAAACAGTGGTCGAGTCCACCCAAAACACACCCTACACAGGCCTCATCAGCAACATGTGACGCAGTGCAAGTGACCGTCAGACTTAGCTCTTCCGGGCTTGTTCCTGGCTTGATCCGAGCTGGATTCTCGTACTCCACGCGCACTGTTTCATGCTTTCTCTGGTACAAATGCATCAAAACAAAACAACACAATTCCATGCGATAGATCCACTGGCCCTCGCCGTCCTTCCCATCATGTTACCGGAGCAGCTTCGCCGAGACCACCTCACCATACGAGCATACCCATAGACAATGTCAGTTTCTGTAGCTCGCACGTTACCATGAGGCACGAAATGTTGCCGCCTCTCAAGCCACCACCACGACAGTTTCCGAAGTACAGCGGCCACGAAGCACACATTTCACGGTGAGTCCTCCTGGAGATGTCGATATCTCCATGACCACCACCACTGCTCCCAGTCATAACACATCACTGCCCGACCTCGTCCTTAGTTGAGTCCTCAACCCCCCCCCCCCCCCCCCCCGCGCTTCTCCCATGCTCCAAGCACATTCTCAATGCCGGAGATACTCAAAACGCTGTGGCCCGAGAGCCTTGGTGAATATGTCAGCGACATTTTCAGTAGTCGAGACATAGTTCACAATCACCGAACGTAGACACCAGAATCAAAGACACACTGTCGAAACTTGAGCTGCAGGAGATACGCGTGCAGTGTGTCGTTCCAAATTCTAGACGCCTGCTTAAGACCATAAAGCCCTTTGAGCAGCCGGCACGCACGATCAGTTCCATCATGATAGCCCTCGGGCTGCTCCATGTAGATGTCTACGTCCACGAGCTCTCCATTCAGGAACGCCGTCACGAAATCCACATGCCTGCCGTCCAGCCCTTGCATCAGCGCGATAATCATGACACGTCGAACAGATTCGATGCGTACCACCGGAGAATACGTCTGCAGGTAATCGATCCCGAATTTTTGAAGAAAACCACGTATGGCTAGTCGTGCCTTGAACCTGTCGACCTCACCTTTTTCGATTCTCTTCACAACCAGGACCCAGGTGGAGGTGAGAACGTTGACGCGCTTCTTCCTTGTAGACTTTGGCTGAGGTACGAGCTCCCACGTCAGGTTCTTCATCAAACTGCCATACTCCACATCCATGTCTTCACGCCACTGAGGCGCGTGTTCCGAAGCAACTGCCTGGCGCATTGTTGTAGGATTTAGCAGCTCGCTGACGATCCCAATGAGCATGCACGACATCAGAGCGCAGTCATCACCCACGACGGATCGTACTGTGTGTGTTTCCGACGGTGGCGAGTCAAACGATGCGTTGGTTGTAGTGGGGCCGAGGCCGAAGCGGATGTACCACTTGTACCAGTCGGAGGAGAAGGACTGTAGGCTGACGGCGATGACGTTGCTGATCTGCTCGTGCTGCTGAAAGGCGAGAGCAACGATGAGCCACTTGTACCGCTTGTATTGCTAACAGCATCCCCACCAGTAGAACGGCGATCCACCACACGCGTAGGCACCCTTGGCAAGCCACTCCCACTGGATCTACGATTGTTGCTGCTTGACGAAGAGGCCGAGGAGGAACTGGTGATGCTACTAGACGACGAACTTGAGCTGTTGCTAGACGGAGACCCCGTCGACGACGAACTAGCAGGAGAGTCACCTGTAGGACTTGCAGGTGGACTCGAGCTTGGACTCTCAGTACGGCACAAACTCCCACTGAAGTGAACGTCCTCTGATTCATCACTGCTGCTATCACTGGAGGCGACACGTCGTCGTTTCCTGGGCGGTTCCTCGCCACCGGACTGCCTAGTGTGAGATCGGGAAATGACTGCGGCCAGGCGAGTTCCGGCCGAGGTGTAACTGCCTTGAGCTTGCGAGTGATGGCTGACCGAGGGCTCTGATTGGCCGGTCACATTCCCCGCGTTTTAGTGCCCAGAAGATTGATAGAGACTACGGAGTGACAGGAGGGTCTCGGCGGGTCAAAATAAACCGCCTGCCGAGGCCTCCAAAGTTTCATAGTGGGTACACTTTATGCCCAGTAGGAGTTCGGATTTAGGACGAAGTTTCGTCCGGTCGGAAGCTCGGTCCTCACTTGATATTTGTATAGACCTTAGGAATTAGCTATAGGAGAGGCCTGACAGCCTCTAATCATTAAACAGAACAGAATATCCCCCCTCAAGCCACACAAGGGTCAAGTCCGTCTACGGTAAGTCGCTAAGCTTAGCGTAGGGTCTGGATACACTCAGCTGCACGGGGTATGTCTGCCGGTGAGCATAAGGTGCATTGACCGAGTGTTCGTCCTGGTAAGGCCAAGAGTGAGTAGGTGGCCGAGTGTTGGGAGGTATTAGAGACCTCTATGTACAGTTGTACGTTTGACTGGGTGTGAGGCAACGGCACCCCAGTGTATTTGACTTCTAGCCGAGGCTTCGCCCCGGCGCCCCTGTAAGAGGCTTCGATTGGCCTGGTACCCTTCCTTTCTGAGGGACCACAGAGGTTTGGTGCAAAAGCACGTATTACACATTGCATCCTAGCCGTAGCTCGGGGCTAAGGGTGCTCTTATATTTTAACGAAGGGTAAACCTACCTGTCCCGCAACACACAGGGAGGCACATTCCAGCCCGTATAAGGGATCGGACCTGGTCTTCAGGTTTATTATCCCGACAATCTATCGCCGACTCTTCGGAGACGGCGTGTGTTGTTGGTAGGGCTCGTCCTAGAGACTTCGGTTGATAGGGCGAGGACTCGTAAGCTCGTGTTTTCCTACACGACAACTGGTGCCGCGACCTGGGACTGGTGTGATCGATTGTGTGTTGTGGTCTGTGTAGGTTTTGCCCAACGAGCATTGAGGAGAGAAGAAGAAACAAGAAGAAGAACATGAACAACATGGCGAAAGGATCGAAGTCAGCAGTACCAGCGCCGGTGAAGTCGGGACGAGGATCGGCCGAAGGTTCGTCAACGATCGCGAGTGACTTAACGTCTCGGTTGTCGATGATCTCCGAAAGGTCGGTCAGTTTCGAAGAGTCGGTCGGCGAAGATTCGGACGCCAAGTATGACATGATGATGGACTATGATGACCTGAAGGAGAAGACTCCAGCGACGACGCAGGAGTTCGGAGATGAAGAAGATACGATGCAGTCCGCGGGACGTAGCGGAGGCTCGCGCCTTGTCCCGGAACCTCGTCGCGGAATTTGATGAAGTGGCGAAACCCGACCATGCGGATGACGACTTTGAGGATGGCGCCGAGACCTCGGCTTCGAGGGCTCTGGTGCAGGTTACTAGGGGTCCTCAAGAATCCCGCGGAAGTCGGCCCGCTATGAACAGCAGCACTCCAGCTGCGAACAAGGTGCTCGGCAGAATGCTCGAGCAGATGGTGGAGTTGAGCGAGTGGATATGGCAGTTCAATCCCGAGATGACGCGTCAAGCGACTTGGTCTGAGCTGAAGGAGGAGTTGCAACACCCCGTTGAGTCGACCTCGGTTACTCAGGTGGCCGAGGACACGGTGTCCCTCCTACGAGCGATGGGCTGCGAGCCAAGGACTCGTCCGTCCGAAGTCTCGATCAAGAGTTGGACGCCGGGTCTCGCCGGCAAGGATCTGCATAAGTGGAAGAGGAAGCTTCGCCTGAGCTTCGGACCTGACTCTGGGACGCCCCCCGAGTGCTCGCCCCCCGAGTGCTCGCCCCGCGAGGGAGCAAGTTGATCCTTCGAAGATCACACTGTCACCAACACCCAAGAAGTCCGCCGAGCGGTCAAACAAAAGCCAGCGATGGACGGAGTGTTCTCTGCCAAGACCCAAGGTTCGCCGTACTTCCAATACTCGCACATGGTGACTCCTAGGTCGGCGAGTCGAGCCGACGGTATTGCGCATGAGTACGAAGGTTCGCTACGCGAGCGGAGCACGCAACGAAGCTCCACGCGACGCACAGGGCGCCGGTTTACACCGCACGATGACTCCTCGCCCGACGAGGACAACAATGACAACATCGACTATGAAGATGGGTTTGACAGCCCGAGCGATGAGTTGGCCCGTCAAGTGCGCGAAGTGAGTGAGATGGAGCGACTGAGTTCGACTCCTCGGCTCGAGATCGCCACACACCGGCCGCTTGCGCAGATCAAGAACTTCCCAGGGACCCGCAACCGGAGTGAAAACTCTATGCAGTGGCTCTGAGCTTTCGTCTATGATATGAAGGGAACGCACACTCCGCCAAACGAGTGGTGCATGGCTTTCGAGCTGAGCTTTCGGGACGGTGCCATTCACTGGTACCGCCAACTCCCGAAGAGGACTAAGCGTCAGTGGATGCGACTGAGCGATGCGTTTATCAAGTATTACTGCTCGCAGTTTAGCCAATCTGCGAAGGCTCGCTACTACTCTGCGAAGCGCGAGTCCTCGGAACACCTTTGTGACTACCTCAACCGACTGAATGGTTACGCTGGTAATGCTGGCCTTCAGTTCGAGAGTGGTGGTCGCGATGCGAAGGGCCATGTACAGTGGTTCCTCGAGATGTGCAGTGACCGAAGCCTCGAACGCCGGCTTTGTCACGTCCGGGTGGAGGACATTCACGAACGCGAGGACATGATCAACGACATCTTGAAGTCTGAAGAGCGTGGGCAGTCGCGCGAGACCTCGTCTCACCACTCGCGTAGTCGAGACCAACCGCGTCGTCGTGATGACCGTCGCCACGAAGCTTCGCGTGACAGTCACCGTCGCGACCGCGACCGTGGTTACGAACGTCGCCGCGATGACTCGTGCCATGTTCCGCGCATTCCGCTAGCTGAAGCTTCGCTGTCAGACTTGGTCGCTGAACGGCAAGTCCGCGGTACCAAGGGTGGTAGAGCCGAGCGCTCGTCGCCACGTCGTACCCCGTACAGCGACAGCGAGAGTGACGCCAGTGATTATCATTACTCCGAGAGTGATCCGAGTGATGGTGGCTACAGTGACGTTAGCAGCTCTGGTGAGGAAGGAGCTCACGTTGCTGCTGCCAATGAGCGCGAACGACGCCAAGCAGCTGAAGGAACGTACGCGCGACCTGACCAACGTCAACGCAGGGGTGGTGAACCCGGCCGAGGATTCGACCGGAGTAACCGCCACTCCGGCCGAGACAACCGTGATGGTCGTCCGCGTCAGTACGGACCGTGCGCAGCGTGTGGCGGAGCCGGGCATTCGGCTCACTACTGCTACCGCCACTGCCGACTATGCCAGCAGGTGCATGACATCGGCAAGTGCGAAGCACTTCAAGCCCTCACTTCGTTCATCAAAACGAAGACCGAGAAGAAGGACCTCTCGCCAGAGCTCCAAAGCCTAGTCTTCGGTGGCAATTTAAACTAGGCAGCCCGCCAACTGAAACTGGGTTGGTCCCAATCGGGCTGCCACAGTTAGCTGAGCCCGCGATTGATGTAGACTGTGTCTACGCATTCGTGGGCGAAAGCAAACGGCCGAACGACAAGGACAAGGAATGCGTGAAAACGACGGAAAATGAAAAGGAGTGAGGGGAAACCCTCGGTGGAGGTGTAACAAGTGAAATGAATAATGATGAAGATGATGAAGATGGCACCGAGGCATGGGTCTCAAGTGCGGTGCAAGAAGGACGCCCTGGCCGAACGCCCAGTGGGGCGACGAAGTTACTCCCAGGCGAGAGGCTGGGGTGGTGGTCAGCGCAGAAGTTCGACAAGAGAGCTCGGACCTCGCGGTCGCATTTGTTCCATGCGACCGCGAGGTTGCCAGACGAGGTGAGTATCCCACTCATTAAGACGTTGAACATGCTGAATGACCAAGGTGAAGGCCCGCACGTCAACGGTGGTCCGTCCGAGGACCTAACCATTGAGAGCCGAGAGTTCGCAGAGTACAGGGTACCGAGGCGTCAACCACCTCTGGATACACACGAGGTGTGGGTACGTCGCACGAAGTCTCTGTTGCCCACGGTAACGAAGTTTCGGCGAGGCAAGGTCGAGAGGGTGCGGTTGACGAACGTGTCGAAACGTTTTACGGTTTGCCGTGCTCACTCGCCTATGCTAATGTGGGTACCGATTGGAGATCTCCCGAAGGCTGAAGGCTATGTTCGACTCAGTTCGGAACGATACGAGGACTGGCAGAAGTTGGCTTATGACGGAAGACGGGATAAAACGGTGTTCAAGCGTGAGTGTGATGCATATGCGGATTGGCTGGCCTCTCAGCCTTCGGCTGTGGAGCGACCGGAGTATGCATTGCCGGCCGGGGTGTTACACCGGCCACCCGAAGCCTCCCGGATGCACGGCCGCCAGCTGAGTTGTGCCGAGCAGTGGGAACGCGAATCGCTAAGCGTGAGGAGCAGGATCAATTCGCCACCGACGGCTCACCTGTGGGTGATGATCCGGTGGCGCTCCCTCCCAAGCCGATGACACTAGTACCGAAGGGTCAATCGAGTCTGAGAGTGAAGGAGCTTCGAATGCCAACACCGATGACGACGCCTCGGACCTAGGGGTGATAGCGAGCCAAGTGCCAGCCGAACCCTCTGACGTAACGGAAGACAGTTCAGAATGGGGTGGCAGTGAACAGTCCCCAGGGTCCGAAGACTCAGTCCAAGATGAAAGCTCGGTAGCAGTGCTGACACGTAATTATCTGTCGACCGCCGCCGCTGTTGAAGTTGACCAGTCGCCTACGAAGTTTGAAGCGGGACTTGGAATCGGATCGAGTGAAAGCTCGGTCTCGGAATTAATCAACAGTCCTATTGCGGACATGTTTGCGAATGGAGAGCCCGACGAGTCTTCGTTGGTGCCGGTTTTCGAACGGCGTTCGTTCGTTGACGATATTTGCTTTGGCGGCGAGTCTTTCGATGCATGTTTAGCGACGCTCGATCGACTCCTCGCCCGGTTCGAGGAAGGTCGGATCAGCGTGAGTTTCACCAAGAGCATTTTCGTGCAGCCCAAGCTGGACTTCCTGTCTCACGAAGTGTCCCGGAGTGGTATTAGAGCGGACCCTAAGAAGTTGAAGGCTATCACAGAGCTGTCCTTCCCAAGGTCCAAGAAGGGAGTGCAAGCTTTCGTTGGCGCTCTGAACTACTACTGCCGCTTCATACAGGACGTTGCTGTCTGTGGTGGTGCGCTCTACCAGCTGCGAGACGAAGACTTCGCACCAGGGGGTGACCTCTCTGCAGCCAAGCGAAGCTTCGCGGCATTGCGACGAAAGGTCGGTGAGGCACCTGTCCTCCGACACTTCGACCGTGACCGAGAGGTCCATGTGACGCTGTTTGCAAATGAATGGGCAGTGAGCACCACGCTCATGCAGGAGCACGATGGCCTGATGCACCCGGTGCGTTTCTGCGGCCGAGTGCTCAAGGACGCCGAGATGAACTACCACCCGGCGGAAAGGAAGTACTGGCTTTGCTACAGCTGTTGAAGGTGTGTTACACCCAGCTGGCCGGTCGGACCATACATGTCTACACGCGGTTTTCGACGCTCGACTGGGTCCACAAGTCGAAAACTCTCTTCGGACGTGCATCGCAATTTGCCGTCTTACTGTCCCCGTGGAGTCTAGTGGTGAAACGAGTCAAGGCAAAGGATTGCGCCTTCGCGCAGCTTTTGCAGTCGACGATCACAAGCTTCGTTGACCTCGAAGACTCGTTGGCACCAGTGACCCCTCGAGCCAAAGGCTCGCCGAGTGTTCAGATGGATCCGCATTTGCTTTATGCACGGTTGCCACGTACCTACAGTGGCTACGTACTTTCGTTTGATGGCTCGGCGAAGACCGAGAAGCATGGTGGCTACGGCAGTTGCGCCTGGATACTATGGCGCCTTCCTGAATGGAGTGTAGTGATCGCTGCGAGTGCGTATCTCGAGGCCACGACTGTAAACCTCGCTGAGTACACCGGAATGAACAACGGGGTCTCTGCCGCCCTAGAACATGGGGCCGAGGACTTAGTCATCGTCGGAGACTCAAGACTCGCAATCCACCAATCCCTAGGGGTGATCGCTTGCCGTAAGGAGTCGCTGATGGCACAACTGAACAAGCAAAAGAAAGTGACCGCGAGACTTCGGTCCGTGAAGTACCTACTTGCTATCCGAGAGTTCAATGCAGCTGCAGACTCTTTAGCGAGCGAAACCTTGGAGAAGAAGGTGTCGATGACGGTGAACAGCGAAGACCGAAAACGAGAGTTGATGGAATTGAATCGGATCCGAGAAGTGCTCTATGAACCGTCAGCCGAAGCCTCCGGAGCTTCTGGAGAAGTTGTAATGCGTCACGTGAACTCGATACGTGTGATTAATACGCATGACAGTGACCGTATTAAGAATTTTTCGATTTTGTACGGGATACTGGACATGTAGCCGCGGTAACGAGGCAACAAGCCCGCGCGCGTGCGAAAAAAGTACGCTTTGCCGATGAAACTTCGGGTGATGAACCAGAAGAGGGAGCCGAAGGAGACGAAGCTAATAATGTCAGCAACGAAGAGTCTAACGAACTTCCAGACCAACGGAGACCTGACGCAACGGTGGTCCATGAACCGAGTGCTGATGACATCGACCCACTAGTTGTGCAGGAAGAACGGCGCTGGCGCATTGGCACAGCCCAGGATGAGGAGCTCCGGTGGTCAAACCTCAAGACGGTGCTAAAGGGAGACGAAGCGAAGCTTGCCTACAAAGCTGCACGCGAAGCCTGGAAGATGGCTGACAAATTCGTGTTAAGCGAAGATGGCTTGCTGTATTTCGTTGGTGCGAACCGTCGGTGGGGTCGAGGCCCAGGGGCTCAGGCGGCGGGTGCGCGACGGCAAAGTGAGTACTTCAAGCAATGGACCGAGGTAAACGGCCTAGTTTCAACGTTCAAACAGCGACACCCCCGAACACCGCGGTTTACGTACTCAAATGGAGGTACTTACACAGCACTAGACGACATCTACATCAACTCGCAGCAAGCACACCAAGTCGAACAAAGTGGGAGATGGCTGTATTCCCTCAATCGAGGAGACCACGTCGGTACGCCTTTTGTCAGCCTAGCTCTCAGCCAATTGCATGAAACGCGCAGACACCTGGAAAGTGTGAGACCCATACGGCACGTTAATACTAAGAAGAAAACCCCGGAGGAGATGATGGAGTATACGCAAACGCTATCTGACATGTTAGCGACAGGAAAACTGTCCCTGATAGACTCAATTGACGTGGCTAATAGCAGCGAAGAGGCAATAACGACGTGGCTCCATGAATCCATCGAGAACGTGTACAAGTGTATGTACTCTGCGGCCAAGAATTTGTGGGGGGAAAGAGTCAAGCGAGGAAAGTAATTGATAGAGCCGTAAGCAAGAAACGCACCGCGCGATGCCATGGCCAGTTTAAAGCCGCCGTTAGAATGAGTAAAATGCAAGATGCTACCGAGGCCAACATCACCAGCGCGTTCAAAACAATTCAATGGCCAAAGTGGATCATCGACCCGGCCCGACTCCCTACCATGTGCCCCCACAAAGCGACAGCGACTGCACTCGATACGTGGAGACAAAGTTGCAGACCCCATGGACTACTAAATCTAATTGCATGGCTGGATAGGGGGTATCACCGGCGGAGACAAGCAGTGCGCGCACGAACAGACTGGCGGCACCGACGAAAACTTGAAATCAACTGTGAAAAACGAGAGTTTTGGTTCAAAAACGGAGGAACGCGCCAATTGCTTCGCGATGTCCTTGGGCCCTCGCTACCACCGGTGTCGATTAACCCCTCTAACCCCGTATTCTGTATCCTACCGAATAAGCATTGTCACAGGACATAATATCCAGCAAACTTGTCCTCTCTTTCGAACTTCGCATATGGATGTTTGTATAGCCTGTATTGTGCACATCTTCCTGTTAGATTAGCGATGGGAAGATAAACGGGGTTTATCCCGCGGTAATAGACGGACGAGTATAAACCACCAACAGGTTTGAAAATTCGGGTGGAAGCCTAAAACCGCCGCGTGTCAGCCACTCGTACTTTCCTTCATTCCGAAACTGCGCTGTTCAAGACGTCGCAATGCAAGCTTTGTTGGGGCCCGTCGAGCGCGCCCAAGTGGCCAAGGACCATGGCCGAAGACGATCATGATGAGCGCCATTGTGATCTACAGGTAAGCGAGAGCGTGTACTTTGCTCTGTAACATTGTACTAGTGGTATATTGATTCTACGTTGCGATGCTGATTACCAGACCTGGTGATCCGACCCAGACGACGCTATGAGCTCTCGCGTGTGGCCCGATTGGCAGATCGATTGCGGAGTCAGCGCACAACCTCATCGGTTCCTACGAAGCCGACTACAGCCGGGTCTACCGCTATATTGTAGCTGATGCAGTGGCTGCTCAAGAGGCTACAGAAGA